TATCCACTCTTTTTCTTTGAAACATTCCGACACATCCGACACTCATTTGACCAACAACCCGACACACTTCCGACACATTCCTTTACCGTTCGATGCATTCCCGACAGTCCGATGCATAGTCATGACTAGGTGCTGTAATGATGAGAGCGGTCATTTCTGAAGGTGTTGAAGGAGTGTTGGAAGCGGATGGAGATGACATGGACGGTGAGGGCATAGGCTTCGCCTCAGTTACCACAGCTGCGACATCCTTCCTTTTTCCTCCTCCTCCTCGTTGCTGACTGCTCCAGGGTGCTTTTCCTTCCATTCCCCCTCCAGATTGCATGCAGTGATCGCGATCGTGTGTCATGGACTGCAGTAGTCCAGTGCAGGCTGGGTTGTCACAAGGCACCCCCTTGGGTTTGTGCTTGTGTATCCACACGCCATTGGAGGGGTTGACTTTGCGTTCAGTCGAGGTAGGAGTTACAACGTTGGTGTATTCTGATCCTGGTCCGGTGCGTGCCATCTTTAGCTGTCCACATTGACGATTAGCTTCTTCAGCGAATGCTGTTGCAACATCTTCGAACGAGACTTGTAGGGGAGTGATGGACTTGGCAGAAGTGGAGAATGAGGGAGCCTTGTATAACCCAAGAGTAAGACTTCGACCCACTGGGGGGTTTCAGGTAGCCCATGTAAGAGCATCCAGACAGCTTCTGGGTCCGAAATGGCGACTTCCATCTCTGTGAATCTTCGACGTGCACCCACTCTTTGATGGAAGAAAGTTCGGTGCTCGTAGGCTGTCCTGGCGTAGCGATCTTGGGCATCACACTGGCGAATTCTATGACATCGTCAGGGTCAGTGCCATTGCTACAGTGGTTGCATATTCCTTCACTGGCTAGGGCCAATTCTACAGTCCTGCGCCATGCCGGGTAAACGTCCAAGCCAGTGAGCTTGATGATATGATCATATTTTTTCATAGTAGAGAAATGATAGATGCGGGTTCGTCCGTTAGATGAATTTGAGATTAGTTAGCATGCATGTGGGTCAGAGATCCTTTAGAGCTCAGGGCTCATAACCTGTAGACACTAGTAGATCTAGCGGAGAACACGTTCAGTATGTCGTGGAAACAATACTGACATGCATAAGTACCTAGCGGAGAACACACTAGTGTGATACATCAGTACTCAAGAAGAATGGACATAGGAGTATCTACTCACCTCAGTATGTCATGGAAACAATACTGAGGTGACTGCAAGATGGAGCAAGACTTTGTACTGTCTGATAATGATTATGTAACAAGCTCAGGGAAAAGTGGAGCAGAGGTGTTTGTATGGTTGAGAAGGTAGAGCAAAGGCATTTGTATGGTCAAGAAGACAGAGAAGTGCCAAGCGACAATGAAGCAGGCTATAAGACAGTTTTGAGTCAAGTTGCCTTTACGATCGCGAGTTGCATCGCGATCCTTGCCACTAGGGCGGCATGCAATATGAGTACCATCTATGGCGCCGGCAGCATTGGCAAAGTATGAGTAGAATTTCGGGTTTCAAAGGACTTTGAGAGGCATTGGACTGTCTGCGCTGGGTAGCTGGACATACAATGAATAAATCGGGGGGGAGGAAAATGCGTTGAGAATATGTTTGAAATACGTTCAAAACAATAAGCAAATGTATGACACTAAGGGATAACATATTTTGCTATTGTGTCATTGGAGCATTGAAAGCATTCACCAAGATGGCGAACAGAGAGTCCTGTGACAGATGCATACAAGAAGATGGCAAGCTGCTCCTCAAGTGTGACATGTTTTGAATTTCTGCACCCTGAATCGTGAAGTATATTCAATAGTACAATAGAATACATGATGCTGCATGCCAAGTTCGCATCGTATGTGGTCTGGATGTCGTGCGAGGAGTTCGTTGACCCATGCCATTACAGACAAGGCTGAAGTATAATAGGGTTGCTTGTTGTAGTGAGTTTGCGAGTGACCTTGGAGTACCTGCCCAGCAGCATCAGCAATAGCCATTGCTACACGAGCAGCACCATGGAACATCTTGTCTATCCAGTGCAGCTCATTTACGTCCAGTCGGTCGGAGTCTACCGCATCAGCACAATTGGAATCTTCATCCGCACTGTCTTCGATGTCGACATCATCTTTGTCTAGTGGGTCTAGTAGATCAAATTTGGCATTGAGGTCGTTAGGATGCATTGTGTTGTACAATAGGCTCAGCGACCACTATCATATTGTATCAGCATGATCAGCGTGACATTATTTTTGGTCTCGGACTATTTGGTCTTGTATGGGCTACGTTGGAATTTCAAAGTTGGTTGGCGAAAATGATGTCCGAACAGACTCTTAGGCCACTATCGAGAAACTCAGAACTTGTGTTTTTGAAACTTTGGATGGCTGTATATCAAGGTTTACAAGCTTAGTAATATCAAGCTCTATGTGTGGGATTTTCCTTATGCACACCTCCTGACTTGCACTAGTTTTAATTCTAACCAAATCTCAAGACCTCACTGTAGGATACCAGTTTGACTCATATCACAATAGCAAGCTTACATAATAATACACTCATATATCACACCATGTCTGAACTGATTCCAGTGACTCCATTCTAATTCCAAATTGCAAAATATGAGAGGTTGATTTCAAAAAGTCTGACATTTGTATATTTGTGCAACATAGGGGTTGATTTCACGCAAATCTGACATTTGCATATTTGCGCAATATGAGGGGTCGATTTTGCGCAAATCTGACACTTGCATATTTGCGCAATATGAGGGGTCAAGTTTGCACAAATCTGACATTTGCATATTTGCGCAATATGGGGGGTCCATTTCACGCAAATCTGACATTTGCATATTTGCGCAATATGAAGGGTCCATGTCACGCAAATCTGACATTTGTATTTTTGCGCAATATGAGGGGTCAATTTTGTGCAAATCTGACATTTGTATTTTTGCAAAATATGAGAGGTTGATTTCAAAAAGTCTGACATTTGTATATTTGTGCAACATAGGGGTTGATTTCACGCAAATCTGACATGTGCATATTTGCGCAATATGAGGGGTCCATTTCACGCAAATCTGACATGTGCATATTTGCGCAATATGGGGGGTCCATTTCACGCAAATCTGACATGTGCATATTTGCGCAATATGGGGGGTCCATTTCACGCAAATCTGAGATTTGTATATTTGCGCAATATGGGGGGTCCATTTCACGCAAATCTGAGATTTGTATATTTGCGCAATATGGGGGGTCCATTTCACGCAAATCTGACATTTGTATATTTGCGCAATATGGGGGGTCCATTTCACGCAAATCTGACATTTGTATATTTGCACAATATGGGGGGTCCATTTCACGCAAATCTGAGATTTGTATATTTGCGCAATATGGGGGGTCCATTTCACGCAAATCTGACATTTGTATTTGCGCAATATGGGGTCCATTTCACGCAAATCTGACATTTGTATATTTGCGCAATATGAGGGGTCCATTTGCGCAAATCTGACATTTGTATATTTGCGCAATATGGGGGTCCATTTCACGCAAATCTGACATGTGCATATTTGCGCAATATGGGGGTCCATTTTGCGCAAATCTGACATGTGCATATTTGCGCAATATGGCTGTTTTAGATTACCATAACCCAGCCTTAACTCTAATGGACTTGCAAATCATGGGTAGAATAATGCAAAACCATCGATCGGATCCGCAATCTGCTGGACAGGAGGTCCTCCTGCAGTTGGTAGTTTGACATGCTCTGCTTCTCATAACATTGGCCTCTAAACAATAGTCCAGGAATGACTGCAGAGCGGCTGGAGGTACCTGGTTGCGTCGGATGTTCATTTCAAATTCAGATCAACTATAAGAGGTTCTCGTACCCGATACGACTTGTGGTGTTTTCCTGTGTCCGGATATCATCCAGAGGTCAGTGCTGTAGCCGAGCATGGCAGTGGCTCCGGCCATGAGAAACCCTGCCAGAACGTGTAAAGTCAGAAGGGTTTCTGCTGACTAAGCAAGTACCCCCAGGTAAGGGGGTTTCTCATTAGATTTATCCCAGGCTCAAGTAATGTATAAGACTGAGTTCGTGTCTTGGTTTGGCTTACAAAAATCACCAGCGGCAGGACCTACAAAATTTACGATTCGCGGCAAGTGTACCTCACAACTTGAAGAACCTCACTCGGTGCTTGAAATTTTCAGCGAGTGACGTTCGCGACAAAAATGGACTCGATACGCAGAAGCACTCCCATGGAACTAGTGTGGGGGGCTACGTAGACTGTGTATGACATTCCTAACGACGACATCAATGTTGCCTCGTCGCATCTGTCATTCTCACCATTGTAATTAACCATCTCAACCTCATCTAGAATAGCCTGTGGAATTATTTCTTGATCGACCCGTCAAAATCAAAACATTTCCTCCAAGCACCTCAACTTCGTCAGAGCTCTCATCTTCTTCAGCCCTCTTCGACTCCTTGAGAGCCGCAAATTCGGCAGCGATGTCGGTGAGATACTCTCTAGACCAGCAAGGACTTCATCTGCATCACGAGTTATGTGACCCTAGGATCCACCTGGGATCCATCTGGTCTCGGGGCCATCAATGTAGCATTACGCTTGGTACACGTTGAGTATATGAACAGACGGGTTGGCTACCTAAATGTGAGACATCCTTCTGTATGTTTGGTGGGTCGACCGGATAAGGCCTGACAGATGTCAGATGTGTAGAGTTCAACGGCGAGTCAGAAAAGGACTACTCACTGTACAACATAACGCACAAAACGAAGACCTACAACGAGTATGTACTACTCTCGGTATCGAGAAGCAAGAGACTGCCTGTCAACAGACTTCGGAAGCACCGGTGAGTTTGAGGTAACTATTCAAGTTAATGGAGCATGTGATGCTCAGTAACAGGTTGTACTGCTCGAGGTGTCGAAACCTTGACATCCTGATGTAGCAGCTTTTGACAGGTGCTGATATTAACCTCATTCCACCATCGCCATCAGTGCTGGATATCCTTGATGCAACGGTTCATTCTGAGACGCTTCTTGGTAGCTCAAGAATAGTTAAGACCAGTAGTGCCAGCGACAGCGTCGTTGTCATAGATAAATTAGAGATTGCGATGCGGAAAGATCAGATGAATTCATAGTATTAACTTGACCGAGCGGCTGCTTATTCGCTCGCCCCGAAGCCTTTGATAAACTCCAATGCGAAACGAGGACTGATGTAGGTCACATAAAGCAATGAAAAACAGACGGTAACGTGGAACGCACCTGTCTGCCGGCTTCACAGGCATTCGCTTATCCAAAAGTTTGCCACCCTTCTCAAAGACAAAATGACTACGTTTCGTCTTGTTTCCATTACCAGCTCCAAGAACGCCTATCAACAATCTTTTTGGATCAGAAATGAGCGGGAACGGGAGTTGTTTCTGAAGCGACAGTCATGAACTTGTCGTTTGCGCATTGAACATGGGCGTGGTAACGTACCTTGGTTTGCCATTTACTCTGAGCAGCTGAGGAGTCGGCACTAACTCCATACACATCATAATCAAGCGAAGCAAATTCTTGCCATATATCACGGAAGCCACATGCTTGCGTAGTGCATCCAGCTAGAAGCAAAACTGTTGTGAGGATGAACACCAAGATAAACCCAAAAACTTGCGTGTGTCAGCCTTGGGAACTAGAAATAGAACGACACCCTTCTCTGCTGCGATTGAACCAGTATCGATATCTTCGCCTTTCTCATTTTTGAGGGTTATCGAGGGGAGAATATCGCCAATGTCGATGGGTGCTACATCTGCTACATCATCATTCTCCTCGACCGTTTTGTCTTCATTGGCTCTGGCCTTGAATGCGTCACAGTCAGCATAGAGAACGTGGCTGCAAGTGGCGTACTTTCTTGCTCCGTTCATCTTTGTCAACCTCCTCGACTGCCCTTTTTTTCCCCGCTTTTGAAGGCTTTCTCGGTTGCTTAGCAAGAGCAGGAGTCTCTACTGTTGCTTGCCCTGAAATCCTTGAGGATCTCCTTGGTGCTTGAGGTTCAGCATCAAGTTCGTCGGAGGTCATAGTACTTGGGTAGGTAGGGTATCAGAGTTGAAGAGGCTAAGCGAACGTGACGTACATGCCATTAGTACGGCGTCTGTTAGGGGCTCCAACTGATACTACTGCTCGCATTAAATCCACAACTTAAGGTGATATACACGGACTCAATGCAGGCAAACGCAACACAATATCCTTGAATGACAGACATTTCACAACTACTATTGATAGCAGGTATATGGCAAGTCCAAATGGAATAGTCAAAGTAGTGAAATAAATGGTGTACGAAAGGCACGATGCCTTATTGAGGTTCAGGTGGGGGGTTTGCTGAAAAACTTCCTGGAAATGGGCGTGAGGCGGGTGATGCGGGTGAAGTGGGGCTTCTTGCAGCAGTCATTGTCGTAGGCGAATTTGGAGAGTGTAGATCTCCCGTTGATCCATTGGAAGACGTGGAACGAGTGCGGGAGATGTATGGACGCGGTGGAGGCCGTAGAGCTTCCCCAGGCGGAGGAGAAGATATTTCAGGCACAATCACATCCAGGTCCATGCCAAATTCATCGATGATTCCGCGAGGAGGGGGCCGTTCGACCATAGCCTCCAACAACTGTAGCAGTTTCGAAATATGCATGGAACTGAGTAACCGATACACTCACCTCACGACGGAGGTCTTCGCCAGCGTACTCTCCCTCCATCTCATCAGGTCCGAGAAGGACAGCACCTTTTCGGAAGATTTCTCCTTCTTCTTCAACCCAACTTTTCGACCTTTCAGACATCATCAGAATATGTAGATACTTTGCTCGCGTGATGACCCACCTAACCACAGGGGAAGGTATGCTAATTTGGTCCTCCTCGCCTAAGCATCTGTTGTCGTCTTCATCCTCATCCTCGGATTCGGTTATCATGAAAGTGGGACTCAACACTTTCTCCGGCTCCTCCGGCTCTGGTTCTGCTCGAGCCTTTCCTTTATCTATCTTCGGAGTTAGTAGCGTATCATCCTCGGACATATCTGCGGGGTTCTCATGTAGAGCATCTCCGTTTGTGGAACTGATCACCGCGTTGGGAATGTCTAACCCAAGACCACGAAGAAGTGATTTACTCGAAGGAGCGGATGACAACTGTGTGACAGCATTATTCAGTTTATCGCAGAGGCCTAGGAGCTCTTCTAGCAGGACGACGTCTGTCGTAGTCTGCACTCTTTCTGTGATTTCATCGACAGTGGCTTTGGCTTGCTGAACGAGGTCTTGGGCCGTGGGTGACACGACAGTTGGGGAGGATGTGCCGGAAGATGCGACCATAATAGACCTTGGGCTATTCACCGAGTTCTCGACTTGAGACAGTAGCGTATACGCTCTTGATACAATCTCGGTATTATTCTTCAGAATCGTGAGTAGGCTGACCATATACGGGGAACATACATCTACCTTGAGCCCGCCACCCTGACGTATTGATTTGGCTAGTTCACTTTCCTCAATCATGTTCCACACACCCTTACCAAGCCCTTTGTTGCTCGCCGGACTACGAAGTCCGTCAGAAACATGTGCCGCTTTTTCTGCTTCCTCCGTATTCCGGATACAAGTGTTGAGAATTTCACGACACATTCTGTGAGGTTATGTTCATGAAACGTACTGTACATACTACTAGACACTCACTTGGAAAATTCCTCGTCATCTGGAGGTATATTGACGTCGAGACACCGCATTGTGTGATTAGCCTTGAGTCCTGAGCTCAGGGCCATAATGGCAGCGATGTCCAAGTTGTTGTCCGTGAGGTCAAGGTGGAGCAACGAGTTAGATTCAGGAAGAAATTCCGCGAGGGCGATAGCGCCTGATGATGTCATATTAGTGGAGGAGAGGAATAGGCGCTTGAGAGCGTTATTTAATGTGAAGGCCGTTCGGAGTGATTGGATCTAAACATTGCTCAGTCTAGGCACCATCTGCAGCAAGTCATCAACGCACGCCTTCGAGACCAGAACCCGAGCAGGGATTCCGACTGAGATCCAAAGTTTCTAAGCAATGATTGTATTTCTAAATTCTCTTGTTAAAACTAATGACCAAAGAGACTCTAAGCGCTTACCAGTGCCTCTGCAATTGCCACTAAGCATTGAACATCCAGCTTGTTTTCGCTCAAGTTCAGGACCTTAAGGGTCCTGTTTCGTTTGAGTACTTGTGCCAGATAAGTAACCCCATTCTACGCCGAAGTCGTCAATAGATGATACCATACTCGAAAAAAACTTACGCGAAGGTCATTGCCTCGTAAATCTAACGTGCGGAGAGCTCCAAGCCTTGGCAATGCATCGAGAGCGCGCACCTTGTCCAGCAGTGCGGCACTTGGACCGTCATCATGCCTGTGGGCCGTACCATTGGGATGTAGTCCGCCCTCTGACCGTTGAGGCCCAGTATTTGGTGCGAGATGGCGGGTGGTGACACCACCCTGTGGATTTGATGTGATGATAGGGATGGGTTGACCAGAAACCGAGAGCGGGGGAGGTTGTGCTGTTGCAGCACGGCGACTACGAGGTACATATGGTGTGTAAGTTGTTTGAGGAGGCATGGACGATGGGTGACGCGGAGGAGGTGGTACAGGTCCTATACGGGTAACAGGTGATGGAGGAGGTAGATGGGTAAAGGGAGGGATTGGGGAGGAAGGTGGCGAAGAGATAATGCCTCCTTGTGAAGGAAAGGTAGATGAGTTGGGAGTAGTAGGGACCACGTCTGGGTAGTCTCGGATCATGAGAGCAAGGGCGACGGCTCCTGTTGCATTGATGCGATTATGTCGCAAAGAGATGTTGCGAAGAGATGAATTACGAATAACTCGGGCTGCCACACTTGTTGGAAATCGGACGAAATGTGAAAGTTGATAGCTTACCAAGTACTTCCAGCGCTGGTACCCTGAGAGAACAGTCGTCTAGACGAAGAGAGATTAGACCAGGTTCAGGTGCCGTGGTCAATGAGACTACGATATATTCTACTGCCTTCTTGTCCAAATTTGTCTGTGAGAGGTCGAGGAATTGTAGACTTTTTGCCTGGCAATGGAATACATGAGCAGCTGCATTATTGTCTGCAGAAATAACGCACTTGTGAGGCGTAAAAACCAAGCACTTTAAACGCAGGTGTTTTTAGGCGACGGTTTGATGCGACGGACAGGAAAACGAGGGTGCCAGGTATGAGCAGCGCATGAAGCATAAGTTTCAATTTCTAGGCTGTGATGAGCACAGTTCAGAGGCAATCAGAAGAAATGCCATTTACATAGTCATCCAAATCACATTCTCGAAGGGTGAGTTTTCGAAGGCCCCATTCAATTGTAAACACGTCAGAGAGAATTGCGGCAGATGTGGGTGTCAATTGTACACCAGACAGATCGACGGACCGAGGATTTGTGGCTGATGCGCGCTATTGAGTAGAGCCATCTGAGATTAGCTTGATGTGCTCTCGAAACCCGCAAGTAAATTTTGTCACCTTAAAGGCAGCAGAGATCGCGGGATCTGGTTCTTCCTCTCTTGATGCGCAACACTCTCTATAGAACGATTCCACCTTGTCCAAATTCCACCAATCTTCCGTTTCGCTCGGACCAATAGAGTTGCCTCTGACAACTCTCCTGCGTCTCTCCGCCTCTCTCTCTTCGATTGCCCGTTTCTCATCTTTGAGGTTCGGTGTTGACGGAGGGTTGGTAGAGGATATGGGGTAGACCGTGACAAGTTGGGGAAGTATAAAATGGGCACGCTTGAGAGGTTTGATGTCGTCGCTAGCATAAGCGGGAGATTGTGTTGGAAGAAAACCCTTGATTCGAGAGAAGATACCGGTTTGTGTGGGTGGAGGGCGCTTCAAAATCGACTTGCCAGGAATTGGGATGGTTACCGCTGATGAAGAAGGCGAACATGATGAAGACGGACTTGCGGTCATGGTTTGAGACTGTGGCTTAACTTAGCTACTTAGGTTTGAAGTCCAATTGACAATTACTATAGGGCCGATAAGGAATATTAAGACCGATCAAGCTTCGCTAGGCTTAACCATCCTCTGCTGCAAACCACCACGAACCTGGTTTCTAGCCATCACTCCGGCGCCAAGCGACGTAGCGTCAGCTTCGACCCAGGCGTCCTCGAACAAGCCGTAATCAAATCAGCTTGAAGTACCATTCTCGACTTTTTTTTGATGCCTCATCTTATTGGGTACAGCCTTTGTTGAGCAGAACTCTATGTAGACTACGTATATGACTCAGACATTCCTAATTGTTGCGTCGTCCCATCCGTCATTCTAACCATTGATTTAATAATCCTCAACCTCATCTAGAATGGTCGGTGTTTAATCATTCTTGGTTCGACCTGGTCCAACTTGTCAAAATCAAAAGCATTTCCCACAAGTACCTCAACTTCATCGAAGCTCCTTCAATCCTTTTTAACTCTTTGATAGCTGCAAATTCAGCAGCAATGTCGTCAATCTCTAGACCAGCAAGGAGGTTTTCTGCATCACGAGACTCGGTCAAGAGCGGAGGCGCCCACTCTCGAAGGATGCTTCAGGATTCAGTACGGTCTCGGCAGACATCTATATTCATGTTCTATCGAATTCAGATTGTGCTATCAGATCTCAATATCACTGGATATAGCCTCGTTGCACAGCTCAACAAAAATTTTAAACCATCTACATCAGTCCAATCCCTGTTCGTTGCAGACTCATAAAAGGTTTTGCACGTCCTTACCAGTCCAAGTGCTACACTGGCAACTAGATTTCTTGATCGTCAACCGTATCACTCTGTATGGCAACTTGAATGGGTTCGAGATTTCGACGAGTTGCACAAAATGATTAGGAGGACGTCGAGGGACAAACAGAACACGATGCATTAGTTGGATATCGGAATTATATGAGTAAATAGTTGTGGTTAGAGTTCTTTATCGTCGTTATAACAGTTGCGCGCGCCTCAGTCAAGAGTAATAAAACAAACATAAGCAACCGTCTCAACCGTGACATACTAAGCCTGAGGCAATGATATATATTATAGAACGCCTAGCAGCAAGAAATAGGCGGCAAGGTATTGTCTGCTTCCAAGACTAACTGATTAAAGTTAGCTTGTACAAGGAATATTCATGTCGCATATTAAGTTGAAGGAGGTTCAACTAAGGCGAATACTTTTATATTATATAGCGATTGCATCTGCTAGGCATATTCATATTATTAGCATGGCGTCGGTGGCATGCCCCTGCGTCTGAGTCTCATCATGTCCACAGAGAATTCGAGTCATTATATGGTCGTGCAGGGTACACTTGAACAAAGAGAAAGAATAAGGTATAGAAAGGACGGCGATTTCACTGCGCGGCGCCCGTCATAGCAATCAATTAAAATACATCCATACAGCCCTTGCACCTTTCCCATAGTTTACCCCACCGCCCTCCGTTCCACTGCCGAATCCTCACCCAGCCATCATGCGGTGCCACTTTCTCTATCCAAATGAGTACAGAAACGATAGCGAAGTCAGCATAGGTGAGTTCATGGCCCATAGCAACTACCCCGTCACCGTCAGTGCCCGAATTCTTGTCAAGAATATTGGCCAGAAAATCAAACTGCTCTTGAACTGCCCTCCAAGCCTGCTCTCTCTCCGGAGAGACGGAAAGATAACTTGGCGTCGTCCCGCTGAGAAAATGACTCTGGCTGCGCTCGGGCAAACGTTGGTGACTAAGAGGTACCATGATAGGGAGCAGTGGCTTCGCGAATATTTCTTGGATATAGTGCACAAACAACGCCTGCAGTGCACGAGATCCCTCTGGAAATACTTGACGCGCTGCAAATTGTTCAGATGTATGAATCACAGATAGAAAGGTGAACTAGCCTGGGTATGTGATCTCCAGATACTCTGCAATGTGATTTGCATTTGAAAGTACTATAGGAGCCTGCGACGACCGGATGGGATCCACAATGACTGGGAGAGAGAAGACAGGCCGGCCATCGTTTTTGACGGACGTTGGTGGGGCCCCAATGCTATGGAGGGTTTCCTCGACGTCTGGAAATTCCACCCAAGTAGTATGGTAGGGGAGTCGTTTAAAATTGAGTATCAAGCTGGAAAATATATTAGCGCACATATTTATTGAAGCGAAATGCCTTACCGTACCCGCCAGATATTGGGGGCCCAAGGTTGCGGAATATTGGATGGTACATCGTAAAGTATAATCATCGGCTGAGACATCGTGTGTTTGTATGGGTAGGTTTGATAGCCTCTAATAGTGCTTGCGGCGACTTATTAAGGGGGAAACACAGGCGCGCTATCTTCGTCTTGCATGACTTCACCCCTTCTGTCGGTGTTTGATATCCGTTACGTGTAGCCATATGTCTCATTTGAGTTCATGCGTCTTTCTTGCCTCTTGCGTGTATAACATGGGTCAACCATTGAATCACCGACCTTGTTTTTAAGTCATGAAAACCAACAATGACGTAGTAACTCACGAAATCTTCTATGAGTACGGAAACTTAAAACGACCCTCGCACACCGATTTGGGTATGTCACGAGTCATGAAGGCTTCCAACTATGTGCAACCTGTACTAGAAATCAGAAAGAATACGTGAAATAGCCAATTATCCACTTCACTTGCTGTGTTCGTAAATTGTGTTTCGTCTAGTTCTGCACCTTGTGCGAAGAGATTGCCGAATTTAGGTGACTCACTGGAGGCGTTAGTGGCCATCAGCACTGCAATGTGTATCGCCTCAAAAGAGATGGAGTGACTTGAAACTGCTATAATAACACGGCAGAGCTCTACGTCCGACTTACAGCCTCATCGCAAGAGAAAATTCGCGATCATCTATGGAGAACACGCCGTAGTCTAAGATTTACAAATTAGCTCTTATCTTCAACAACACCGAGAGAAAAATGACACTGCGCATAATAGAGAAGATCAAGGCATTTGAGTAAAAGCCGACGCCGACAAGGGTCCTAGTCCTGGACCCTTGACTGGCCATCAGGGCAATCACTAAGCGACAAACTTTGGATGACCGGTCACCAATCAAGACGAATGTGTTATGATAACCGGTACCGAATTCTCCTGCCAGCCATACCTCATCAAGACTTCGGACTTGAAAGATCTTTTGGTGACGTACAGCTCTTGCATGAAATAGCACCGTGATCAAGACCCGTTGACCCTGCGTGGTTAGAGGGCAACGGAAACTCGTCTCTTTCAAATCGCCGACGCACATGTCCAACGACCCGTTGCACAAGAAACAGGCTTGTTCTCGCTGTACAAAATCTGCTCACGACCCTAACAGGGGCTACAACGTGGAAGTTCGCTCCGCAATCTGACCGGCATCAGCAGTAGCCAAGGCGCGACAAATATGTATTTGAGATAGCATGATGTTCATGCCGAAGATGAGTTCCTTGATGCTAATCAAGCTCTCTTGTATGTTGATGAGTACGTCTATCACCGGTGTGGAACCATACAATAGGACCTGGCGCACCAACTTGCTTCAAGTTGTGGATTGGCACTTGAATTTTTCGTTTCAACAAGAGCATTAATGACCTGACTCGCCGATAATAGCAAATTTCCAGGAAGGTAATAGCTTTTTCAGAGAGTACGGTAGGTTTTCAAGATTGAAAGACCTTCACTATACAATGGCAACAAGCCTCAAGCTTTTCTGGATGAGATTGTACTAGCCCGAAAATTTCTCGGCTGAAGGTTTGGCCCATGCTCGGTGGACGTCCACGGCCATTCAAACGAATCTGCAGAGCATCTGGTCCTGAGTAAAGAGTCAAATCATCAGGAACGAACATTTCAAGTTGTTGGCAAGAACAACGAACTTGGAACTTCCAAGGGCTTCTATCAAAGATTTGCTCATCAGCCCACCCTATATAAGTATGGGTCGATCCTGAAGTGTTCAGCAGAGGCATAGCATCTTCACTTCAGCGCTGAGGCTGGTATTGCCAGTGAGTCGTTGTCAAATAGTACTTGTGCCACTAGTAAGATCGACAATAACCGGAGAAACTCGGGCATCGGGTTGATGGAGGCTCGCGGAGTCCGTCACTCCGTGTGAATCAGAAGTTCATTATGCACATTGCACAGGGCCACCACTACGAATGGCGAGGATCTAGCAGATATGACTTCAATGAGCGCGCACTCGTTCGAATCGTAAATTCCGGTCGTTTGCAGAGGACGTCGGTCGTGGTAGCAAGAAGGTGCGCGATACGACTCGAGCTCACACTAACATGTTGATTTTTCTACATAGTATGGTGCTGTGCTGCATTGCGGCACAATTTTGTCTACGGCAACGCTATGACATGAATCATTATAACAAAGCATCCGGTGAGTATTAATATCCATGCTTTGACAATCATACTAGCCGGGTCGTATGACTCATGTCAATGCAGCTGTTATGCAGCAGACATGATGAAACAGCGAGCCCGTCGACGAAATTGGGGCGTTGTTAAGTCATTGTTACATCTAGGAAGTACCTCCAGTTAACTGCAATTCCCTGGAGGTTTTGCATCAAAGCTTATTCGCTTTATATGCTACTGACTCATCTCACCAATTACAACGTTCCATCAACTTTATATTTTGCCAATTCTAACTCAAACAAGCAACCTCTCACGCCATTCCACTGATCATCTACAATTTCCCGGCTACGCTTAGCCCGGAGTGTGCTTGATTGGATTATTTTGGGATGTGATACCCGGCTACGTACATGGTAAGATTGGGTGGGCGAAGGCAGGCGATTGTGAAAATGATCCATGCGACTTTTCATCATTCGTACGCCACTAGCTTGAATTCTATTTTTCTATGCTCTACTCAAGCACATTCAAGTTGGGTTCAGAAGACCTAGAATCGCACCAACTATTCTGGTCTCGCTTGGTGCCACGCAGAGGTGGCGTGCGCAAGGGACAAGAAGAACGGAATTTCTGGGACCAATTCCATGCCATCATCGAATGCAAGGATGAATATTTCGTTGAAGCGGCCCAAACCTGGACAGCAAGATGATTTACACTTACCATCCAGACCGTAGTAGGTCCGAAAATTTGATATGTATTGAACACCTACTACTACGTACATATACTCATGAACATATCATTTGTGGACCCAATCAACCTTGCGTATAGAACTTATGCATATGATAAAGACGAGAGTTCGGGTATGCATGACGATAGATAATAGAGCAAATGGCTATAAAATGCGTGAAAATAATATAACAACGAGGACGGTGCCATGAAAATCAGCAGACTCGCCCACTAACCTGATTCTGACCTTGCGCCTTGCAGAAGACAGAAAAACTAACCCCCATTACCACCATTCCACCAAGTCAGTCATATGATCAGGAGAGCACATGCATCAACGGGGACCTTGTCCTTGTGCCTGAGGCTCCTCATCGAGCTCCAACTTCCCCATCACTTCTGCAGACCCGCCACTCGAAGCGACGTCGTCGGCGCTCATGCTGCGTAAGTCGCCAAGTCTCGGTCTTGAAATTTCCCGCCAGATCTCCGCGGGTCGCACACCTCTGTTCTCTCCTTCACCACGTCCACTGGCACTTGAAATAGGGCTTCCGCCCGCTGAATCTCCACCCATACTCCCTCTTCTCCGGCCACCACCAAGTCCCTCCAAGCTCGCAAGGAATGTCTCGTTCATATGGCGTAAACGTTCGTCAACTTCTTCTTCTCGTGTCAACATCGGACCCGCGGAACCCATGGAATCCGATTTGGTATGTGAAGGTGCAGCGGGTGGGCCATGTATAGACGCAGGAGAAGGTTGACGTTGAGCGTTAAGTGGCTTCCGCGTATCAATATCTTTGACAAAGATGGATATCTCATCGTCATCAGTGGGTACACCAAGGAAGGAGGTACTCTGCATAAGAACGTTATCAGTACTATATCCCATTCTATAAATAACAAATAATGAAAATGAAGGAACGTGCGATACAATGCAATGTCGGTGAGGTCGGAATGCAACGTGAAGGATAATGTATAATAAGGCAACGAGGTCGCTCACCTCTGCTCGTTCCCCACTTCCTGTACTTCCAACGCTCCCCCCACCTCCGGCTGCAGCGTAGCGATGACCAAAACTGCTGGAATAACGCTTCCTCGTTGGAATCTTCGGAGATGTATCCTCGCCTTCTGACCGGCCTCCGATGCTACTTGGTGATTGCCTGCCAAATCCAATCGAAGAGTGTGGAACAACGCGAGAGGAGTTAGGTGACGGTGGTACCGGGCGAGAAGGCAGTGATGGATTGCCTGCGGCGAGTGGCGACGGCTGACGCAGAGAAGGGGAAGGTGAGTGGAGGGATGGAGAGCCTGATGACAGTGTGGATGTCTTGAATGGATGGACCGGGTTAATGCCTGGTCTTCGAATCGGAAGTGGCCCTGGGGCAGAGGGAAGGTCCTGAAGACACGTCAGTCACCAATGAATAAATCGGACAATGACGCTGACAGCACTACTACTCTTTCCTCCCATACTCTCCAATCTGATGCGTGCAGCAGCGGAAACACCCGAAAAAGGTCCTGTATCTTCCTTGGACCAAGCTGTACTCGAATCTTGACGCGAGGACGCGATCGAGAGGGCAGATGTTGATCCTGCATTGATACCGGCACCGGTTGAAGTACGACTCATGGGGAAAGCGCCCAAGCGAGGACTCTGACCGACTGGCATGGAGTTTGTACGCGAGTGAGTATTTGGGGCAGGGAGAACAAAACGATCTGCGATCGAGGACGGCGGCGACTTTGGAAGAGATGAACGCAATGGTAGACTACCTGGAAGGGCTGTCAAGGAATCACGCTGCTGATTCTTTGCAAGGGTAGGGGTGAACTCCGGTCCTTCATCTAGAGAGAGGAAGCGAGAGGAGAGGAGAGACTCAAGTTCGTCGAGCTGGAAGTTCGGAGAAGAGAGGTAGGTGATGGCAAGGGAAAGTGTACCTGAAGGGTGTGGAATGGCAGGGAAGAGATGTGTCTGATGCTGTAGTGGTGGTGCATTGGGTGCAGGGGGTGTGTCTTAATTGGACGGAGATGAAGTTAAATGAAGCCACGAGGTTGAAGATAACGTGACTTACCGAAATCGAGGATGTCAGTCACGCTAACGCCATCGTCGAGGCCCTTGACGCGCAAATGGATACTTAGGTTGCCGTTCCGGTATGCATTACTCGTGCGCCTCCTAAGCTTCTTGTAAAGCTTCCAGGAGGGAAGGATACGAAGTAAACTGTAGATACTCCGGAAAAGAGGTATTCCGTGCTTGTAAATGGTGGATGGTGCCACACTGTCGGAGTCACTGTCGCCACGAGGTTCTGGAACAAAGTTAAGCAACCAATTCTCGAGTACGATGTGCCTGTGCGCTGGGTCGACACGAGAGCGAGAGGAGTCATGTGCAAGGTGAACCAAGACTTGATTAGTGATAAGATCCGGGACGGAGAGTAGGACCTGAAGTTCGAACGGGGGTGGCGCAGGTGTAGTAGATACTGCTTTGTATCTACGCAGATGATCTCTGAAGAGGTCAGAGTCCGGGGTTTCAAGGTTGAACTGGAAAGAGGTTAGCTCAAGTCTATAGCCATTCGAAGGAGTTACGCACCCATTTATCGACCTTTGATTGAGACTTTAGCTCAGAAGTGGCCCTAGCACTTGAGACGACGAGACAAAGCTTTGTGTAGAATCTGTGTGCTATTTGGTCGGCCTTCTGTATGTCATTGGACATTGTAAAGGGAAATGGTATTTGACTCGAACAGACTAGTATGAAATGCAGGTAGTAGAAAGAAATTAGAAAAGAAACAACATTAGGGTTACAAGTCTAGAAGTAAGGATCAATCAAAGTCGTGGTCAGAAATGGGATGGAGCGAAGGCGTGTTCAGCACGCAGTATGAGTCCAACTACCGCAGGGGTAATGAGACAGCAACCGTAGTAAGCTGGGAAACCAAGAAAGCTTTCCTTTTTAGTGAACCTTCAATTTAGACTAAGATTACATAAGCTCCGCAAAGTCATATTCTTAACACCGTCAAGGTACCCTGACTCGATGATGTGACGTGGAAATCTCACCTAGACACGCAATTCACAGGTCATCAGTACCACGAACATCGGTTTGACTTTTGTGCAGGCCTGTCATTTTCACATCAAACCGGAGTATTGCCGCCGCATCACAATTCAGGCTAAGTCAAATCACATTCGACCCGACTGGAGTCTGGGCTTTCCATATTTCAATTTCCAAGCTTCAACTTCGGCAACAATGACTGCACATATCAGATGTGACTAGTCACTCCTTGACCCAGATGAGTGGTCCTCGCGTTTAAACCCCATTTGCAGCTGAATCATCTCAATCATGATTCATCTGACCTTACGCGCCTGTCCTGTCCGTAAGCCACAGCCCACATGTATCAAAATGGGTCGCGAAGAGAAAATGAGACCGTAGAGTACAGTCATGCCGTTTTGCGTCGAGGTGTGAGGCAATGGCGTGTTCAGCACACAGCAGTTTGGCGCTTGGCGCTAATTTGTCAGACACATGCATGAAAACTCGTGAATCTGATGCAATTCATCTTATGTGCACGTTTCGAATTTATATACAAGTATGGAACTCTATAATGCCCTTTGCAGTGCTGACCCTGAGGCCTGGGAACGAAGCAATGCATACCATGCATATACTGTTTCTGGCGTATGGCTTCAATGATTTTTCCGGCGTTCGGGTAAGATAAAGGGTGCTTGCAAAACATATCGTAAGATACATGAAAGGGGAGGGGAAATACTACATTAACGTTATACAAAGGAAAATATTGGCTGGACTAGAGCAGTCTAGCAATGGCAACAACCTCTACATCTAGCAAAAGCACGGAGAGGCAGCATGATTATACACATACGCCATCATTTGTCCAGTCACCCGCAGCGCCTATAGATCATCCCAAATAGTATAAGTAAAATTGGCAGGGTCACACAAGAAGCTTTCACTTACCGCCCGGAACATCACTCTCCGACCACCATTTCGCAGTCCAGAGGTCCCCGCTGTTATAATGTGATACATTAGGTTCCGATCCACGAGCGCAAGTCAGCCTGCACACGCACCCATATGTGACTTCGTCGCCTCCAACATACTAAGCAGAGTAATTAGACTCCTAAGATTACGCAATATGTAATCGAACTCACAGCAACACCAGTTTGCCATGCTGCTACACCACTGCAGGAAACAGTCCCAGATGTTGTTGTGGGAGAAGGACTTGAGGTTGTGCTGGTGCTCATTGTGGTAGTCAGGGAAATCGTGGTCGTGCTCATCTGCGTGGTCGTCTGCGTGGTCGTCTGCGTGGTGGTGGTCGTGGTGGTGGTCGGCGGAGGGGCAGACGTCCCACCTAACAATGCATTCTTCACAGAGATGTCGTATCTACCATTTGCTGTAGAGAAAACTCAGTCACAAGTGTAAAAAGACAGTATATAGCCACTTTACCGTACGCCTGAGATGCGTCCCACAGCATGACGCCTCCGAAAGATGAATATTCGGCCATTGTTTGCTGGATGATTGGGGTAAACGTTGATGGACTGACATATCCAGATCCAGCTGCACTGGATGATGCTGGGGCACCAATGTAGACTTTGACATTTGGATTGGGGGATACCGTCTGTGCCCAGGTGTTCCTGTACTTTGGTTAGGCCAAAAACATTTGGTCAGTCAAACGAGATTATTACCATGTTGCAAAGTCCCAAGCCTACGGTTCGCATTGTAAGTCGATCATAACAATTGGCCTATAGAATGCGCTTACATTCGGGTTGTTGTAATTTGTCAATCCGCAGTAGTTGTTATCTAAAAGCGGTCAAGACCCAGACACAAGCTGAAAATATCACTCACAAAACTGGACATATACAGCGTCAAATCCAAACTCGTCCAGAGTAGTGCCAATGTAGGCATCAGGGTAAGGACATTGAGGCGCTGATCACAGTATCAGTAACGGTCGTCGTATGAAGTATCAGGAAACGAACCCGCAGTGATGTAGTACCTGTAAAAAGGCTATTAGAAAGCAAATCAAAAGCCCGCGGAACGACGTACGGTTTACTGCCACCGTCCATCAAGGTACGAAGGGCAGACAAGAAAGATACAAATCCAGTCTGAGAGCCACCTTCGATGTCCATATCGATGCTAAATTTAGAGTCAAATCGCACATTTCTCAAGAGGTTGGTGCATTTTTACCCATCCAAAACAGCGGACCCGAAAGGACGGATGCTGCTCGAACCTTCCAGGAAAAGATCCCAGACTGTCTGTGCATATGCTGCTGCTTCGGTGTCATTTGCAAAGCCAACAGAACCTGATGCTCCACCCAACGAGATCGTGACGATTTTTCCTGCAGCTTGACAAGTCTCGATACTTGATGCGAGGAATGAGCAATTGAGGAGGTTCGTCCCTGGAAAAAGAGAGTTACTGCCTGTGTTACAAGTCTGCAACCGGGTTAGATAAGTCCGGACAATCAGAAACGAGAACTTGCGTTTGCAAGGTTGATGGATGGGAGATTCTCTGTCGAGTAGAACTCGTCTAGAAAGGCTATTGGGAAGGTGTCGATTATGGCATCCTGCGATTAAATATGAGGCAAATGTTCCACCATGATATGAGATCGGGCCAACATTGCAATAGTAAGAGATGGGCTGCTGCCATTGTGCAGTATTGTCTGGATTGACGGCTCCATATGAGTTCTGACCCCAGTACCTGCAACCCATAGATCGTTGGTAACGGAGAATTGCGTCTTATCCTCGTGGTCCACTCACACAGCCAGCTAGTGAAAGATGTCAGTCACGCATCAGGAAAGAGGAAGGCCAGCTGACATTCTGGTTCGATGACATGTCAAACGCCGCGATAGTGCGGGTAACAAAAAAGAGAAACTGCACATATTTCAGGCTGAATTTGGAGAACATCATGGTGATCTTCGTTGCAGTAGAACAGTGACAGGATGGGGAACAATAGCTGACGACATATTATTTTCTAGCATCACTGTCTCTTTATGCAACACGGAATGCGGATACGATGGCAGATAGAAGTCTCAACGAACCTGATACGGAAAGGGTCATGCTTCATGGTAGTTTGACTGCAACAATGTGCCTGCGATATCGGCGATGAACAACGCAGTTGAATGATTCGGGGCAGCTGGGGCTTGCTCATACAGGAGTTGAGTCGCATGTCGATTGGATGAAAATGGAGTTCTGCTTAACCATCCATGTAACACAATCAAGAATGACTGGAGCCATGTTGTAGCCAACTGAGGGCCATCTGCTGAATTTTCGTTACCTCTGTAACATCCAAAAATATACCATCTGGCTTGACGCGCCTTTTGCTATGGCACTGGAAGAGTATCTTTCACGGTACTTAGTTGGGGGCAGCATTTCCCCTAAGAATACACGAGGCAAGGGCGACGTACCTTAGGGAATCCATAAGGCCCTCTTCGTCACGTCATGACTTAGTATAGATCGAGTCCGCCCACTGGCCGTTAGGGCCCAGTATATCAAGCCTAATAATGTCCATACTGGAAAATGCGAACCAACTGCAAGTCAAACATCTGAAGCACATGGTATGCCGACGAGATACTTCCGACGGCGGACGCATATCAAAAGATCCGATGAGACCTATAATGGAAGTACAAAGGTGATGCGGAAGCACCAACTGCCTGTAACAATCTTCTCGGGCTGCATACTTGGGATGAGCGCCAAGTACTTGATGGAGTCGATGTATATTGGGAGGTCGTGTACAATCGACTGACCACCAGGTACGACTTCTAAATTTGGTCAGCATGATCGCGTGCATGATTCACAGCGCGTGAGCTGGGTGGAAGCTCTTAGCACCTAGATCTACTTATGTAGGTCTGTTCCACAAATTCTCGGCGACAGGACCATAGACGGTATGGTTGAAGATTTAAAGTTTCTAAACCTGTTAGCCCGGGATCAACTTATAGCAGTCCCACCCGAGTCGGATGAGAGTACGAAGCAAATATGAAATAAATAGTACTTGTTTGTCTCGCCAAACAAACTTACACACACCGGTGCTCGATGTTCAACTACACCGGGAGCAATTCACATGTACATGCGTACTCTGAATTCCACTGCTCGCTGTCAGTGTGCGCTTGGTGTGCGCTCTGCGTAGTCGTGTCTTGTCGGCTTATCTTCATGTCTATAATTCACCTGCGTGTCTTCGAGCTCCACGTACGTGCGATCCCTCTAATATGATTTGCCAAACGATTAAAAGACCAAGATCACAATTTTCGAAGATGAGTGCAAGTGAAAATTACACTTCGGACCGCTATTTGAAAGGGAGCCGAAGCCAAGAGCGCTTTGTTAAAACCTTGGACGGAGTCTTGTGATTCTTGCTGCCATCATGCTATGTAACCGAGTCTTGGACTGCACTCAGACTACCTATCCGCGTTCAGCCAGGAAATTGAAGGAACACTCCTAGAAGACTCCGTTCGCGACGCACTCGTGGTGTAGTGGAAGCTTTGCTGATGAGCCAATACAAGCCTTGCGGCACCCCCGAGCCTAACTTGATTGGCACCCAATTGTATACCTTTGGTCACGGTTGGTAGCCATTCAAGTAGGGGTCCGGCCTCGCAATTGGAAAGAGTTGATCAAGACCCTGGTTCGACTTCCAACATCACTACTTGTTCTACAATTCCTTCGAGTTTTTTCCAGCATTTTGAATCACGAATAAAAAATGACTGTCACAGTGAGTGCGTTCGCTCAGCGTGCGTCAAGATCATCATGGCCTCCTAGGTATATGAATCGTCAGACGAGGAAGAATACTCATTCAAGACGCGAGTAGAAGCATCAGGTACGCGTTCAAGTTGGCAACCCATGTCAACGCGAATTCATTTGATTGTTGCAACTGTCTAGACAATTCCCAGTCTTCAACTCAGCCATTAGCAAAAGTCCCAAAAGAGAACCTTTCCATTCCGCAGGGGATAACGCCTCGATCGTCTAGGGTGGATGCGCCTTTACGAAGACGCGTGTTGCGTGACGAGGAAATGCACGGGATTGCCAAAGGTACAGTTTTGAGTTTGCTCAAATGAATATATCATTCACACCCTCACAGTGAATCAAATGCGTAGGCGATCTCTCATTACTAATCCGCATTCTATTACTTAGTATCATCCAAACCAATGATAGAGTCGGGCAGCGATTCGAGGTCGGCACCGCCGACCGACCGACCCCCGCTGTTCTCGAGTCGCAGGACCTCGATGTCGTCCGTTGGATCCACGGGCCTGAAGTGTGCGCCAGACTGCTCCTTGCCTCCCCCACCAGCAGTTATACGCAAAGTCTCACCGTGCGCCACAGTTGTAAGGTCTTTCATCCAACGTGTTCTCATAATGATGCAGGTGAATCTGCCACAAGTCGGTAGAAGTCGAGAACGCAGTGTCTTCGAGCTCGGTGTTGAATTAGATACCCGCCACATTGCCCACTGCAAGGAGGCTCAGATAGTGCTTGATCGGCATAAACTTGCATGGGGAACAATTTTCGAACTAGCACGAGGTGTCACTCGTGGCATGTGGACATTCCAAGACATGAAGGAGCATCGTCTACGAAAACTCGAAGGTTCGAATGCTCAATCTGCCTGGAAAGTTGCTACCGTCATGGCAGACAAAGAGCCATCTCGGATAGGAGCACCATCGGAACTTTGGTATTAGCTTCATTCGCCTCACGAATTACAAATTAAATTTGATTTAAAGCTCGAATACGATCGGGAGCAGCTTGCAATTGTCGAAAACAAAGGTCGCGGTTTGGGAACTATGGGACAATGGAAGGGAAAAGACCATTGGTATGGAGGGAAGATCCAGCAAGTTGCTCGGGTCGTGAAAGCCGGGACGGATTTTAAATTCGAACTCGAGAAACCGGAGATTCGGAGATCACACCGATTTGCTCGGTTCTTGGGGTCTCGACGTATCCTTCAAGTTCGTGTGCCAGATAACCTTACCTATGGTAAAGTCGGCTCGGAACTTCGGGAACTCTTAATATCAAGTAAATTCGTATTGTGCGGCCGCGTTTTCGTACCCTTTCATGCTAAGGAAGGGAGCGTGTGCCTGTTTGAAACGAACGAGAACATTGATCGGCAGACGAACGATGGCGACGGCGACATTCACAGACTGACGCTGTACCGGTTTGTGCAGTGGCATAATCCTCAGATGTTGAATTCGATGCAGGTGACTACGTTTCTGTCCGCGTTATCCAGCTCTGACGTGCACCCTGAGCAGTCCATCAGCAAGTGGTCTACACGATGGGCGCTCGGCTTATCAACGTCGGTGCCAACGATTGAATTTCGTTCAGAAAACATATTCTTCATTGGTGACCAACGTACATTTCTTCTAGCTCATAAACAAAGAGATACTGATTTCTCAGGTATTGCTTTAATGTATGAACGAGTGAACAGTTCGAGGTGGAATTGAGTGCCTAATGCAGGGAGATAGACGCCGTATGTATGTAAATGTTGTGTCATAAGCCATACGAGCCCTCGCTTTGTGTTTGTTCGCTGTTATCTCTCGCCGCGATCTCGTTACCACAGTACAGCTTTCATCATAAACCAGATCACCTCTACTCCAGGACGCACACTAGGGTCTCCCAATGGCAACCATCGATGCTCAGGTCCTGAGGGAGATGATTGAACGATTTCGAGTTCTGATCATAGGGAGAGCAAATGCAGGCAAAACGACCATTCTTCAGAAGGTCTGCAACACCACGGATGAACCAGAAATTTACGATACCGAAGGACGTCAGGTACGATCGATATGCCATGCACAGGTCTATCGCTGATCAATTGTGGATAGATCGATGCGGCCGTCGTGAAATCGTCGATTAAGGTGCGTGCATCATTTTCCGTCCCTGCAGGCATGCATGCACTGATGGACAATTAGCGTGGAAATCACGACATCAGAAACGAGATGGTGTTCAAAAGCAATCCCGGTTTCGTCTTTCACGACTCATGCGGTTTCGAAGCGGGTTCTGAAGAAGAATTCTTGAATATGAAAATTTTCATCTCAGAACGGGCAAATGCGACGAAATTGGAGGAGCGAATTCACGCTATTTGGCATGTAATTCCCTTCTGATGTTCGAAAGCTTTTTGACTTCCATCAGGTATTGTATTCCAATGGATGACCATTGTCGAACATTCCAACGGTCAGAGGAGAAATTCTTTTCTGAGTGCGACACTGGGCACAGCGAGTTTTCAGGTCTATTTTCCTATGCTTTGCTCGGACTCAATGATCATTCTGTAGTTCCCGTGGTCGCAGTATTCACCAAATTTGAAGCTTTGCATCCAGTTGCGTTTGGAGAACTGAAGAAGCAACTGAAAGGAGTATCGGGAGAAGAACGGTCAACGATGATCGCTCAGCGAGTTGAAGAATTGTTTACAAAAACAGGTGTCTTGGACCGGTTGTGCGATCCTAAAAACCGCGCGCATTTCAAGTCCCATGTACGCCTGGAGAGTAAGTGAATCAGACTGACTCATTCCACGTCAAAGTTGATATTAGTCACCATCCTAGATATGCACCAACCGAATACGAACTGCAATTCTCTACTGGAACGGACCACTCTAGCATTGGACAACGAAGAATTGCAGTTGTGCCTGGTTTCAACGCAACAGTCCAACCTGGAATTTTGCATCAAGTGTGCTGTCACGTGAGTTGCAGAATCGCAAGTTGCATATTTATGTTCTAACATAATCTAGAACACTTGTTGATCATACACATCAACAATCCAGGTCAATCGAATATGACGTCTCTCAGTATCGCATTGCTAAGTGGTTTCCACATCTGAAAGTAAGACAAAGATTGATTCAATCTGATGACGCCTTGATAATACTGGTCATGAATATTTGGTAAATATCGACGTGCTGAAACTGTAGACAGTCTGATATTTTTCCTTAATTGTAGTTAACCATCGTTAACAGCTGGTAAGCCTGCGGTTTAGGAGGTTCAAATAGTATGAACGCTGATGGTTTGCGCCTGTTCGCCTGTTAATAGTATGTAAGTGCCTTGATAGTTTCTAGTCCTTGACCTGTGCTCATTATCCACATCCCTTGCTGCTGCTCGCCTGTTGACAGAAAGTGAGTGCTTTGATGATTTCTAGTCCTCGACCGATCATTATGATCTCCATCCCTTGCTGTTGCTCACCTGTTGACAGTTGGTAAGTACCTTGACGGTTTCTAGTCCTTGACCGATGCTCATGGTCCCCATTCATTGTTGCTACTCGCCTGTTGACAGGGCGTAAGTGCCTTGATGGTTTCTAGTCCTCAACCGATGCTCATGATCCCCATCCCTTGCTGCTCCTCGCCTGTTGACAGAAAGTGAGTGCCTTGATGGTTTCTAGTCCTTGACCGATCCTCATGATTTTCATCCCTTGCTGCTGCTCACCTGTTGACAGTGGGCAAGTACTTTTATATTTCTAGTCCTCTACCAATCCTCATGATCCCTATCCCTTGCTGCTCTTTGCCTATTGACAGTGGGTGAGTGTTTTGATGGTTTCTAGTCCTTGACCTGTGCTCATGATCCCACCTGTTGACAGAACGTAAGTGCCTCGATGGTTTCTAGTCCTCGACCGATGCTCATGATCTCCATCCCTTGCTGTTGCTCGCCTGTTGACAGAATGTAAGTGTCTTGATGGTTTCTAGTGCTCGACCGATACTAATGATCTCCATCCTTTGCTGCTGCTCACCTGTTGACAGGACGTAAGTGTCTTGATGGTTTCTAGTCCTCGACCGATGTTCATGATCTCCATCTCTTGTTGCTGCTCACCTGTTGACAGGACGTAAGCGTCTTGATGGTTTCTAGTGCTCGACCGATGCTCATGATCTCCATCCCTTGCTGCTGCTTGCCCGACAGAATGTAAGTGCCTTGGTGGTTTCTAGTGCTCGACCGATACTGATGATCTCCATCCCTTGCTGCTGCTCACCCATTGACAGTGGGTAAGTGCCTTGATGGTTCTAGCCCTTGACGTGTGCTCATTATCCGCATCCCTTGCTGCTGCTTGCCTGTTGACAGATAGTGAGTGCCTTGATGGTTTCTAGTCCTTGACCAATGCTCATAAACCACATCCCGTGCTGCTGCTCACCTGTTGACAGAACGTAAGTGCCTTGATGGTTTCTAGCACTCGACCGATGCTCATGGTCCCCATTCCTTGCTGCTGCTCGCACGTTGACAGTTGGTGAGTAGCTTGGTGGTTTCTAGTCCTCGACCGATACTAATGATCCCTATCTCTTGCTACTGCTCGCCTGTTGAAAGAACGTAAGTGCCTTGATGGTTTCTAGTCGTAGTCCGATGCTTATGATCCCCATCCCTTGCTGCTGCTCGCCTGTTGACAGCACGTAAGTGCCTGAATGGTTCCTCATCCTCAACCCATGCTGACAATCGCTGCTGCTCACCTGTTGATAGGATGTAAGTGCCTTGTTTCTTTTCTGCCTGTAATCTATGTGCAGAAGTCTCACAGCTGTTTTTTCGGCAGGTGGTAGGTGTCTTGATTATATATTGTATTGAAATGATACTCAATAGTTTGACTCGTGTTCATAGCCTTATGTGTATGTGAGTATCTTCTATTCTATCACATGAGTCGAATCATGATTGCTCATATAATGCATAGTTCGTTGAGCGCCCCTCCCTAATGACTTATTTGCCATATTCACATATCTTGCATATTTTCTTGCCCCGCGCAGAATGTGAGTCGTTTTACCCTTATAATGTGAAGCATGAAATGTGTTGATCATTTTGACTGGCTCTTTCACTCTGTAGCATGTGAGTCTGTTTTAATCGCTCAAGAATTTTAGCCACAACCCCTTGTTTCCGTCGTGTGTTCGCAGAAAGTGTGTAAATCATGTCCCGTCTGGATCCGATTGTACTTCACTGACAAACAATCTCATTGAATCAGCTTGTACGTCCATGGATGGTATATCTTCACCATTATGTAGTGGTGCTCATCTGGTTCCAACTCTTGACAGTTTGTAAGTTACCCGTGCACACCTGTCATTGTTTACAATCTGATGGTTGATTATTCACACCTGTCACGGCTAACAAATTAGAATGTGCGTCTCTGTTATCAATCAAATGTCAATTTATCGCCTCCTGGTTCTGACATTCCTTTCCCGCAGGATGCAAGTGCTTTTCTCTGTGGGGTTGATTCTGATACCTACACCTTCAACCTGTGGCTAGGACATGATGACGAGAGGTGACATCACCCGCGTCCTTCAGCCTTTGGTAGGCTGGTTTTTCTCCGCATTGATCCTAGGTGCTGTAAGACTGTGCAACAGATTGCGAAGGGATCATTGTTTACTGCTGCTACAAACAGAATCATCCATACTGGCATTGGTAAGTTTCCCAGCGCATGATCTGTTGTAGTTCTCATAACAGGAAGCAGCTACTATTATCGTCCTTGAGTACTCCGCCTTTCTCCCGAACAACTCCAAGTCGGAGACATGGAAGCACGTCGAGTCTGCTGTGGACTACTACATGAAATCTCCGATGGCCATCGCTGTGGAGCAAAGAGCAAAAGAGATTTCTCGTCAAGGCTACGAGAAAGAGGAACTAGGGACGAAGATTCTTGAGTTCATCATTGAAAATCGCATGTGTACGTCCCTCTCCTCGTTGTGAACCGGGTACTTGAAGTTTCACAACTGCCCGCAGCAAAGGACCTGGTAGCAAAGAAGTAGATGATTTTCGAGCCAAGTTTCCCGTTCTTTTATACATTTTTCCCATACTATGCGCTTCCTTTGTGTACGATACTAAGCGCGCCAGTTTCAACTCCGGAGTGGTGCGGACTGTGATGTTTCCTTATTTCCGATGCTCTTTCCCCATGTTATGTACTATACTCGGCACTTCAGCTTCAACTGTATCGGGTATCTCGGACATTCGTTTTTCGCATCTCATCATATCGCGTTCTGTTTTGTACCATACATACTCAGGCTTGTGCTCGTCAAATAATTGCTCTTTATTCTTATTTTCCATCATGAGAATTCGAGAACTGGTATGCTTCAATGCTGAAGTGGACAGAGGTATGACGACTGACAACATTATCGATACTCGTCGGGACAGCACGCCGCCTGCGGGAGTAAGTTATGTCCATAAAACTCTGGGAGACCATAGTAGATTTAGAACATCACCATCCGAGTTGCTCCTAGGGACTGAGGACTACTAAGCCCCAGATGCAATCAATGCGGCGCAATAGTCTTTCAGTCGTGAAATGTTTGTTTTGAATTTGGCGCTTCCCGAGCAACTTGCGGCTTTCGCAGTAGTAAAGTGCGAAATATGAAGGCTGGCAAGGCCCAGAGCCAAATCACGCTTGGTGCAACATTGCTTTCCAGGGAAACAAAAACAAACCCTACAAACGATGTGATACGAGTCGGTGAATCTAGTACTTACGAGCCGTGAGGAATATAATGAATAGAAACTGAGAAACTTGGAATGGGATACCGCATTAGAGTAAGTAACACATTTGAAACTTGCCTCGCTGACGTATACATCCTTTCATAGAATTTATACGGGCAAGTCAGGCAACTAAGTTTGCATGAGCAAGTAAAGAGGAACGCGAGGACTCCATCTGAAGGTCTGGTTGCATAATTCACACTAGAAGGATTGACGGCGTCGTGAAAACACAGCATTTGTGGCCAAAAGTAATCCGCACCGAATGATGACGTAGCGCTGCATGAGCAGTACTACGAACAGAAGTCCAACCTTACCGCGGAGTCTCAACATCGCTGTTGTCAATTCGTTCGTATGCTTGTCCCATCCTTGGTCGATTTCCAGTGGTAGTCCAAGGACGATCAGTGATCTGAGATCAGATACAGACCTCGAAATAACAACTGAGGATTAGAATCAGAAGTGGACTAGCAGGAGGATGTCAAGATTCGGGACGAAGTTCCAGTAAAAAGGGAGTGGTAAGGTGGTCTCATCGTGGTCCGTGAAGGTCGCAGCATGACTCGTCGTATCAATATGATCTAGATCTGAAATACTTACATGTTCCTGCAACCTGCCTGACAGGAACCAGAGCGCTGGGGTCAAGACCGGCCACATGCTAGTATGTGGCAGGGGTGCAAACGGAAGGACTTGTGTAATGTATTACATTGTTACAAGGGCATCGGCTCACCATCATTTGCGACATTACTACTCGGTTTGACTTTGCAATTACACTTCAAGGTCGGTGATATGTACTTACGGCTATGATGCTGTGACAGTCAACTGATGGTAACTTTTTTTGCATTCGACGAAGCCCTCCTCGCACTAACGTGGGAGTCGGGAGTCCTCTTGTCCGTGATCTTTGTGTAGGGCCTGGCGTCAGGTCCTCAGGCCCAGGCCCTCCCAAAAGGCCCTCCCTGAGTTTCTCGGCGGTGCCGACCTGGAATCGCTGCCCGACTCTATCATTGGTTTGGATGATACTAAGTAATAGAATGCGGATTAGTAATGAGAGATCGCCTACGTATTTGATTCACTGTGAGGGTGTGAATGATATATTCATTTGAGCAAACTCAAAACTGTACCTTTGGCAATCCCGTGCATCTCATCACGCAAGACACATTTTCGTAAAGGCGTATCCACCCTAGGCGATCGAGGCGTTATCTCCTGCGGAGTGGAAAGTTTCTCTTTTGGGACTTTTGCTAATGGCTGAGTTGAAGACTGGGAATTGTCTAGACAGTTGCAACAATCAAATGAATTCGCGTTAACGTGGGTTGCCAAACGCGTACCTGATGCTTCTACTCGCGTCTTGAATGAGTATTCTTCCTCGTCTGACGATTCATATACCTAGGAGGCCATGATGATCTTGACGCACGCTGAGCGAACGCACTCACTGTGACAGTCATTTTTTATTCGTGATTCAAAATGCTGGAAAAAACTCGAAGGAATTGTAGAACAAGTAGTGATGTTGGAAGTCGAACCAGGGTCTTGATCAACTCTTTCCAATTGCGAGGCCGGACCCCTACTTGAGTGGCTACCGATTGTGACCAAAGGTATACAATTTGGATGCCAATCAAGTTCAAGGCTCGGGGGTGCCGCAAGGCTTGTATTGGTTCATCAGCAAAGCTTCCACTACACCACGAGTGCATCGCGAACGGAGTCTCCTAGGAGTGTTCCTTCAATTTCCTGGCTGAAGGCGGATAGGTAGTCTGAGTGCAGTCCGAGACTCGGTTACATAGCATGATGAAGACTCCGTCCAAGGCTCAAAGCGCTCTCGGCTTCGGCTCTTCATTGACAAATAGCGGTCCGATGGTCCGGAATATGACTTCTCACGGAAAAGTCTTGAATGCCCTCAATTCAAAATATAGATAAAGCAAAACGATAAAGTTGAAAAAGGTGGGTATATCAAGAACTCATGAATTCACTGATGGGCGAGCATGACAATTTATTTGAATACTACTCATGCATGGACCGACACCAAAAAACGCGCAGCAACATTGCATGACGTGGTAGATGCAAAACAACCACCGAGACGCCTGCTGATATAAAAGGGATCGAGTCTATGCATGCCATACTCGGAGCCCCACAGACAGCATCGTCACCTACTAATACCACATCTTAGTAGAAAGGTTTGGAATCAACTGAAAAAAATCCCGCCATGTATCGAGCTGGATTGTGTTCACGCCTCGATCCTAGGTAGACGGCTAAGGTCGTATAAAGTGAGCGGAACAGTTATTTGAATCTCTGATGGCTCATAGATATCCAACAAGCTCATGCTCGACTACGCCTATGAATGTTTCCCGTGCTTTCCGAGAGACGTGATCACGTTGCGGACGAATCAACTCGATACTTGCGATGGCCACTATGTGGACATCACACCTGAAATATGGGACAAAGTCGTTGATTCGCTTGAAACTGCTCAGGTGACTCGGCGTACATTGCCTGACGGTCAACTGGCGCCAAGTCTGGTTGACAGACAGGACAGCTCGTACGCGCCTCAAACATTCTACAGCTATTTTCAGCACTGAAGCCGAGTCCGCATAACAGGACCGACGACAAATCACCATCAAAGTCGTTTTGCCATTCCACGAGATTCAAAATACTGAAATCTCGAGGGACATGCAGGTAAACAAATTCGTTGCTGATGTCAGTCAGACATTGGGACAATGTCCCAGTTCTTTCATGGCATCATTTGGTGCGATATTGTTGCAAGACGACCGGAGTATCAGATCATATAACATTAGGAATGGTGACACCATCAAACTTCGTGGGATTTCGCTCAGAAAAAAGCCAATTATTTATCTATACTCGCCCTCCGATATCGACGTTTCTGTCAAGCTCTCCCTCATCCCAGAATGGAGCCTCTTTGTCATCTATCCTGTTGTTACCATCGAAGACCATGGACAGCGGTTAGAATGGAATGTCCGCACCCATCAGGATGGGAGTCTGACTGAACACAACTCTGGTTTAGATGTATCGTACTTCTTTTGGGAGGCAAAGTAAGTCCCCAGATGGTACATGATTCACTCTTCTAACTTCGTATCACTCTTTCCAGGGCGCATTTCCCCTTTTGCCAACATCCAAATCGCAACCAGTGCCAGTGGATACATTCAATCCAATATCCAGCAGCCTCAATGATATGGATTCGATTGTCATTCCAGTGGGCAAAGTCGCCGTTTACCTTGATAAATCCCTCAAGGCTCTGGGACTTCACACCGAAGCTAGAACATCATTCATAACGTGCGCACATATACACTACCTCAGGCTTTTAAATCACAAACACGTCACTAAACTGCCGTGGTAGCTACTGGCTGCCATCATTCCTGAAGCATGAATACATTGCCCTCCGATTCGTCCATCAGGTGGCATACGAACGCGCCGCTTCTTTGAGCATTACTCCGCAGCCTGACGTCGTGACTCGCGTGTCCATGTTGTTCAAAGGTATCCGTAAGGAGCACTTGGCCAATTGGGCTAATGCCCAAATGCAAGCAGAGAAAGACGTTGGTTGGTGGGTGGATGTGGTTGGAGTTGATCCTGTCAGAGCTTGTGATGCAACTTTATTCAGGGTGTTGGAATGGGGCGGGACGGAGGTTTTTCGATTGATATTATGCGATATTACTCGATTTATGTCAGTGCTATACCGGCCACATGCTACATAGTACGTGGCAGGGGTGCAAACGGAAGGACTTGTATTACATTGTTACAAGGGCATCGGCTCACCATCATTTGCGACATAACTACTCGCTTTAACTTTGCAATTACACTTCAAGGTCGGTGATATGTACTTACGGCTATGATGCTGTGACAGTCAACTCTTAGTGATGGTAACTTTTTTTGCATTCGACGAAGCCCTCCTCGCACTAACGTGGGAGTCGGAAATCCTCTTGTCCGTGATCTTTGTGTAGCGCCTGGCGTCAGGTCCTCAGGCCCAGGCCCTCCCAAAGGGCCTGACCTGAGTTTCTTCCCAGGTGACGCACCCCTGATCTGTTCTCTATCGTTCGCCGCAAGAAATCAAAGTCCGTACGACGCAGTGTAAATAGTATATATAACATACTGGTCGCCGTCGTTTGCCAAACCAACCAACCACATACTGCTTCACGATGATCCCAAACAAAACTATCTTGGGGACGTCCTATGCACGTTCTCGCAAGTTCAATAGTCGCAACCTTGAACATTACTGGTACCCACTGTGGGCTCAGACATTCTCTGATCTAGTGGCGAACGCGCCAAAATTGATCGTGGCACCTCAATTCCCTATCTGGTTTGTGGATAACCATGGATCTCAACAGTCGCAAGATGATTCGGAAGACGATGGTCCCGAAGACATGGTAGAAATAGCCCAGACAAAGCAGGATGACTCGGGAGCCATAGAAGCCGAGAGTGGGGCGGTGGACTCCTCTGTCCTATCCAAGTTGACCGTTCCTCAAAGGAAAGCCAATCAAGTGGTGGTGGATTTTGCGATCATCCATCTTATGCCGCAGCAGGAGGACGATGGAGAGTGGGAAATAGCCGAGGCGAGCGTTGTGCTTCTTGTGGAAGTGAAGAGGTCTGTGAGCAGGAGTGTGCAAGACGATAATCTGGATGCGAAAGTTTTGGAGCAATTGACAAAAGCCCAAAATGATCTGAAAAAACAAGCAGCGCATCTCTTTCTCAGTGATGAAAACAAGCAATCCATCCAGGTCATTTCTGCCGCAGGTATTTTGTCTCTTGTACATATCTGTAATACGTACCATGAACTTCATATTAACAGGTCCCTATTGGAGCACGACCACAATCAACCGTGCCGACGTTCAATTCACCATGCAAGATCTTTCAGCAGACTTTGAGCCCTTCCAAGAACTCGTTGACAATCCGCTGGATTGGACTGTACCCGTTCGCATCGGCAGTGAAGATTCTGACGCAGGTCTTGACAACATTTTCAACTAGTTCAAAGAGTGATATTGAAAAGTGCCCACCGTAGATGCATGTCACTCTGTTTTAGAAGTAATGCGTACGGTACGGTGCCATGTACTCGAAATCGATATAAAACGCTGCGCTGGTACTTAGTAAAAATACGACAATGATCAATCACCTGCCTGTCTTGGATCGTTCCATGGCGTTGTTCAAGATTGATGATGCAGTTGAAAAACTCGAACCTTGTTCAAATCTAGGTCAAGTTGTCTATGGGCATACAGCGCTTGTCCTAAACAGATATTATGAGAATAGCGGAATATCCATGATGAATCATTCACAGCAAGACTGCGGAATTATATCATCTAGGCAAAACGACTTACCAAATATAATGAGAACTCCATGGATGTCGCTGGACTGGACGAGCAATCCCTCATCTCCCTAAACGCAGTATGCCACACAGGAAGCATCAAACCTCTCTATCCCTCACTAAACTCTCGTGAGACTCCTCAAGGAGGTACAGTTTTCGGTGCTTCGTGTCGATACGGGCATGTGCGCAGAAGATGGGTGAGAATGCGCCCGCTATGTACCAGTGTACTAACATTTCTGGTTCGGGATTTCTGAAGAAGCCGCCGCAATTGGGTGAAGGATAGGAGGAAGGACTTGCACTCAGAAAAAGGCAACCTGTCCACTGTAGCCAAACTGTGTGGTTCAGTACGGTTGGCCAACTTGCACGCCACGATCATACAGTGGTCAGCGTTCCTGAGGATGAGCACATCTTCGTTGTTGGCCCGCTGAGTCTAACGCGTAGCACCATTCCTACTTGAAGCTTTGATAACGTGTATTCGGCGTGCAGCGTACATGAGGTGGGGATCAACAAATGCCTGTAGGGGTCGCGAGCGGTGGCGCACGTGGAACAGTTTAGGGTTTAGGTAAGAAACAAAATGGAAAGAGAACTTGGATCAGGCACAGACCTCTTACATCCGAGTAGTAGCCGTACGACACCTGGCTAGATGACTTGTCACGCTGGCGACTGAAGTACTGGCATTCTGAACTCTTCGCACCCGACGAGCTGCCTGTAAGCCCCCATGTAACTGAACGACATAAGCGACAATCATATGGCGATTTCCTCATCGCATTCGTGCTTCCAGGCACCGAATCTCATCATACTCTCAGTGGAAAGTAGCTATCTATAACCAACTGAAGGCATGCAGAAGTACTAATCTTCTATAGCTAGTTTTCATATAGAACAAGCTTTCGCTATTCACTCAGCGCCTCTAACTGTAGGTTCGACAAGTATGGCCATCCGAGAGCCAGAATTTTTTAAATTGGACTTCTCACGCAACCTCTATCGATCTGCTTGCGTTACAATGCGCTGCGTTAACGACCTGCTGGAAGTTTAGTCTGCTGAAGATCTCGGTGAGCAACCGGCTAGAATTGAATTTATAACACGGCAGAAGTATCTATTGAATATGACTAACATCATCTTCTAGACATGTATCCGAGAAGAACGGAAAGTCGCGTATCTGCAGTTTCGAGTACGCATCGCCTGATGGCACTCAGGCTGATGTCTTGCCAACAGCAACTGTCGTCCCTATTTCATGAGTCGCCCTTCGTGTCGGTTTGGGGAGAAATCGCACCGTTTTCGTAGAGAGAAGCTGGTAAGTTTCGGAGCTGAAAGTAACACGAGGATTCTTGTGGCCAGCATAAAAGCCTGGAATACATCATTGCAGTTCACCATCGAAATTGCATCCTATCATTCGCGTCGTGACAATCATGCTTGTTGCGGATTTTTCATGCCTCACACTATCGTCTCTACTTCTTGGCATTATGACCCATGGAATAGTTGCGTTCAATATGTTATCTAACGACAATGTGAGACGGCGTGTATCTTATCGATCCTTACCATTAATCCTTTTCCCATTAGCTGGCTGTGTGAGCGTTATATGTATATCTACTCGGTCAGATACAAACCTCCAAATGTAACAGCTACTGGGGCCAGAATTCATATGGAGCCACCCATCCCGATAATACTGCTCACTGGCAGAAGACACTTTCATACTACTGCATGGTTAATTTCTTTGTATTTGAAGTTTCGAGTCGCTGTTTGACCCCGAGTCTCTCAGGACAATGTCGTCGATACCTTCCCAATTGCCTTCCTTGTCGATAGTTATGCGGGGGGTAATCTGCCGTCGATTGACTTAGCAAATGTGGGTACTTCATGACCTTCCAGATCATACTGACTCTGATTTGATGTGCAGATCTGCAACTCAGGCAATGCTAACTATTTTCCAGGCACTGACTTACTGAATTGCTCTTTTCTTGCCTCGGACATCGAAATGTGCCAGTCCGCGGGAAAGGCCGTCACCATCTCGCTTGGTGGCGGAACAGGAAATATCCAGTTTCAAAACGACTCTCAGGCCACCGCTTACGCGCAAACAATATGGAATCTTTTCCTGGGTGGAAAGAGCAAGACACGTCCTTTTGGATCTGCGATTCTTGACGGGTCAGTTGGCTTTTGCACATCTTCAGACTTATTCTGAACATAGGACAGAATTGACATGGACATCGAGGGTGGCTCGCAGACAGGTTATATTTCCTTCTTGACTGCGCTTCGGAAACATATGAATCGGGGCAAGAAGAAGTGAGGTTTATTTTTTTTTCTGGTGTGAGCATTGGCCTCATATTGCTTGCGCAGGTATTATATCACTGCTGGTAAGCCGAAACGCCTTCAATTGACAATCGTTTGGTTTCCATATCCGAAATTTGTTCCAGCGCCTCAGTGTCCTTTCCCAGACGAATATATCGGAAACACTCTCGACGCAGTGGGATTCGATGCAGTATATGTCCAGTTCTGTGCGTCTTTTTTCTGACTGCTCCGCTGTTTTTGTGGTTGATAATAACTTACAGACAATAACTATTGCGATCTAAAGCATTACAACAATCGCAATGTAAGTTACGAAGCTTCTATCTAGTACTATTCCTCAATAGGTCGTTGAGCACAGGACTGGAACTTTGCCACTTGGTGTGTACTGACGGGGCCAGTTCGCGTTCTACTTCCTAACCTTTATTAGGGACGATTGGGCAAACAACGTCTCGCCCAATCGTGACATTAAGGTTTATATTGGTGCTCCCGCGTCATCCGCTGCAGGGTCTGGCTATGTCAACTCGAAAACAATTACGTCAATAATTCAGCAAACTCAATCCAATTACTCTTCCTTTGGAGGGGTTATGTTATGGGATGTATCAGACGCATACGGTGCGTCGAACCTCCCTTGTCTTCATAAGCTTCCATAATTTCACTGCCTCAGCCAATCATCGCTATGATAAAGCAGTCAAACAAGCTTTAACATCAGATGAGGATCTGCTCAACAAACGAATCCGCGATCAACACCTATCAGAAACGCGCGATATCACTCAAGAGGACTGACAGTTATTTGTGCTTGACGCATACCTCAGTGATTTCCCCCCATCGCCAGGGGTACCAATGTCGTATCGGAAATTGTTGAATATAAGTAGTAAATCTCTCCCTGGCTATGCTCTCAAAGGCGAATATTCTCAGGTATCTGCAGTCCTCATAGATAAGCGATGTCGAAATTGAGGATCACGATTCATATATGATACGATACCTACACAAATAAAGTAAATCTGTGTGCGTAATAAACACTGCAGTACTGGTACTGGTAACTGAATCCTCGTTGCCTCCGTCCGAATCGATATGGATATCTTCACCTCTGGCATGGAAGTTTGCATCGACCGTTCATGACCTTCAATGTATGCGATTGCCATATATTTCTCCTCGGAAAGGTCCAAAATCTCACCGAGGGATCTTACAAAAGCATGACTGTCAGCTTTGTTGTCATGAAGCTTGGAAGAAGACTCTTTAGTCAAGTTGTCGTAGGCGAGCGAGAATTTCGACCTAGTCACGATCATCGAGTAAGTTCGACAACTAAGAAGCTAGACCATCTCTGCGAAGGCTATACGTAATTTAGGTCAACACCCAATCAATACTTCGCCGTCTAAACTGATGACTAACCACGATAGCGGGACTCGGAAGTCGTGGTGCAGCTTGGGGAGTAATACAGTACAAAGCGATTAAATCCCATCTGACGCAAAAGGCGGTTAATCAGCAAACTGCGCGAGAGAGACGTTGATTAATTCATTGTTCATATACGACCTGATCGCCTCAATGCACGTTGAAATCGAACTGACAACAATAGCGCGAGTCTATGTCGAACATGCGCCAAAGATATCATGATATGTCAATGAAACTGCTCCCATAAGCTAAGTCAGAACTTTGGTGACAATGCGATTGCGCATACCACACCACAGGATACTCTGTTGTACGATGCCGGAAGATGGAACTCGTGCGGGTTCACGATGTTGCACTGAAATTTTTAGAACGAAATACAAATATCGAAGCGAATGTCTCAACTTCGCTTCAAGGACCTCTGTCATTGCGTAGGACAGAGGTAGTTGCTAACAAATCGAGATGGAAGAATAAAAATATGGTCGAGGTAAAGGGGCACTATATGGTGAAGTATGTCTGACAGATAAAGATCAGTCATCCGCGTCATCCTGCGCCTATGAAAGAGCTCGTAGGGTATTGTTAGGTATACACATCACTTCTGCGAATCTTTCCGCAAAAAGCACGGCACCTTGAGCTTCTGCCTTGATGGCGCAGAGCTCTGCAAAGGCAACAGAGAAGCCGAACGCACCACTGAGACTGTATGCATATGATGCCTTGATAGTTTTGAGTTCCTTATCGGAAAAATACAATATCTTCGAGTCTGGCCCCCCTACAAAGCGTTGTACTGACTTTTGAATCGCTTGTGTGTTGGGGTCCGAAAGCCCCCTTCCTTCTGAAGCCTTCTTCTGGAAAGAAACAGCGACTTGCCATTCCTCATATGCTCTGTGAACATGATCTTTGACAGCGCTCAATTCGTCTTGCAAAGCTTCTCTTGCCCTATTAGACGCAGAAACGTAAGGAGAGGTGAGGTCGTGGTCTGCCGTACTGGTGGAAGAACTCCGGAGGACGGAATAATCTTCGAGGAAGTGGCTGCGGAGGCGACGGCCCTCGGTGTTCTGTTCAAGGGCGGCCATATAGTAGGGCTTGCGTAGCCCGCAAGATTTGCGATCCTTCTCGAAGACATGGCGTTTAACCTGTAGCCCTGTCTTGCTCGCATCGAGGCAGGTAGTGAACCTACACCTCACAACATAAGGCGAATACCACGGCAATAGACTGAAAATTCTCACGTGTATGCCAGTCGAATGGCGGCAGTACTTGCATAGCGGCGCTCATACACGGCGAGGTCATGAAACTTCGAATACAATCCGACTTTTGTTTCTGCGAGTCCAAGAAGGAGGGCCTTCTGGAACGCGGTTTGGGCATCCTTTTGGGAGAGATTGGATATTCGTTGCTCAAAGTCCTCAACATGTTCAACTTCTCGCTCAAAGTTGTCACTCAAACCTGCAGGCGCCATACACAGTGGAGCGGTATTGAAGTTTTCGACCAGACATTTGGACCAGACCAACATGACCGTGTCTTTGAAGCAATTATTGGATGATAAAATACAAGTGACGTGAACTCACTTCCATCATAATCTATAGAATGAACATATCAGGCGATGCCCGGAAAATGAGGATGGAAGTGCCTACCTCCCCCACCCAAGTAGCTTGCCAATGAGCGCTCCCCCTTCACAGGGAACACAATGACTTCGAAATAATCAGCTAATGTTGGGTGACTGACAGCGGTGACCTGATCCATATTTGATAAGGCCATCCAACGAGGTATTGATTTCCTCACCTTCTGAACATCGGAAGGCAGTCTCGTGGGATTCCTCCACACCTGTTTATCAACGCCTCAGACGGCTCATTGCAATAAACTGAAGTACTCACCAAAACAGACCCGGTCATAGTATTCATCTGGGCTCCACTTTCGGGGTCAGTGATTAGTTCTGAAGAGCGAAAATGTATTTGCCCCTCCTCAAGCACCCCATATGGATCTGCTGCTAGATAAGCTGAAAGATGATCACGGAAGAAGCTACTCGCCTGGTATGATATATGCTTCGCGGGACTCCTCGACTGGAATGTGGAACTTCTTGATGTAGTCGTCGAGGACTTGGGTCACCACGTACTCGAGTTTGTAAGAAAGCCGGTCAAGCTTGAGAGGATGAAAACCAGCTTGCAATAGTTCGAGGACTGACTCGTGTAGAGTCAACGGTTCACCGCTGTGAGGATTGCGGCCCCGATTAATCGAGTCGTGCAGTGATGGGTTCACTGCACCATCGTCACAACCATGGATTCCGCCAGCGAACTCTTCGTTGGGTCGAAGTTGGCCAAGGCCAAGTGCTCGTGCCTGACCAGCAATGCGCCGTCGCAGTCTCGATGTTACGACACGGCCGGCTTGTTCTACAGCTCGCTAGACCATAAGCATGCTGTCCGGTCCACTCCATTCCGTCAGTTGACGGACTTCCTCATGAAGCCCATCCGCCATGAGTTCCTTTAGAACAGAGAAGGGAATACCACCATGCGCCAAGTTGACGAGTGTCTGACTCGATAGACGGCTTGGCCCGGTTACCCGAGATGGCGCAAGGAGGTCGAAAATCCTGTGCGCGCTATCGACATTGTGTAGAGGGTCAAGCTTGATCTTATTCTGTGAGTCGCGTATCCAAATTTTTGGTAGTCCATCGGCGATTTGATGCACGGGATCTGGGTGTAAAACCCACATTCCCTTGGCTCAGGCAATGCGTCCTTGTACTGCTGTCGGTCTGCTCGAATACTTCATCACTCGCATGATGGCCGTCAAAGCCGCACCGCTGATCTAACCACAGCCATCAGTCATGATTTTTTCTGCTGGGGGCTTTCCCTCGCTCCAGTCGGCAGCAGGATTGCACAACAGCTGATGTCGAACATTAAGAGCATTGGTAAAGACATGAACTACAATGAAAAATCAGAATTCGACGGAAATGACAGAATTTCACTCTTTCTCACCTACCTAATTGAAATTGTAAAGCAGTGATATCGGAAACCTCCATAGATGGAGGTGAGCTCGATCTTCCATACGAATGATCTTTCAGATGTTTGAGAGCAAACAAGAGAACGCAGGGATGTGAGACGCCCTCTGGAATGGGTTACATGCCGTGGTGCTCGACAGGATCTGCAAGTTTGAAGTTTCCCACAGAAGATGGTAGTAGTTTTGTGTATGAGGGGTGACAGAGCAGTAGGTGCCGCGCGTGTTGGCTGAAATCGAACGTCAACCATGCTTATTCGACCGAGGGAAAGACCGATGTAACGTGCCGTGGAAGCTTATGTATTCATAGACAGCTTGAGACAGGTTTAGTACATGTCTGCGGATGAGTCCGACTGTCCATCATACTTTATAAATTGGCGCATATTTTGTCGGGTATCAAATAAGACGTACCAACCAACATACGCTTAGATTCGAAGGGCTGCCGTGCGTGCTTCCCAGTGGATTACGACAAAATCCGCCCCAGGAACTCTTGAATACCGACTCATGAGCAGAATCGACAAAACTTATTGTAGCTTCAAGAGTCGCAGTCACCACACAGTTCCAGTTGACTGGGCCCTCCTTCGACTCTTCCCGCCCTGGTGCCTACTGTGACGAGTGATATCTTCAGGCTGGCTCCTTCCTTTCATAGCGAGCTCCCTGGTATCTTTCAATGATATTGAGATTATATAGCGTCAACAGTTGTGATGTAAGTGATGAAGTACATGACCGTGCGCCTAGAACTTACAAAACATTATTCAATGAGTATGAAGACTGGTGCGAGCCAAGACTCACTTAATTGAAAGATATTCGTGATTTTATGCCTGCCATTTCGAAAAACGTTGACAGAATTGTGGGACATAGCGTTGAATGCTGGGTGACATTATTTCCGGGGTGGCCTATGCCATTTTGCAGATATACAACGACATGGTCAATAAACCGGGGAAAACGAGCGTTGCATCAGTAGGATGTAAAGAAGCACCGCAACAGTTTGCTTGGATGCTCATGAAGATGGTCATTTGCTGGATGATGTCGATCCTGGCCCGGGAGAGGAATACCGTGACAGTGACTTACACTGGGACACGGCAAAATAATAAGAGTCGGTCTACCGGGCAAATTCCATTCAAATTGAGGGATAAATTCTCAATATGGAATATGATATAATCTACATCCATGTGGAACGAGGCTAACATAGAAGATAGCTTGGTTGAGCCATCATCGTCCTGGTATGATGCTGCGCCTTAGGCCCTCACTGTAAGCAAGGGCCCCAATAACTGAGACTGACCATAGTATTAACGCGCGGTTGCAGATTCAATAATTGGTACTCGAAAGAAGTACTACATTCGTACGCTGGATTGAGGGGCGGAGAAAATCTTGGACAGGATCATCACAAGTCGTGAAACTAAACTACGCCTGTGTCGACATGAGCATCCTCACAGGTTATCAATTCATCACCTCTTAAATCTCATCCACAAAGTGCCCATCGGCAAGATTATTAAGCTCATCCTCTTCCCTGTCGAGCTTACGAACGGAGATCCAAAACAGGAGGCCACCAACTCCTGCGAGGATGGCGCATACGGTATAGTCCCATACAAGCAGTGGATCTAGCGAGAGTGCTATTGCATTATGTGAGAGTACGTTCGCAGACGGACAAACGACGATGACGTACAGACGAATGCCTCGCCAATGGCAGCTGAAGCTGCACTCGTGAAGAGGAACACAGACATGACCAAACTACGCATGTTCGTCGGTGCTTTGGTGAACGCATATTCGAGACCCGTGATCGATGCAAATATTTCAGAGAAGGCAATGAGCACATATCTATATGCACCATCAACACATGTTTACAGAGAGGGTGCAAAATTCGGAAAGTAACTCACGAGCCAGTTTGAATCCACACATTCAGCGGGGAAACAAGTGAGTCCCCGTTCGCGTCCTTGCAGGTTGCAGCGTGGTGCCCACAAGGGTTTGTCTTGTAAATGTAGTACTGCAGAACGGCAGCCCAGATCATCGACGCTGCTGCCGTGCCGAAGCCCCAAGCGATTTTCTTCAGAGAAGTGAACTGAATACCGGCTCGTGCAAGCGCTGGGTAGATCTGTGATTGCCATAATGAGACGGAAATTATGTTCGTTGACGATCCTTACAAACAAATCACATATCGGGATAAAAATAATGAGAGCCAAGGGATCGAGGTTGGACAGAACGTCATTAGGTAGCCCGTTGGTGGTCATTGTTGCTGCTTGTGAAACCAAATTATTATTAAGTTGATTGTAGCAGAGCCCTGTATGGCGTAAAATGAGCTACGCAAGAAGCAGCATAGAGGGTCGAGCAAAAAGAACTCACAGTAAAGCGGGAACCAGACGAACACGCCGCAAGCTTTGAAACCCCGACGGACCTCGTCAACCCACTGGTCGTCAAAAGTCATCCACTTGGGCTTCTCACCAACCTGCTTAGAGGGCTTGGCGCTTTCCCAGAAGTCGTCAGATTTGAGATTTTTTATGGTCTTGCACGGATTCCACGACCATCGTCCGCGCTGGGCATACCGCCAGATGCGCAATGCGGCTGGAAGAACGGAGCCTTGCGGTGGAGATCTGTGATAACGATTACGACCGTACCATAGGACCAGAGGAGATATACAGAAAACTGCAGTGGGCAACGTGTAGGCCAGCCAGAAGCCAACATACTAGAGCACCGTGTCAGATGATTCAGGGTCTGTGTTTGGAACGTACCTTTTCAGCATAAACCATTCCGATCTGACCGACGAGAGCACCAATGTTGATGAAAAGGTAGAAATACTGCAAGTGACGTCAGTGACAGCTCGAAATGTGCGTTAGACTCGGCCCACCATATAGATTCTCGTAGTGGTCATGGCTGGGTCAACAATGACGCGCTCGCCCGAACTAGTCGTTGCAAGGTAACATTTTGTTATCCGATATTGCTCTGCAACCAAAGGGGAGACGTTGGACTTAAAGCCACCAGTGCCAGTGCTAGTGACAACCATGGATAAAATGAATATGCCAAGTGATGCACGACCGCCAATGATGCCAGGGATTGAAGATATGATCATGATGACGTGGCCCAACATGGCAACAACGACACTCCAGCATATTGTCTTGTAACGACCCCAGTAGGTATCAGCGATGTAGGCACCGGCAATGGGACAGATGTAAGCCCTAAATGAGACTGGGACTAAGGGACTGTCAACAAGATAGCAAAAGTGGACGAACCAGAACTGATAGAACGTGGTCAAGCCTGTAGACATTTGTTGACCGGCGCCTAGGGCCCCAGATTGGCCATTTGCACCACCGGCGCCCGTAGTGGAGAAAGGAGGAAGGGGTTGCTGGATGTAGTTGACCTGCAGGAGATAGACATTCGTACAACTAATTCATTGGAGAATGAGGGAATACTTACGAAAACAACACTAGAACCTTTAAAAGTAAAGTATTCAAAATATGTACGATGTAATGGCGATGAAGGTGCACAACATACCATAGTACTGAAAAGCACGTCAAGTGAGCATTCATGATTTGACACGACAAGATAGACTCACAGAGAATCTCTCGGCAAGTTCCACGACAGCAATCACTGCGAAAAGAATGTGGACTTCAATGGGCTAAATTTGCATGAGGGACGACTCACGATATGCATTCCATGGAATTGCGTCAGATACACGTCTGAGAGTGAGCATCTCCTCCGCAGTGGGAAACGGCAAGCCATCGTGGATGGTGTCGACATCGTTGTCCGAAGAATCAGCAACTATGCTCTCTGAGAACTTTTTCTCCGAGTCGTAAACAGTGCCGCTGTCAAGATGCTGACTGGTAGACTGGGCAAGACTAGCCACGATAGGATCACCTTCTGCCATCCTGGGCGATGAGCAGTTCTTCTGGTGGGAGGGGGCGTTCGAATTCGAGACCTGAGGCGTTTAATCATGTCGTGAGGGATTTGCTTTTATGAAGACCCGGCGTCGGTATAGTTGGCCCAGAAGTTATCGATGCAGTGTCGGTGTGTCACATGTGCATAGTTCCTAAAGAGCTCATTATGTAAGCATTTATGCTCAATTTGGGTGATTCTTTTAGAACACGTGTTTTACATTACAATTTTCATTGCACATGATTCGCATGCTGTATCGTCTAAATAATGAGCAGAGCCGTTTTTCAATCATTGCATGCGACAGCTAGCATGCTAGATCAGCGAACACTACGGTCATTCCCACAAACCACAAACTCTTCAATCCTGATGCCTATCCAGCCTTCCCCGCGCCCATAATCAACAGATTGCACAACCGACCACAATATTAATAGCTCTGGGTCTCGTCTTGGCACCGAACGCCAGTCACCAAGGCACTGACCTTATCTTCGATTCATGTGGCAGTTGCGCGCACGCTCAGCGTGTGCCCAACAACTTCCTTTGGTGGCATCATTCGATTCTTCAGTGCGTGGTAGTTTGAACCTTGCGCCAAGCTTCTTTTTCCATGTGCCTGCCAGCGGTTCAATCTACATTCGAAACTCTTGTCGTCCTGACTCCTGAGGATCTTGTCTTCGTTGGAGAATCGGCATGCTCTCCTCAGGTGTCGATCAGGTCAATCAAGAATACCTTGTGTTCTATTGGATTACAGTCCCGAGCCGTCCTGCTGTGCTATTTTATGTAGTCGAACCAAGATGTCTACTGCATTACCTCGCGTTCAAACGGAATTTTACGGATTGTGTTTTGCCATTCTCTGAAATGAGCTGACAGTGGCAGCAAGTCAAACGAACCCATAGATTGCCATAGGTCTTTCAACACCATACTCGAGCTGCCCATACTTGTAGTACGACTATCTTCCCTTGATTTGCTCCACTGCGGGAAAGTACTTTGGGGGTATCACATGTCACACTAGGCGTGCTCGATTCTTACGATGTCAAGTTCAAGGTGTGTCAAGTCCCACCGTGCCTTGAGCCGAACAACATAGCCGACCGGCGAGACCCCATTTGGGTTGCCGAAGCCAAGCTTACTCCGCCTTATCAACAACCATCGTGCAACACCAGTTATGCAGCGACAACAAGATTTTCGTGACCTCTTAACTGCCTCATCGTCTATGTTAGGTATCTCGCAGCGCGCTCGTCTTGAACTCGAGCACTTCATTTTTCCTGACAACGACAATGGTGACCACTGTCATCACACTGCTGCATCTTTCACAAGAACAAGCACAGTGCTTCAAATATTCGCAAGTCATCATGTGCAGCGGCCATGGGCTGGTGGTTGTGACCAATGTATGGCATGTTGTATTGTTGTGGAACATGACCTGGAGCATTATTATAAGTCCTCTGCCGAGCACCATTGATGTCTTGTAAGGCATTATATATATGCCATGCGAAGAATTAATAGGGTTGTATACTATGTTCCGTGCTGGATAGTTCATCACTGGTCAGTGGACCACAGTAAAGTTTCTATGTTCAAACTTAGTCCATTGGTGTGACGGCGTCTTTGCTTTGGTGGTTTCGGCAACCCAAATAGGGTCTTGCCAGTCGGCTATGTTGTTTGGCTCAAGGCACGGTGGGACTTGACACACCTTGAACTTGACATCGTAAGAATTGAGCTCTAGGCCAAGCATAGTGTCTCCGGTCATTCGCACTGATAAACACTTCCGAATCTCGTTACTCCACCGGATGATGATACGAGATTTTCCCACTATGTACTGCTAAACATGCTGTCCCTGGTGCGTGTAGTTAGTCGCCCATGCACCCAAATCGCGCAATCATGGCATCAGTCGACAACAACTGTCTGCTAGAATGTAGATATATGTGTATATGCGACGCCCAGTATTTCCAAAGTTCTATGCGAACGAATGTCTAGTGCGTGAGTAAGCGTGAGGTTGTGCTTGGCTAAAGTAATGGATGGATGGATAAGATATCAGTCGTGAAATAGTCCACGGTCGGTATAAGTAATAGTTTCATGACGAGATAACGTTAGCTTAGTATAGAGTCCTGCTGGATCAGAAAGATAAATCAGAAAACAGTTCGAGTTAGCTTAGCATCCGCCAGAATACTATAAATTAGGAATGTAAGCCGCCAGATCAATCAAATCGCAAGTATGACGCACCAAGCTATTTTTCGGTGTTGGATAATTCCACGACGTAAGGTTGGGATCTGGTGGTATCCATCAGTGTCATCTTCGACAAACCAGCGAGTTTGACAAACTCATATACGAATCCATATGCTGGTTGATATAATCCTCCGTAGGATAGTTTTGGGGGCTGCACCCAACATTCGTCTGCCCTCGCCGCTGATACACACGAACGTAGTCAACGAGCATCTCAGCAGGGAAAATCATCGTGCTTAGGTCGATTGTCTGCCAATTCGCTAGAAAGGACGTCAGTGAGTATTTCTACGAGGAAGAAAACTGGACATACGTGATATACCCAAGTTGAGGATGATGGACTAGTAGAATGGATACGTCAGCGAGGATAACATTGAGAAAGATGAAGACAGACCATTGGCTCTACAGAGATCAGTCGCTGCGATACGCCTGTGCCAAGTGGTAACGGATCGGGACCAAGTGCGGCGGCGCCAACACGCGCGGACTCGACGCCAGCGGTCTGCCATGCGATATACCCATCTGAGGGATTTGAGGGATCCGACCAATACTCGAAGCCTGAAATATGTCAGGCAACTAGGAAGTGGGGTCCGCAGAATTGCCTACCAAGAGTCGTGAACTGCGCGCCGGATTCTTCAAAAATATCATCGGGAAGAACCGTTAAGGCAGATACTGCTTGTTGGCTGGTAGCAGAAGAGATGTCAGTCCCAAGGAAACAACAGTGGTGTGATGTCGAAACCACAAATTACAATGAAAGGGCACTCACACTGCACTCCCTAGATAAGGATTTGCAGTTGTAATACTAGGCGTGTTGATAAACCACTCATCCTGGGTGTCGTTGAGATAGGTGTAATCGTGCGAGAAGGGTGCAAACTGGCCGGACTGCGAGACGACCTGTCCCGAGCCCACTTTATTATGTTCGACCTCGAGAATATCGATTTCAGGGGCACCACGGCCGACATTTACGGATGGCCCGGGATGATCTTCTCCTGGGCAGGTGCATGACCTGGATAGAGTTTTAGTGGTGCGCGTGAAAAGTGGGTATGTGCGCCAGTAAGGAGGGGCAAATGCTCAAACAAAAACAAACATCAAACAAGGCGGGTATGACTTACGACAGGCGCTGTCCTGGCAGCCATGATAGCTCATAATTGTACTTGGCCTTCGAAGCATTTGACTGAAGAGCAGCAGCAGGTCCAGAACCATCCGGCTCTGTCTGGTTCGGGAAAGTGCCAACATCACAGGAGTCATAGCTGAAGCAGAATAAGCACCTGAATTGCTGTTCAAACAATTGAACTCACGAGTAAGGCCATACGCCGTCTGTAGTCGCAGCGTATCCCGGACGTGCAAGATTACCCATCGTCCATGCACCTGGCCACTAAATCAATCCATTGATTAGTACTACGCATCCCGAACCGCTCCTGTTGAGAGGTATGCTCAGCGCCACAGCCACTCACATAGCCCTGTGTCTCCTGATTCGGACCCGGTAAACTGATCGACACCTCGATATAACCGCCCGTAAAGCAAAACTTGTTCCAACTCTGGAGCATACCACTCCGGTAGGGCAAGTCATTCTCAGGATTCTGGTCCATGACGATGCTCAAGTACCCATCCCTTGTTGTTATTTGGCCAGGGTCATACCACTCCTGATCGCCGGTGCTCCCGTACCAGATGTCTGCGGCTTCCCAAAAGGGATCATCTCCAGGCCAGAAAGTGCGGTTGGCTGTATTGAATTCGTCCGAGAAGACTAGCTCGTAAGGGAGGCCATCAAATCCTGTTCGCGTTGCGGCACTACTAGGCGTATCAGGATCGATGAGTTGTGCCATTTGGAATCTGAACAGGTACACTGTCAGTGAGGTAGTTCATATTACACGAAAGAAGCAGGAAAATAGTGAAGTGGTGGGACGTACAGATACGAGACCTGGCCGGTTCCATTGACGAGTACGTTGCCTGTAATGAAGTCTTTCTCGGCGCGGTCGTGATAATAACTGAGAACGGGGTAGATGATAAAGAGACATAAGAGAGCCAAAATGAGGAGGGAGAGCACCCCAACATTGAGGATACCTCTGAGGGGAAAGGTACGTTCGTTGAAAGCGTCATCATCAGGATCATCGGGGGAATCATCCTGATCTAGCTCGTCGAGGGCTGGGTCATAGACGTAGGGCACGAGAGCACCACGTGCATTCCAAGCACCAGAAGGATACTTGCTGTCGTATGAAAGTGAGAAAATAGAATCTCCTGAGGTAGTAAAGACCGAATCGCGGGGAGGGAGTGGCTTTGGTCGGATCAATGGACCGCCCTTGTCTTCTACGGCCAAACGATATAGTATCATTGAACCACGTTGACTAGAAGGAAGCGAGGCCATGTTGGATGCAGCGAGGACCTGGGAGTCCTCTGAAGCTACGCGGTTGAATTGCATGCTTTGGCGAGACTGCGACCGATAACGCGGATTTGGCGGCGAGGACGAACTGGAGAAATTAGGATTCAAGGGAGAGGATATGTAGTTCAGGTTGGCGCTGTGGGATAATGAGTGTGTGGGCGTCTGTCTGGACTGAGGTGAATCAGCAGGGAGAAGGGGCGTTTCGACGATGGAGGGGCTGGATGTTTGCGAGTATGACATGTCCTGAGCAACTTCCGTATGTCGTGCTTCATCACGGTCGGCGTACTGAACTGTTTGGCCGTTGGGGGTATCGCGTGAGGCAACCATGCGATCTTCACGTTGTGAATCGAAAGTCGTTTCATGCCAAACAGAGGTATTTGCGGAGTTATCCAAGTGCTCCCTTTCGCCGCTAGAAGAACTAGTGATCCGTTCTGGCTCCATTGCACTAGTTGACGATCCACCGACGAGGGTCGCTGCTCACGATGGCCTCAACGCAGTACTTGGGGCGCGAAGATAGGACTAGTCACGTCAAACGCCGCAGCCTGCGGAAATTCAAGTTGTGAGAACAGGGCGGCACGCCCGTTCCTCGCCTCCACTTTTGCTTCCTTAAGCTTACGGCTAGCCCAGATACTTTGATTACCCGGCATAAGTGTAACTTTATTTTTATGTAAGTTGTTGTACTCACTTTAATTATAATTAGGTTGCGCACACGCCTTGGGTTCTCTTTCAGCTGACAGGTCCGCGAAGAGCCGAGTCATTTTCTACTTGGCATCGAGCTGGCAAGGGACGATGTCAGCTGCATCCTGACTGCAGAGATAAGCTCGTCGAGGCTTAGGGAGCTGTGCTTTGGGCGTGTGACTCGGATATTATTTTATCAGGCAGCTTCGAACCTTCGACATAAGTATAGTACTAGCATAAGCGACATGGTCACGGCGATGGACAGGCTAAACTGTTACAAACTGATTTTCTCAGGCTGTGGTATCTCATGACATAGTGCCATGTCCAATGTATCTTTTGCCAAGGGCGTGCACGGCAGTGATACAGGTATGCTTTCAACATTTACTACCTGGATCTCGCTAGAGCATTCGAGACCTAACCTCGTTCCAGAGCACTCTAGAATACCTTTCGAATAGAATTCCACCTATCTATTATTGAATGCTCGTCGTTGATTAGCCGAATGCTGATATATATAAGCCTCTTAGACCTCGCCTAAACCATCGTGGCTGTTCATGTCTCTCTTGCGGTACTCATGCACATGACCAACGAAGGCAGCTTAATTCCAAAACCTATATACAGTGTATAGGCGTTCCTTCTCTCGCATAATGGCGCTGGTCGAGGTTTATTTTCTAGCAAGTGCCGTCATCAAGGTCTTCGTTGTAGGAAACTGTCACAGCCGTGGAGCTACTACCGGCCACGATGACCGAAGCCATCCTTCTGGAGTCCCTGTCAACTTCCTGGCTGTACGATTGCCTGGACTCCGAGTCTTGACAGATTTACTTGGCAAGAAGTTTTATTATTTGCCAAGCCATGGATGGACTGGAGTCTGATCGGTTTCAGAGTGCCCGGAAGGAACCGGCACCACACGTCTAGCTGAGCGAGAATTCTTTTCTTCTCCGTTCCACGCATCCTACTCGCTCCGTTTCCCGCCCACCCAGCGGCATTGACAATCTCGTCAGCGTTCAATCCTTGGCCTTAGCCCAACCACTGTTCGAATGACCTCGATGCCGTCTGATAGACAAAGCTGGACATGCACAATCACACGGTGCGTCCTTATCGTCGTCGCTTCTACTTGGCATCGAAGAATCATCCCTACAAGAACTCCTCGCTTATTCAGCTTCGAAATGAGCTCTGCAGCATGTTGCGCTCGGACGGCTGCAGGTTTTGAGTCCTGACTCGTCGGTGAGATTGTATTTGGCACGGAACAACGTACCTGGCACATAGGACATATCACCCACCATATGGAAAATTTGCGTCATCACACCGAAGAACAGCATACCTTATTACTGGTAGTTCCAAATAAACTGTCCTTCCGCTTATACGCATCCCTCGTCTTGACAGGTCTTGCCAATCCCTCCCACCACCGAATCCTGCATAAGGAACAGCCGCCTGTGCCGCGTCCCCAGTTTCATTCGACATACATTGCGTGTCTAAAAGGGATGTGGTTTGTCCCGATTCCCGATCTGCATATCAAAAATACATTACAAACACTCATCAACGGCAGCTCCCACAAATTCCTCTCCTACCAGGAGTCTCTCGCTTCGAGCATGACGTTGTTTGGTGGTAGAAGACGAGAGAAAGGCGACAGATATCTACGGGCGTATGACAATGGGAGTACAGGGGAATGGGTCCAAGGCATCTAAAGGTTTGAACATATACTAAGACTGGTGATAATCGAAGCATGCAGGTTCGAAATACTTGAATGTATCTTAAGCCAGGCACGTTCGTCTTTTGTTAGTTGTCTCCTGGCGAAACCTGCATGTATTAAATGGGAATGGAATAATTGCAGAAGCACGAACCAGTGCTTCTCAAAATTCGTCCGTGTATCACTAGAAAACTGGCGGTGCTTGTCATGGATTCATCGATATACCACTTGTGCAATGGGATGAAATTTGAAGGTGGTCTATTGCATCGTGAACCTGTGTCAACATGACTTGAGAGGATAGAACTAGTCTGAATAAATGCGATTCTAGGAAGCGCCTGCATCGGAGGTTTCTCCTCTTCCCTGTGTATATGCGACGCCTATGACACCTGTGTGTACTGTTCATGTGGAACATCAGGGCGACATACTTTGCTACAGAGTGCTCTGTAGCACTCTGTAGCGCAATCCACCTCACTGATGAAATGTTGCCAAGTTATGAAATGAATATCCCGTTCTTCGCAGCTTGCTAGCACATAGTGCGCCAGAAGGCTGTCCAATGCGAATGATCAACCCTTCGTGGAGTTGTTCACCAAGGATGTCGTGGTGAGCCAATACTACGCAAATACGTTTATTCACCACATGACGAAGTCACTTTCCTTCGTGCAAAAGTCCACAGACCACCCTCTTACACGACCAGAGAAGCAACATATCCAAACCCTCAAACACGACAAGAATGGGAAAATATGCGGACCTCATGGTCAGAGACAGCGAAGAATTTAGCGACATCACTTGGGGACGTTCGAAACGCGTGGCAAAGGGTAAGTTCTGCCTTTGTACGACTAAGCGAAGATCGATGGATGGTGACAGCTTGATCCGCCCGAATTATAATTGGGATGTACACTGCCCAGACAGAAGCATGCAGCAGGATAGAGCAAAAGATGACGAGAGACATGTGTTCGGGAAGAGGAAGGTATCTAGATAAGTTGTGGATTTGTACAGGCCCGGGATGGCGTCATATACATCCGGGTCAATAACTGTGAAACACGTCAGAGTCAGCTACTTTGAGAATTCAGCAACATACGTATGTAATGATGACCCAGACACAGAATAATTGAAGCGGTGAGTGCTGAAAAGTGTCCGCCCAAAGACTCGTTCAGACTGACAAGACATCAGATGGCGCTCAACAGGTCCTTGATATGAGGTCGGGTACAACACAAACATTTTGTTTCACGATCAAGATACCGTCCTCTGAGCCACCTGGGATGACTGGGGTCGTTAAAGCAATTCCTGTTAAATCCTATGTGAAAATAAAGTGTAAAAGTCAAAGGAATGAACTACTAAGGCCGCCAATATTGAGTTCAATACAGTGCACAAGTCTCACGACGAGAAAACAAGATCCATGATATACTGAAGGCAACAAAAGAGATATAAGTGTAAATCACTAGAAGCAAAGGCGAAGGAATTGTACAGACGCTGCAACGCTGGCTGCGTTAACTACCATTGGAATGTGGTGGAGATACACAGCAGAGAAACGGCACGATGTGAGCCCACCATGAGATATGTGGTGGTTGAGCGGCTGCTGTACCTGGAGCAGGAGGTGTTGCGGATGTTGAGGTATCGGCAAGTTGAGTTTGCGATGACAGCACCTGGCCGTGCAACTGCGTTTGTTGCTCATGTGCTCTTTTTGCCTTCTTGAATCGTGGCCCACGAGCAACATTCAAAGCCTGAACAGAAATCGTCAAACTACGGCGATTGTAAAGGTACTCATGAGAGACATACCTGCTTGTCCCGCACTGCAGCCACTTCGACGACAAGAGGACGACTTGGATGTTGTGTGAGTTCGATTGCTTCATGGGTGTGGGGTTGAAAGCGGAAAAGTGAGAACAGCCGGCCGATGAATGCATCTGGACGTGAAGTCAAAGGTGTTGTGGAATGAGGTTCGGCCGCTTCAACATTTTCGGTTTGAAAGTGATGGAGGAGTGAGCGAAGGCGAGTGAGGAGTGTATTTGCAGAAGAATGAGGGTGTGTATCGGAGGACTGAGAGCAAGGAGGTCTTGATAAGAACCAAGTTGTAATAGAAACACTGATTGATTACATACATGAAAATCAGCAAAAAATGTTGGTGAGAGCTCATCAATACAGCCAAACTGGTCAGGATCTCGTGTAGCATCAGCCTAGAATGTTGCTGTTATAATGAATGAGAATGATTGCAAACACGACACATACATCTAAAACTGACTCGTCGCCGAGCGAAGAGCGGGATGTGTGCTGTATGTCTGAATCATCAATGGAAAGCAGATCTTCAAGGCCAGCTGTTTTGAGGATGGCATAGATGTCCCATATGTACACGTTCTCATCCATGCAAGCGGTAGCTAGCACCTTTCCATCTGGGGAAAGGGCTGCAGAGCGCAAAGGCTTTTCATGCTGAAGAGGTGGCCCAATTGGGGAGTTGGTATCGAGATTCCATAGACGCGGTATGGTTTCATCGAATGATACACTTGCAAGGAGGTTGTTGTTGCGAGACAGGGAGATGGTGGTGACAAAATTTGTGTGGCCTTCAAGGATAGCAATCTGCTGCCAAGTAGCAGTGTCGAATATCCTAATCGGGCCGTATGAACCGGAGATGAGCTTCCGTCCATCTGATGTCCATGCTAAGCTGCAAACTACATCATCGTGTTTGAGTTTGCTGAGACGTTTACCCGTCTTTGCATCCAAAATATGTACAGCATTCGCCCAGTCTCCGCCCATCGCAAGTTTCGAAGAGTCAGGTGAGTACATAACCACTCGCACCCATTTCTTCCTGGTCTTGATTTTCAGGACAGTTTTGCCGCTATCGACATCCCAGATTCTTGCCGTCCCATCCCAGGATCCGCTTGCTAATCGATTACCATCAGTACTCCAGCATAATGCACACACCGTTCTGCTGTGTTCTCTCCATCTAGCAATGACCTTCATCGTCTGGACGTCCCACAGCCTCACTCTCCCGTTATTACTTCCGCTGGCAATTATCTTTCCATTGGGAGACAACGCCATAGACCATAATTTTTCATTCTCGTCCCGCCAGTACTCGCCTATCTGTGTATCCGAGCCGCTCTCTAGGTTCCATAGTCGGAGTGAGCCATCCAATGAATATGTGATGATGCGTTGTTCGCCAGGCAAGTGCACAACACCGTTTACAAAGTCGCTATGACCTCTCATCGTTTGGTTTGGCATGATCGGTGGTATAGAGTAAAGCATGGTCCGTGCTTGAAATCTGAACTACTGCAGATTGTGGACTGTATACGAGAGAATTCTGCTGGGACCTTGGAATTGAATCTAATCAGACCAGGTTATCCGGCAATGTGAAAGTTTGCTGGTGAGCCCAGGGACCTATCTCCTTTCGGTTTGATGCTTGTAGAAACTATGGCTCAAGAGACAGCGTGCTGCAAAACTCGAGAACACGCAAGAGTTCTTTGTTGACATCCAAAGTCCCTGGTAGGCAAGTTGTCAGCTTTTACTGGCAGAGGAGTGTAGAGTGTCCCTCACAGAAAGCACCGTTTAGACAATCCCAGTGGTCAGCAGCGATCCATGTGTGCCTGGTTGTGAGTCGAGGGCGGTCGTTTGTTCATACCTTTTTTTTCATTAAAGGCCTGTTCGTTTCCAGTACCACGTGCAAATTTTTATACGTAAGGACTACGTTAATGCTTCTAGTACGTCTTGCCTCCACTTCGTACGTATCTTCCAGCCCATGTTCTAACTGGACGCCATCTACTTTTCAGGATGTATACAGGTTGTGCGGAATGCCAACAGTATTGGTACCCATATTCATGAAGTTGTCATTGACCAACGATGTCATGGTGTTCCGCAAATACATTATTTACTATCATAAAGTAACTTTCCTTTGTACAAAACTTGGCAGACCACTCTCTTGCACCAATAGAGAAACACCGCATCCACTTATCAAACCCTGAACAAAATGGGAGAATATGTGGATCTCATCGTTCAGAAACAGAAAAAGACTTAGCAATATGACTTAGACGTTGCAGGTCGAAACGTGTTGTGAGGAGAAGTTTTGGGCTCTGTACGACTGGGCGAGAATTGGTGGCGACAGCTCGACCTATTGAGCCATAATTGCGAAGGCGGGAGAATAGAGTAACATGCCCATTTTCATTGACCTGTGATGCCTTAACCAAAGGTATGATCCTTGTTGAGAGCACCGTATTGCTTGCCTATCGGTAATAGTCTAAGCAAGATATAAAGCAAAATGTTGAAAATGTAGTGACTAGTATCGAGGACTCGCCAATTCACTGATGAGAGATGGAGCAGAAAACGTACTCATACACTGCTTGTTCCCCTCGATCCTTGTCCGCTACACGTTACAACGGCAACGTGTATTCATGTACTGGAAAGGTCCGAGTGAACGGGGGGAACTCAATCGGATGATGAAGTCAGCGGTGGAAGAAGACTTCGTGGACATTTTCAGCCAGCAGCTCAACCCTACCGTCGCCCTTCTATTCGCGATTTCATATAATGCTGCGGAGGACAACAAACTATGTCTATGACGACTATGAGGACGATAAGTTGGACAAGGAGCATAGTGAGAAGAAAGCGACATGGTCACGGCGACGGCATCGAACGTTGGACAGGCTTTACAACTGATTTTCTCAGGCTGCCACGGTATCTCATGACATAGTGCCAATGCTTATCACCAGCACCATGTACATACGACAACTAGACACCTGTTTGTATACGAGATGATATTGTTCATGTGGAAGATATGAAATGAAAATATCCCGTTCTCCGAAGCTACAATATTTCCAGCATCCTGATGTCCATCATGTCATCAACAGCTGCCATGTCCCTGACTTGTGCAATGATATTGTTATCCGAAGCAATTCTCTATACTCCCCACCCCACTGCTGCGCTAGCAAAAGTGCGGCAAAAGGCTGTCCGAGGCGAACGATCAACCGCAACTCTCGCATAGTCGGCTCGTTATATCCAAGAGATCCAGAATTTGGCAAATCTTCCACGATCTGCGTCTCGTCTGTAAAGTCGATCAGCCCGAGATCATACCGATTCCATGGACGAACGAGCAGGAATGTCTGCCGAGTACGTCTTGTAGGCCAGAATTCAACTAGCTTGTCTTCCGTTGTGACCCGCAGGTCCTGTAGACCGTTTGCCTTGACGTCATAAGTGGAACATCCATTCCGGTCTTCATTGGGCCTCTGCCTGACTTCTGTGAGAGGAAATGTGATGCAGGGCAATTGCAACCTGGCGTTTGCGAAACGAGGAACGCTGAGGTTCTCAAGAGTGGTATACAATTTCGAAGCTGACTCTGCAATAGCCACAATACTGTCTGGCAGCATGGAGACCGAATTCTGCATGTAGTTTTCAGATATAGATGGTGACATGCACGGCAGAGCCTTGTATGAGGAAATCTCAGCTGGGAGACAACTGTTGAAGTTGGATGATTGTCCCACCCAATCCAGGGCCGTGATGTCGCCCGAATGGGCTATAATCTCCTGCAAGAGTCGTCCGAGCGCCTTTTGTCTTTTTTCTCCATAGATGACAGGAAGGGTGACATCGAAGATGCCGAACAGCGAGTAGGCAATGTCTTCCTCCCTCGTGGTGTCACGGTTTGACGCCCATCGGAGTTTCTCTCGGACATCTCTTGTCCCTGGACGAAAGTCGACGAGCGCCCGCGCATTGATGCCAGTTGAATGCTCTAATTCATCCATGATATTGAGAGATTGCTTGTGGTTGTGTGAGAAGTTGTTGAGATATGGGGTCCAATCTGCCTGGTAGAAGATAACGATTTTGGGAGCGAGAAACTCCTGAACGGTCCATCCTCGCGTATTCCAGATGCTGTTTGCAAGCGCGCCCGACTTTGACGAGTGGGGGACATCAGATAGGTAGATAACAGTGAGCGCTGAGTAGTGATACCAGACGAACATGGAGTTGACTGATTGCTGAAGCTCTACATTGTTGTTCTGGTCAATACAACATGTATCGCTCCACGCCCAACGATATCCTGCATTGTGTGCAACCTTGCAAAATTTCTGCAACTTCACGATGGTTCCGACAGGATCCAAGTCATATATGACCTTGTCTTGAATGTCGTGCAGTAGCGGCTCCTTCCTTTCCCACCTATGGGACAGCATGACCCAACTGAAGTGCTTGATGACCGCTTCCTCGATGAGCTCCATTCGGAGGGGCGCATGCATCACCAATGAATGCAAAAGCTCTTTATGCTCTATACTCTCCGTGAATGCATTTATCTGTGCATCTCGATTGCACAAGCGTCCAGTAGAAGTGTTGATTAGACGAAGAGGAGCATTTTCCAGTTGGGCGTGTATGGCTCGTTGAATGGCGTCTTCTACTTCAGATGGTCTCACGTATTGCTGGCGTAGCTCTGCAAAGATGTAGATTAACTTTAAGTCGGTACTCGAGTTGTTTGGGGCTTACGTAGTATCTCTGGGTCGAGTGGATCATCCAACTTGGAGAGCATGATTGTGAAGGCCTCGAATGCATCATCATAGCGTTGCGCTCCACGAAGCGCTGCAAGCTTCAGTTCGTACCCGACATAAGATGAAGGGTTGAGCTCAATGACCTATGAACATCATCACAAATGTTAAAACAACGATGGATATCATCCGCACCTTTTCTGCGTCTAAAAGTGCTTCCGCATACAACATTTGGCCCAACTTGACCTTACTGCTATGTGCAAAGTATGAGGGATTCATCTCAAACGAGTTCTTGATGGACCACAGCTGAAGCTTCCCATCAGAGTCTCCACTTGCGATCAGTTCTCCATTGAGAGAAATTGCAACGCAATCAAGATATGCGGTGTGTTCAGGTGCCTGTCCAATCTGCTGGTGTGACTGTGTGTCCCACAGGCGCACGGTCTTATCGCGTGAGGTAGTGGCAATGAAGGAGCCATCAGAAGAAATGGCAAGTGACCTAATGTAGGAAATGTGACCAATACAAGGTAGACCAATCTGGAACCCATTCGAGGAGTTCCAAAACTTGATTGTTCTGTCGCCGGATGCGGAGACAAGTTGCTGGCCATCGAACGACCACACAACACTTTCAACCCAATCGCCATGAGCGTTGATGTTGAGTAGAAATGTGACGTCATCGGTGCTCCAAATCCGGATATTACGCAATGTTCCGTAGATTTTCCTCGATTATTGAGAGTACAACGCCAGTCTCCGCATCCCATATAATAACTGTTTGATCCCATGACCCGCTGGCAAGTCTCGTTCCATCGGGGGAGAAGCACACAGAGGACACCTGGTCTGCATGTTTCACCAGCGGCCTTAATACCATCTGCTTGCTAGCGACGTCCCAGATGATAATGGTATCATCATCTCCACCGCTCGCAATTCGCATATCGTCTGGTGATATAGCGACTGAAGTCACATAATGTATGTGTCCCTCAAATGACCTTCCTATGAATGCTCTTTTCTCCACATCCCAGATTCGCAGGGTTTTATCCCTTGAAGCAGTGACGATTCGTCGACCGTCTTTGAAAAATGCGATTCCCGTCACTGCCTTCGTGTGCGCTTGCTTCGTGTGTGTTGGCCCCGACGTCCCTCGCCCTTTCACAGTAAGATACACTTTTTTTGCTACATCGCGCAATCCCTCCATATCGCTGAATAGGGAGATTGAGATGGCTAGTAGCGTTCGAAGTTGATGGGGAGCTAGGTCAGTCGTCAATCTGATGTGTCGTGGGACATCATGAGAGCTGGATAACCCAATTCATGCAGGCTCTTTATGTACATCATCTGTTACTACAGCATGGATCTGATCTTGGTCCGGCCTTGGCAATTATATACTTATGTCCATAAACCCCATATAGTATCTCTGAATAATTGCAATAGAAGAAATCCTTGTCGTATAAGTACACTGAAATTTCAGTTCCTATCGAGTTGTACCACTTCGAATTCATCCTTCCTGCTAGATGCAATCAACATCATGAGCTCAATATTTCAGGCATAGTATCTCTCAATGGACTCATCCGGAAGCAAGTACACAGGTACGAAAATGAGGCTGTGGATGAGAAATTTCGAGAGTGATGTATTCTATCGTAATCCAAGCATCGCAACCCAAAGCTGTATTCAGAGTAGACCGCCGTCCGCATGAAGGGTTAGCAGATAGTTATATAAGCAGATAACCAACTATCTATGGCTTGTGTGAGCGGTCCGCCTGATTCCGGCGGGACTAGCGGACCGAATATGACGTGCTCATTCTCAACTTTATGCCTTGCTTTGATCGCAGTATCGAGACCTATCTTGTTTTGTCTTACAGAGATCTTGCCGGAACTCTCAGATATAACTGAGGGTGTTGCTGACGGCTTGCCGCTCGCTACATCAGCAATATAAGTATAACCTCATATGTACGGTTTATGACCTTTCGAGCACACTTCGAACCTGCGCAAACACCAGAGGACTTAGCACAAGATAAATTGCATCATAGCCATACAACAAACTCGCTACTACCTTCATTCTTGCTACCCTGTCCGGGAGTGTTAATGCAAAACTATTCATGACTCGAGTCGCACCTTAGGCACTTTTAGCTTCGACCTCGAGGAAAAAGAATTTTGTCGAGCTGCTGCTCGAAGTCATCTAGAGAAGGCCTATTTGAGCCTTCGTCCTCCTCGGACCCCTCAGCTTGTAGCCGATGGAGTTCTTCAGCTCAAGAAAAGAGTTGTGAACGCAGAAAACGTACTCACCCATTGCATGTTCCCCTCGATTCCTGTCCGCCACACGTTACAACGGCAACGTGTATTCATGTACTGGAAAGGTCCGAGTGAACGGGGGGAACTCAATCGGATGATGAAGTCAGCGGTGGAAGAAGACTTCGTGGACATTTTCAGCCAGCAGCTCATCAACCCCACCATCGCCCTTCTATTCGTGATTTCATATAATGCTGTGGAGGACAACAAACTATGTCTATGACGACTATGACGACGATAAGTTGGACAAGGAGCATAGTGAGAAGAAGGCGGGGTGCCCTGCATGGGATTCATTTCAAGACGTCTTCTCTCTGATGTACCTGTCCTGATGTTCCGTGAGTTTCATCCTACAAGCTGATAGTGTCACATCTGGAAGCGGACTACGAACTCGTGATATTCCTTGATGCAAAGGAACGCATCCCTAGATCTTTCAGGTACAAAAAGTATATTTGCATCATCTAAAGATTGGGCTGCTACAACAACTGCTTGTAATCCTAAAACGTTCAAGCACATATACATATACTCACTGATCAGTCGGGAGAGAAGCGGCGACCATGGCTTCCTGTTCATCAATGGTCTTGATGCTTCAGCCACAAGATCGATGGTGCTCGTACAAGCGCTGCCTGTCATTCAACGTTCAATATTCAACGGTGATCATCAAAGTTTCCGGACACCAGTTTGACACTGGATAAGCAAATGATGCAACCCGGCGACCACTCACTATAAGGATGAAATAAGAGTCTTCTGATGGTGATCGTGACTTCATTGGACCACTGAAAAAATGTTGTCCGGTGGGCGCCGACTGACCTTTCGAGAAGAGGGGCACTGCTGCGCATCCTTGTGCGTTCTATGATAGAATCATGATTATGAAAATCACGCGAACGTTATACAACTCACAACAACAAGCAACGTTGATTATGCCGTAAGTATAGCCAACGTATGTTGGAGGCTCTGTGTGGTGCGGATATCGAAACTGCCAGAATGTTTCAGAACGAGCTGCATCACTGGTTTGGGCTGATCTCAGAACAAAGCACAGCAACTGCTAGGCAAATTCGGGTTATTGAAACCGAGAAGTTCGACCAAGACTCCGACGTATTATGAGAGCGTAGTATATTGAGTCCATGCGAGCCTGATATATCACCGCATCCTTGCGTAGGGAAATGCTTCGATGGGACTTCTTTGAAGTTCTTTCACGCAATGGACTCTGAGAACGTCGGAAGAATGGATGCGTCAGCCAGCGGACCCTCGTTATCGTAAATGTGAAGCGAGGAGCTGAGAAACCCAGTGCCCTACCCAGTGCAACTCGTGTGGAGATCAGGCTGGACAGAACAGGCTATGCTCCGAAAGCACTGCTAAATGTGAGAATAAAGGTCTGAGGCCAGGCAGGATCAATGGTTGGTGATGAATGAATGAATGGATGAATGAATGATGGCATGATGGCATGCAGCCGGGTACGCCTAATTCAAGTGTTGGGGTGGCCGTGGAGAACGTGTGATCACTATGACGTGTATCGTGAGGATGATCATCGGACCAGGGACAGGTTTAGTGGTCTGCGGTAGACCTTCGGAAGCAATTCGGCGGCATTGCACAGCGCCTTTGGTGGAATTATATCAACACTCAACGAAACGGTTTTGTTCACATCCAACACAGTCGCAGTTCCACAACATCTACAGTACAATGTCCGCCCATCCTTCTCCAGACCCATTTCAACGTAGGTTTTTCATCTTTTTCTTTTACATATGAAAACCTGACATTCGTTCGTTACCAGCCATGACTATGTCGCCATCTTCTAGTGTTCAACACTCGCCCCCTGTTGATCTCAGACGTATGACGTCCAATTCGACACTTCTCACCCCCCAGAAAGATTCAACTAGGGAACATAGACTCTCAACTCACACTTCTCAGCACTTGAACACAAGAATGGGCTCTCGCTCACCTTCTTCAATTCCTTCATCACCGACATCTGCGTAGCCACTCCACTTTTACCAAATGATCACTTATATTTATCGCAACAACAGCCACTCATCGTCATCCGCAATTTTCGAGCGTGATATTGAGCCTATGCACCCCCCTTCTCCCCCTTCTCATCCGAATCCCCATCGCATCGCGCGTGCAAAAGGCACCGAACAACTCGAGCACAGCGTACCTTCTGTGCTCGATAGTGCTGCTTCAATTCTTGCAGCTTCCTCTCCCATGGAGGAAGATCACATTTCCGTCGTTAGTCCTTCGCGAGATCGTGATCGCCTCACTACCAGCGGTTTTGCTAGCCCAATCGGTAGCTTGAGAAGCAGGAGTCCGAGTCCAACGGGAAGAACGAGCTTGTTGCTGAGCATCCCGGTTCAGCAGGGGCCCATTACTCCCCTAAATCTTTCTACGCCGGGTGTGGGAGCGGGCAGTCCGCAGCGCCTGAGCATTCAGACCAGCCCAGTCACGTTTCCCTCAAAACAGTGTTCGAGTAGCAAGGCGTCTGCCGCACCTTCTATCAGCACGCCTGCATCTGTATATTACTCCACGCTCTCATCAGTCGAACCATCACCTACAACCACGACTGCGGAGCATCCCTCTGCTGCGCTCCCCCCCATTGCCATCTCGACATTGTCACCCTCATCGACCTACACATCTTCACCTTACTCGCGTCCCATTACCATCTCCCATCCCCCGTCCCCTACGCACGGGCCCACTAAGCGTCTCTCGTTTATGAGTTACGCAGATCTGCTCGCATCGACGCCCGCATCAATGGTTCCATTGTCGTCATTCACTACCTGCGCAACTCCCGACCCGCCACCTCATATTCCAGGTGTCGAAGGGTACGCGCTCAACCAACACGATACTGCGAGTCTTAGTGGTCGTGAGCGTGACAGCATCGCCATGCTCGATGATGTCGGTGGCGAGTGGGCAGCGCGAGGGTCTCGGACAAGGCCTCGAAGAAAGATTAGAGGCCTTGATGATCGTCCCTAGCAAAGCATAAATCTCGATGCGCTGAAGTCAAACTCCCGCCTTTTTGACTCATGCACTGCGAAACCAACATGAAACTAATGATATTTTACGATTTCACGCTGTATTAATCTGTCCTTCGTTCTATGCATATCTTTCCCTATTCCTATTCCTATTCCCGCCCTCGATACCGGCTACCTACTTGTTTTCCACGACGTCAAGTCAGTAAAAATATCTATGTATGATCGTCTTATTTCATTACTTATGATAGGTTCGATTTCTTCCTCTCTCTTAGGTACCGATTCTTCACTCTTGTGAAGTTTTCCCTCGAAGTTGGTGTTTAGTTTCGGGTATTCGTGTGTTGATACGACGCAGTGGTTCAGATAGTTGTTGTCAATTTTAATGTGATTTAGGTGACATGCCTTTGAAAGCAAGCATAATACGGCCCCTTCGGTCACCTCTTCAACAGCGTCTCTGAGAATATACCTTGGTGGGAAGAAGAAGTCAACGGTTCGTTGCTGCAACGAGTGCAAGATCCTACCGGATCCATGAAAGCCATGAAATGGGGTTCATCGATGCTGCGGACTGCAGTATTGAGGCCTGAGGCTGGAAACGCGCATGTATGGCCATAGCACTGACAACTTTACACCGGCCGCCACTGCAGAATTGCATGCTGCTCCGAGGACCAATCCTATGAATGGTTGTTCTCCATTGGCCAATTTGGAGCAACACAGCATGAGGATGCAATGCGCGTCCGCACAGCATGACGTGGTCGCAATAATAGCCTGCGGGCACTCACGGGACCGTCTTTCTCGCAAGACTTATTGATATCGTTACACGAACTAAAAAAACTGCGCAGAACAGCAACTGAATCTGAGCTATTTTAACATGAACGACATCACTGAATGCATAATTAGATGAGTTATAAGAGTTTGAAGGAGAATGCCGTTGAGAGATGCTTCGGACGAGCTGAAAACGTTGACTTCTGAGAGAGATTGATTGACTGAGGATACGAAAAGTACTTGCGGTTTATATACGAAAGATCCAAGAGCTGTCAAGAGCGCGAGTGATAAGTCATGACATTGGCATAATATCAAGGGAAGATAAGACGATAATCAGACAAAGCACTGAAGGTCGAGAGACAAGGCAAAGACAAAGAACATAAAGGACGGCGCGAGAATGTGAAACGTTAGAGAGTGTGTATGAAAAAGGAAAATAATCCGTGCAGCGTCGAAACAGTGGAAGTGGTTGTTGTAGTGTGCAGTGCCTCCATCGCTAAATGCGAAGTTGTCCTCGCAGAGTAATCGATGGAACACCTGCCAGTACCTTTGCAGGACCTCCCAATGCTCAAGCTTCGCCCACCTTCTGAGGTTCTTTACCACCACTCATTTTGCGAATAATCTCGACGAATACGTTCGAAAAATGGTGGTAGAATGGTGAACCAATGGTCGACACCAAATGACAGGTGGCAAGGAAAGCAAATGTTATGCTCATATAAAGTTGGACAGTTCCGGAGTGAGATGCAAACCCCGTGAACACGATGGCTGATGATGAGTGTAAGTCGCGACCACGCATCACGAGGTGAATTGCCTACCTATGAGTAAAAGTATCACTGATATGACAAAGATAATGATTGGCACAGCTAAACTCAGTAAGTGCCAGAATATTCTCCAGCGTCTCTGAATTATGATCTGTAGCAGAGGTTAAATTTGATTTGCTATCCTGACAATGAACAATACGTACTTCTGCAGCACTACGTTTTTGAAAAAGCATTCCAGAGGCAGATACCTTCAGGCAGAACAATAACCCGAACAACGAAAAGACAAGCGATTCCGCCAAACAAGCATAAGATGCATCAGATGTGTAGTTGACATCTCTCGCAAGCGGTGGATTTGAGGAGATAAAAACAGCCGCAGTAGCAAGCACGAGTCCTTGCTGCGCAGAAACACATTAATGTGATCAATTTGAATGAATAATGCCCATCTTCGACTTACCACCGTGCTCACTTGATTGAGCTGGGCCAGATATTGCTGATGCAGTTCTTCCCAGTTGTTTCCATCTTTCAAGAGGTCGTGCAACCACTTCAAATCGCCGCGCCAGGTAAATATAAAGCAGCATATTTTGAAGATGTACTTCGAAATACTAGGGGACGTCGGAACCTCCCAATTCCGTGGGAGGCCGTTGAAAAAGCTCTCGCCCGGGGCAGGTTGTGAATATGACGGACTGTGAGTACCCACTGGCAACTCGAGTAGTTGACATGAGCAACGGTAGGGTGGTAACCGACCTATCTGGGTCAAGACCAATTGCGAGGAATATATAGGCCACGTAGAGGGTCTATGCTGCCTCATGGTCGACCGCGCCTAGAATCTGATGGAACAGCGCCACTTTATATCAGCCTTGCAGCACTGAACATTCGAATGTACGTGTACATCACATGAGCGCTAACACTTCCAGGAGGAGCGGAAAATGTAGCTACATGAATGAACAGCACTACAATTCTGCCCGGAGAATCTCTGAAGGGACAGGTAACGTTTCCGAGAGGACATACTGTACTCATAACTTGAATGCCTTGTGAACTAGGAGATTTCCTGTGTAAAACTCTGTCACTACAACATAGTTTGAGATCAGTTCGGGAGCGAATTGACACGCACCATCCAAGCAAGGCATGCTTCTCGGCCCTAAACAGTTATAGTGGGATCACCTATCGTCAAATGAGGGATTGCTGAAGTGCCCCCAAGAAGCGCCAGCGCTATGTTCCTGGACAAGATCGGAAGTCGAGCGTCAAACGAACCGAGAATGTGAACGTAAACGTGATGGAGATTATGATGGATGTACACGAGTGAAGGGAATGGAAGAAATATACAGCGGAAAGGCATGCTGATGTGCATGTACATTCGGAGGCAGCGATGGACAGAAAGTAAGCGCGCATATCGTAACAGAGGCTGAGTGAAGCGATACAACCCTTTCGTCAACGTTTGTCACGGTGAACCATGCAGCTGCCCGAGAATGTCGAAATGAAGGCAAATCACGATGAGCAGCAGCTCAGAGCATTGACATCGTATACGAGTTAGGAGGGCTTGTGATCACAATGCCTAAAAACATAATGTAATCAGGGCCATCATTGTTCAAGCGAACAATGAAAATTACACCTGCCGGGGGCTAACCTAAAGAAGGATTGGATAAAACAGCCAGCATCCAGCTTTCCCTTTGAGTTCCCGTATTTCATGGGAATATGTATTTTCACGGGGGTCTTTATGAGAGACGAGCGACTCGGACAAACACGTGTATGCAATGCGTGTGACATAATTCAGGATAGGCAATAGGACTGCGGTTGAGGTGAAGACAGCTGCGAGCAGCGGTTCTTGCTGCTAAGTTATTTAGAATTTGATAACGTCGGTGACTTTAGTATCACTTACAGCGGTGCTTCGGCAGTCAAGGAAGTCAAAATACTCGGCATCGTAGTCTTTCCAGCCCTTCAAGGCGTCTACTAATTTCTTCCAGAAAATTTCAAGGTTCGAATCTGCCGTCAAAACATGGTGAAGGATAATGAATATAGCACCTTAGTGTTGGTCACGATGGCGAATTACCAACGGTGATTCAGAGATTTGCATAATAAGCAAGCTCTCGCTGTATGTGATTTCTCTGAACATCTGTCGGAGAAGGAAGGTCAGTTGAAAGCCTTGAAGTCGAGGTTAGGTTACGCTCTGCGAGCCTTAAAGATAGTGTTGAAGCTGCATTGACATAGTATACATAGACCATCATGACAAACACGTGCACAACGCCAAGCGTATATATGGAGTACCTCGGCGCACAGAGTGGATTCCCTTCGTTTGGGATCGGGACCTCAGTCATCGCGAGGAAATGGTAATTTGCAGAATGGATTTTTGTAAAAATGAAGGGTTTTCACGAAGTGACTACATGCCATTGGGATGACCGGTCACTATGCGGAATAATTAGACAGTTTTTGTCGAATATTATACTATAAAATTGGAGACTGACACTTACAGTCATTTGTGTAGCAAAAAGTATTGCATGCAGCATAGCGTAAGGCTGGGCAATATCGGAAACAGCCGCAGCCTCAACAGGATCGGTAACTTGGATGCTGAGAAGACAAAGCCAACTCGTAAAGGGTAGTAAATGAGGGTGCGATGACGCAAATTGACCATATGGCGGGTGGTATATCCGATGTGCCAGGTACGTCGAGTCTGATCCAATTACAATGTCGCCGACAAGTCAGAACTAAGAACCTGCAGCCGTCCGTGCACAAACATGCTGCAGAGCTCATTTCGAAGCTGAATAAGGAGTTCCTGTAGGGATGATTCATTGCGAGTTCAAGTGGAAGCGCTGACAATAACAAGGACGCACCGTGATTGATGAACGACAAGTGACCAACATTGATATAATAGAAGTGCCTGGGCGATTGTCAAACGCGAGTGCTGTCAGGGTATGAATGAAAACGGGTCAGTGAAGAGGTGCCTGGTTGCCTCGTCGACTTGAAGATACCAGACGCATATCATTTTGAGTGTGTGCACTGTGCACATACTTCTGGCGGGAATCAAGTTGTGAGGAGGTGGCAGTGATATGAAACGCATGCTGCGAGTCAGTGACAACGTCAACTGCAACTGAGGGAGCCATTAAACAGCAGCCGTGGACAAGCGCGTATAAGTTGGGTCATGGAAAGAATCCATCGTTACTCACTACACTTCGACGGAGTCACGATCGATAATCCTTACTCAATTTTGTACGACTGACGTCCACTACCGCTTTCTCAACAAAATCTGGTCTTCATAGTGGTCGATCGGATGATAGTAGTACTTCTAGCCCATGCATCCTCTGGATCAATCATTCGCTCGAGGTTGGATCATAATGGTGCAACGAGTCCTAGAGATTTGAGTTGTAATATGAATATGGACAGCGAACAATTTTGCAAGTGGAGTCGGACTCGAGACGATGCAAGTTTCCGAGTCGGAGGTGTTCCCACCGCTATTACATAATTAATATCATATTTACAGTCCTCAGCTGGAGTACAACTTGACCGACACCTTCGAATGAATCGAATCCTGAACCTATAATGACAAAGACTTTGTTGCGAAGACTCTCCTGGTCTGGTAGACCTGCAAACAGAAGACTACCGTCTTGCGCGATGACGGAGTTCTGCCGAAGTTGAGGGCTAGGTGCAAGAAGATAGGTAAGAAAAACGAATTGGATTGCAGCAAGTCAGGACCGCCGCGGTGTAACTCTGTAGTAGGATCACAGGACAAACGAAAAAGAAGGTCAAACACAAACACAATACTAGTACAAGTCGCAGCAGCCCGCCCATCAGTTGTCAGATATAAAACATACTCGCACGCAAGTCAGGGTGCACGCCCTCTCCCCATGCTTTCTTTGCCTCTTTGAACACCCGTAACTTCTCTTCCTCCTTGTCTACCTTTCCCCTCCCCTTTCCTTTCCCTGATACGACAGAGGTTGACGCCTTGTCATCGGCACTCAAGAAGTCATTTAGGTAACATCTCCCTCTCTCGCATGCCAAATCGGCGTAGTACGCAGCCGGGACGAGACTGACTGCCTTAGTAGCACGGGCGTACAGGTAACTCGCAGTGTGCGTGCCCTGCTGCAGTTCATCTGCGCCGAGGCGATTCTCGTCATACACCACAGTGTAGTGTGTCGCCTTCACATGGCCTTGCAAGCCAACATGAGGTTGAAGGTAAAAATCGAAATCAAACCTAGGTTAATCAAATGTAAGCACAATCAACTCGTAGTCAATGGAATGGCCGTACACTGAAGTGATACCTCTATCAACGACGGTTCCAGGACGAGTGTTACCGTTTCGGTCCGCGAACTGAGAGTCGGTCGGCCAAAACTTGGCATGGTGTCGCTTTCCACAGATGATAATCGTTAACGATGGACGATACGGCTTCCTCTGCGGGACTCTCTTAAATGCGTCCAAGATCTTAGGAAGCTCTTCCTCCAACACAGTATTGAATTGACCCTATGCGTTCGATGTTAGCAAGCAACTTCAAGAATGCAAGACAAACCTATCTCACTTCGGACACACCGTCCCTGTAAACAAAGATTCGATCTGGTAGCGCTTGGTTCTTCTCCGCATAAAACCTGAGCCGTTCTATCATCATATCACTCAGATCCGTGATCATCTACAAAGAAGAGATGAGAGTTAGAGCGATAATATTCGGTCATAGCCTACCTCTTTCTTGGTCTCCTGACATCTGAGACTCGCTGGAAAATGGACGAACGAATTATCAACGCTCGCAACAACAGCGGCAATTGATGGTGTGCCTTCGACACTGCCAGGGCCGGGGTGCGTAACGTCCATGCCCACAATCATCGTCTTGGCCTTCGTCAACCATTTCATGCTGTCTGGATCCAACACGTGATTGATACCTCCGAGTTTCGTGTTCACCTTGAGAGCGACATTGGAGAAGTATTGATCTTGTTTATTGGCGTCCTTTCCTACCACCTTATCCGTAAGCATATGTATGGTGTGGACGCCCAGCTCGACGTCGCAAATCCGTTTGATGCCCGGATAAATGAAGTTGTCCCGGCGAGAGAGGAGGACGAGTATGAATGATGGTTTTCCTTTCTGCGTAATGTTCTCCTTGATCTTTTGACGAATCGAGTCTAGCGCTTGCTGCCTGCTAGGGTCTTCGGCGCGAGGGACGAGCGCTTGGGCAAGCTTGACGGGTTGTGTTTGCAGTGAGATTCCGCTATTGCGGCATTTCTCACCAAAGCCCTTCCAAAGATTGGTTAGAATCGGGTCGTCGGCCCCGCTGAACACACTTCGTCCGTCTTTCTCTCTGACGACAAAAACCCACCAACTCTTGATGGCCCCGCCGTTATGAAACTTGACATCAAGAATATTCCAACTGCCATTGCTGACGTTAAGTGGTCTCCCTCCTGCTTCGTAAGTGAGGCGAGGTGGTGGAAGCTCACGTCCAGGAATGACCGCCATGTCGTTGTCCACCGTAATGCCGAAGCTACTCAGAGGACTTCCCAGCGTCTCGGGAGTAAACCCAAGAGTGGGGAGACCGCGTTCGATGATGGTATCTGCATTGATTTTTGGCGGCTTGCAGGCGACGCGAATCATGTTCGAAGTTTCTTTATCATTGAGACGCCCTCTGAATGGTTGCCCGGGCTCGATTTCGCATAGCTCGGCTGGTACGTATATGGAGAATTTCGAATTCGGACCTGAGATGTCGACCACTGGAAGGTCGTCTGCGTGCCTCAACGTGATGTGGGGGTACTCTGCTGAAAATTAGCAAGTGAATAAAGAATGTGGTAAAGGAAACGAACTTCTCTTGAAATACTCTTCAACAGATATCTTGCCGTTGTATTCTTCGCAGTGGAAAAAAGTCCGTCTGGCACTCATTGGCATGATCTTCTTGATCGGTTTCTTCTGCGTGTACCCTAGGTGTCTAGTGGTCACCTTTAGTTTCTGGATGAACCGCTGCGGCACGGCGCCATCGGACGACCGTAGAAACGCCATGATGGCTTCTGCAAGATTGCCTGGCGTGTAGAAGGCGGTCATACAGACACCAACATTCACCATGAGTTCGTTATATGCAGGTCTGGCGGACGTGAAGAAGCCTCTCACGGCCTCTATGCCAAGCGCAAGAGGCTCAGGCTGCTCTTGCGAGGGGAAGAAGTAGCGATTCTTGCCCACACGAACACCGGTACGCGCTGCATGCGTTTGAAGTACGAGATTCATAGCAGTTACCAGTGGCTGGACGTCATAGTCCCGTGACTTGATATCGCCACTGAGATACCTACATATCATGAGTTGACGCGAGAACAAATGAAATAGCTTTCCGTAACCTACTTAGTGAGCTGTGCGACATCCAAGTCGCCCGTGTGGATTATTGCGAAAGTATACGTCTTGGATCCAGCATTGGGACCAGCTTCTCCTTCCTCGTAATATTGAACTTGCACATCAAGGGGCTGAGGCAACCTCTTGTTCGATACAAGCTTCTGACTGCTGTCGTGAGCGATGAACGGCACAAACTGTTTCCAGCCGTCTTGATCGCTTTGCTTTAGGAGTTCGAAAAGGCGTGCACGAATGCGCTTAATGTCTGTGGACGGCGTAATCTCGACACGGTAGTCGTAGATGGGTCCTTTAGGGAGTTTAACAGGAAAGAAATTGGCACGCAATGTGATTTGACGGCCAAGGGTACCAAAACCAGGCCGATGAGGGCGCTCAGGGTTGAAGTTGAGTTTATTGAAGGAAGAGACTAGGTCATCCAAGGTAGCGAGACGTTGGTCTACAGACGCAGGGCCCCGGAAGATCAAATCTCCTGGTACTCCCCCTCTGGAACCACCGCCATATCCGCCCCTCGTACCTGAGCCTCTTCCTCCACTGAACCCACCAGCACCACCTCGAGGGCCACCAGGGAAGCCGCCCCGATTACCGCCTCTGCCTCGTGAAGGGTTACTCATGATGACTGTTAATAATGTTTATGTTGTGTTCGTGATTGTATGGGAAGAGAAGTGAATCGTCAAAGGGCAGGTTCTTATAGTCGCAGGTTGACCGTGGGTACATGGCGCTTCCGCAGTTGCTGTACGAGTCATGAGTCGTAACTCGTTCTAAATGCGTCGTTGTGTCCGCACTCGTTCCACGGCTTACTAGAACAGTTGACGTGGCAGTTCCTGGCTCGGCCTGAGAGCTGAGCTAATAGTATGGTACCAACGTTAACAATACGTAGTCCGCAGCAGACCAAATAGAAGACAGTCATTCCTAGATGATACGATACAAGTCTTCTATATAGATTGAAGATCAGATGAGGCAATACAATCTACGAAACTCACCAAGAGGCCGACTCGTCGGGGAGGTCGAGGCAGCTTAGAAGTCGATGTGAAACCGCTCCCGAAAGCTGCGTCTCGTTAATGAGCAACAAAATAACAGGGTCAACATGCATGGTGCAGGCAGAGAATCGAGGACTGAGTACTTACCTTATGATATCGATTGTGGGCTGTCCGAGCGATATTGTAAAGTTGTGTGAGCAAGTGGCAATAATAACTCACTTATGTAGTAGAACCGATTGATACGGTAGTACGTACGACGTGTTTGTCATGGGCGATTCTGGCTGGCAATGTCAGTCAAGTCTCAAGTTTTACATATAGTGACTGTTATTGAAGGAACCGAAACTTTGAAATTCAGCGAGTACGTGGTTTTCTCCGACGTTTGGACTATATTACCAAAGCTCTACTATACGGTCCTTTCAACAACTTTGTTCAAGGCATCACATGTGTCAATGATGACACCCAAACGCGCATGCTACTCCCACCTTTCATTGTCTTCCCAACTATACTAACTCAAGCAAATCAAGCTCTCGCCGCCGATTCTCGCCCAGTTGCACAAAGGCCAGAACTTCCATCTTGCGACACGCTTCGTCCCCGAATTGTATCACTGAGTTCCACTCTGTTTCTGATCACGGGGTCCACATATTCTCCCATTCTGTCGTGTTCAGGGTTTGATAGAAGTGTTTTGTTCCTCTGGACGGCGGTCTGTCGACTTTCGCACGAAGGAAACTGACTTCGTCCTGTCGAAAATGTACCTGTTTGGGACTCCACTGATACATTTACCACAGGTCGAAGTCAGTGGAGTATTGGCACTCACCATGATGGCACATCCTTGGTGAACACTCCACGAATCCGAGTACCGATACTGATACTGTTGGCATTCCACACAGCCTGTACCTGAAAAGGCGACATCGAGTCAGAATATGCGCAAGAAGACACGCGCGGGTCCCGGTGCGTGTTTTCTTATGTGACTTAGCACAATAGCTTCATCCCATGCAGCCTTAAACAGATCGGATACTATCATATCTGCGCACTGGACCCATCTATCCTCGTTCGAACCGACTTCGATGGTCTTTTGAGGTAGACTCCGATTCGTCGATCACTGCCCACAGGTTTGGAATTTGGGGTGTTGTTTGGTGTTGTCGTTCGTTGAGCGGACATATTCTATTTCTCACTCGCAAAGTTCAGACCTTCATGCAGCTCCTGGTAAACAAACTAAAGATTCGCATTCCGGAACGTCGTCCCCGGTAATATCATTTTTTAACAGCAAAATAAGCATGCGGCTGGCCATTCGCATTCTGCTCACCCAACTCATCGTAGGCCTTGCCATTTCGATCGCCGGGATTCCTCCAAGTGCGATCAAGATCACGTGACTTCTAGGTGTAAAGTTCGAGGTGATCCTCACCACATATAGGAGAGTTATAAAGCGTTGAACTCACCAAGCTCTTGATCCCCACTTCGTTGCCCTCGTGTCTTCTCAGAAGCGTAAAATCTCTGGTCGCAGTGGGTCGGATTTGCAATTCGTTTACAACTCTGTTCTCGAGCTGAAGAACGCAATTCAAGACTACGAGGGGTCTGACTCGTCTGACGACGAGGAAGGCCCAAATTGGCCTGATCTAGGTGAGCAGCTCAACGAGATGCTCTCTGTTGAGGTCGAAGCTGGAGGCGTCTAAGGTATGGCTCGAATTACGAAATAGCTTTGCATTAACCCCGCTTGCGTTGGACCGTCAGTCATAAACAGTTTCCATTACGACCTGCATATGCGACGACGTTCAACAACTACCAAGGACTCATCCTCCCGGATGCGCTGTACTTGGCCTTCGCACAAGGTCAACTGTACATAGCCCTGTCCAGGTTGTAAGATTGTCGCAGTATTCGGCCATTTTTTTCAGAGCAAAGCAGAAGCCTATCCGCACCACTTCTCCGATACTACTAGATTAATGCACACCACACCTGCATGAGTAACATAGATTCAGTATAATGACATAAGATATGTATGATATTGGAATGCATGACAGATTTAAACAACAATAATCATCTTCGTGCCTTTAATAGCCAACATCTTGTTCAATGAGCGCAATAGCTTTCGCAGAGCGAGGCTTGATAGAGCACTTGAAGGGTTTGGGATGACTGGGAATTCGTCCATCTAAACTAGCACTACAAATGCGATAGGATGCGCGACATACCTGATCGCGCCTGATGAGGAGTCAATCTCAGGGGTGTGCTCAACACCATTCTCGACGATCTTGGAAATATCAAACACGGCGAGCGACATCACGGTAGATATCCAGATGGAAGCGTCAGCGAGGTGGAGACCTGCACAGCAAAAGCAAGCAGATATCATCATACTGTTTGTTGGGGGTGCTTTTGTGAGTTGGACATACCAGGGCAGATCCTGCGGAGAAGAAAGTTAGCAATCCACTCAAAATTAATCCATGCGTACCGTCTACCAAAGCCGAAGCAGATCGTGCGAGGCTCGCGCTCGGGATCTCTTCCATCATTATCCAAGAAGCGTTCAGGGTTGAATTGCGAGGGGTTAGCATATGTTTGCGGGTCATTGAGCATGAACCTGACATGCAATTCTGTCATGTCGAATCTACACAAATGCAAGCACTGACCAGATGTTAGGTATGATCATGGATCCTTTCGGAATGTAGTACCCGTCATAGATATCGTCCTCAGAGACGCAGTGGGCGATAGCTGACCTTAGGCGATTGATTCTGGTCTGTAATGAAAAGAATACGTTAAACGCATACCTGTAGGGACGACAACATGCCAGCGTAGGGATTCCTTCACAAGGGCCTCGATATAGGGGAGGGAGTCGCGGTCTGCAAAGGAGGGAAGACGATCAGTGCCAACAACAGCATCTATTTCAGCCTGAGCCTTCTTCTGCACATCAGGGAACAGTGTCATCGCCAGAAAAATCGAATAGATTGTAGAAACTGTCTGGAAATAGATGTTAATTTCAAGATACGTCAATGAATCTAGGAGGAGCTAACCGTGTCGGCACCACCAGTGTATAGAGATAGAGCAGACCATTTCACCATGTGATCCTCCTCCGCAGACAAAGTATGACCTTTCAACAGATTTGAGGTGAAAGACAGTGGGGCAATCCCGGCAGCCTGTACTATATTCAACTCGTGATCGTCAAACTGTAGATGTGGATTACTATCTGATCCTTGGCGAATGTGTATGGTGCATCGACAGTCTCTTTGAGGGTCTGGCGCCATTCGCGGGCCAGGCGCTTGAATCCAGCACCAGGAAACCACTCGGGAACATTGGCCACTAGATATATTCAGTTCATCGCAAACGTCAGAACGCAGTAGTCTTACACCATGGCATGATGTTAACCATGAAGGCACCAGTATCGTTGGACTGCGATAATTGACGCATTGCGCGGTCTGCAAGGTCGACGAAAGGATCATTGTCATCCTGTACTTCATATCCATAAGAGATTCGCAGAATGATAGCGCCAGCGGTGCTAAAAAAAATTAAGATGTTATTCATGCAATGACGAATATTACATACTGTCGAATATGTGTTTGCAGTTGCTCAGGTTTTGCAAACACGCGCTTCAGGAATCGGCGGGTCTCTATTTCCTCGATCGGTTCATAGACACTCATAGCTGCGCGACTCCCCATGATGCGGTGGATGGTTTTGCGGTAATAACGAAAACGGTCACCATAAGAGAGAAAACCCAGAGCGTACTTCCAGCCAACAAGTTCACCACCCATTGTAAGAACTGGACGGTCAGAGTAGATAGAGCTTTTTGTGTCTAGCAATTCAATCGCTGCCTTGACAGAATTCAGTACAATGATGTGCCGACCCAGAACTTCGACATGCAAGATGTCACCTGCACAGCATAGAATTAGAATACTTCGTGTTGAAAACATGAGGGACTCGCCATATTTTTTGCCCCACCTCGCGAAGGTGAGCCAGGCCTTGTTGTGAGGAATGTCTGCGATGTTCCCAATGAGAGGCCACCTCGAAGGTCCAGGGGGATATGGTGCAGGATTCTTCTTGCTGAATGCTTGCATGACCAGATACACGCCGGCACTAGCAAGACATAGGTCCAGCCAAGTAACATGGGTGAATATGAGCATGCGGATAGCTGAGGAAAAGTAAGAGATCGTGCAGTGAGCGATAAGATATTGGTAAGTCTAAGAGGAGTCCTCTCCTGGACATTATATGCGTGAGCAGCTAGACTGGGGCCCCACATGCGATCAAAGCGGTCATAGTTGTTTGGCATGGTGACTGATGCGGCCATCATGCCCGGTCAAAGTTTGTGATGAGTCTGAATCCTCATGTTATGATCGCAGGCGGAAGTTAGTGAGGGAAGATATGGTTAGTACTAATCGAAGGCTACTAGTACGGCCAATAGCGTTCATAAGCCAGGCTGGTAACGAGCCTAGTTCATAAGAAGACACGGAGATCCGAGACGGTAGACCAACTATTCCCCGCCAAAACGAGATGATGTAAGTAGTAGTCAATGAATGTCAGCAGCTTGTCGGAATGTTCCGGCAACAGAAGTCCAACGTCCCTCCTCCCCTCCTCATTTGCACTGTCGACTTTCTTGAGACCCACTCACCAGTCCTGTTTCATTTTACTACCGTCAACTTACACGCCGTAGCTCATTAAGGAACCTCCCCACTGGTACCAATATTGTGAGTTTACTGACAATGGCTGATGTTAAACATCAAATAACAGACTCGAACACAAGGCATCTCAAGATGTGGTCTCGCCTGTACATTGTATAATGCTCTAGACTCATCTGCAGTTTGGAACTGACCAGATGCTTACCAGCAGCTTGTGATACCCACTCAAATTCCTTACGTGCTCTTGATTTTGCAGCACCTGCATATGCTGTCTCATAAATGAGGATCGAGTCTTAATTCGATCCTGTAAGCACACTTTCTCATGAGTCACGGTTTGGTTTGTTCTGACAAGCATCAAATTGAAAGGAGATAGGCTCTCGTACTCACCAGCAAACTTTGCCATTGCCGGATTAATTGACCTGATTCCAAGATCCTGGAAGACGTCTCTCATATACAGTCCATGATCTGCCGTACCGCCACTATACTTACACCGACATAGATCCCACCTCTTAAACGGCCAAGCAATCGTTTCGCTTCTCACAGCTGTTCTCACCTCCTGCCACAGGCCAACAATCAGCTGGCAGAAGGCAGAGAAGCGGTGTCGAGCACAGAGCTCAGTTGGTGGTTTGCAGTCGTCGGGAAGTTCTGGGAGCTGGCTTCCTGTCTCTTTGAGAAATGTAGAAGGTGTGTTGACAGTCGTATTTGCTAGGTCCCCTAAGGTGTTGCTGCCAGGATGAGGAGAAAAACCAGGTTGTATGAATATGTATTAGAACATAGTTCGAGGTGATAAGGCTTGCAAGGCGCAATCAGCTGCAGCTGAGGGATACTCAGCGTTCTAGATCACGAACGTTGGAAGAGGTACATATATACTAATCGAATTACGAAGTTAAAGACTGACTTGTGTGAATCTAAAGTACTGACAAATGAAATAGACATAAGACTTACTTCGCCGTGCAGGCCTGCGAGTTCTTAAGATCTCGTGCCAAGCAGTTAAGATGAAGGAATGAAGAAAAAAGACCATGGAAGGTGATACATGATGGTCAAAGAGCAAGCGCTGGAATATTGCGCACAAATCCACATATGACGAACGGCCGAAATTGAAGAAGTCAATGATGTAGGCTCCAGGAGAAGAAGGAATGACGAAACGGCTCTCAAATCGTAGCTCGCATGAGTGTTATGAATTCCACCAAAAAGACGCCAGGAGTACTTATCGCCATCCTTTAGAATGTGATGGGTGGTGATGCTGAACCACACTGTCGGAAATTTCCAGCGAGCCTTCGAATTCAATTTAAGACATTTTAAGGGATCTTTTCACACGGTACACTTATAATGCATGTTAATGGTGTACGAAAAAATTTCAAGGCACTTATAATGTCTGTCCAAATCATGTTAAGGCACTGTAATGATCCTGGGTGGCGTGTGATGAGCCTAACATTATAAGGCCATGAAATGATAGTGTAAGCATTGTAAACGGTAGCAAGGTAAATTCAGACAATTTCAAGACTCGTCGCTTGTATTTCGATGCTCTTGCTGGAATTCCCAAATAATGATAATAATAGTAATATTATAATGATAATAGTAGTAAAAAACAGCAATATTGGTCGCATTTGTACTGATCACGATACAGGTAAAAAAATGGTGATCGTAATACTCACATTATAGTAATCTGGCAGGTGGTATTTCTTGGCTGAAGGTCATGGGCTTGGTCCTGAATAGAGAAGCAAAAGGCATGGCGAGGTGAGGCGAGGTGCGAAGGTTGGGTAGCGATTCAGAGTGTGGGTCGAGGAGGTAGAGGTGGTGCCTGCGCAAACCTAAGACAACACCCCCCAAACAGCCAAGCCTGTGAAAAAGGACATGAGGCCGACCAAGACACCGACATAGGCAGCAGTATGCATGCCTACACGTGGCAGGAGGGTTGGTGTGTGCAGCACTGCGAGGCTCGTGTGGAGGAGGACAACGAGGGAGGTGGTTATGATGAATGGGATATGCAAGCTGTCGTAGGAATGCATTTGTGAGGTCGCGTGAAGGAAATTTTTGAGTTGGTCAGTTACAGGGACGGATGACAGTTGGATTGATATGTCTGAGAGGGGGAGGGAGAGTGCACGAGCGTCATGTCGAGAGCGCTTCCAAATAATATCGGATTTCATACTAATGGGATGAGCAGAGCCGTGAAGCTTGTAGTAGAGACCACATCTGCATGTATATAAGATATCGGTATGAATATAGAAGAACAAAAAATGAGAACTTACACGTTGCAAACGGTTCTTGCCTTCAGCGTCCTTCCTCCGCTGAGGAGTTGCAGTTGTGTGACAGTTGTAGCACTGTGCGCTACTCACAAGGAGGCAGAAGTGGTCAACTGTGGCTAGGGATCGAGATGTCCTCGTCGTTGAGAAGGAGAAAAATTTTAACATTGACGACTGCACCATATTGATAGACTTGATTTCAATGGACAAGCATTGAATTGCCTCGAGAGAGAGTGTTGGTATTAATGCATGGATTGAGATAAATAAGAGTCGAGTAGTCGACAGAATATTCGGAGTTGATGACGATGTCTGTTCAGAGGTGGAAATGGTTGAAATGAAAGAAGACTCAACAGAAGCATTGATCAGAATAGAGCTCAACTTGTTTGGCCTTGTGATTATACTACCCTAATTGGGATGCAATTTTACGACTTAGTAATCATTTAAATGCTGAATCAAGAGATGTGCAATGTGCTGTTGGGTGGGGGCATCCGAGAATTAAAAGCTGTTGGAAGGTGACAATGGGTAAGCTGGAGTTAGCATTTATAGTTGTAGGTAAATGTAAACAAATCAGAGGGCAACAGGTTCAACAAATTAATAAAGTGAGACTCAGATTCCACTAAAATTACTTCCTCCCCGACACCTTCCTCGGTTTGGCACCACCATTGCGTGTAACACGCTTGAGTGCTGGAGGAGGAGCCAAAGGAACAACAGGGACCATGTCCGAGTCCACCAGAGTCTGAACAGCCTGAGCGGTAACTCGATGTTGAGCCACAGACACCCTACCACCCCTGGATGCAGATGGCGCCAAGTCAGTTCTAGCGCCATCCAGTGAGAGCTCACCAATGTCAACTTCGAGTTGGAGCTGAGTGGTGGTGGCGGGCCCTCCCGGATTGCTGATAGACATTGCAGTCTGGTAGTTGACAGTGGCGACTGCATTCATGTCAGCACGACTCGCAGAAGTTGGAGCATAAGTGATGTGTGAAGATGACAGAAGTTGTGGTGCAGGAATGGGGATGGTTTGTGGTGCGGAGGCAGGATCTTCTAACTGCTGTAAGAAGTCGTCTTCCCAGGTGTGAGGTTGGGAGGCAGAGGGTGGAGTAGGGGTACCACTAGTAGCTAGGACTGAGCTCATGCTGAAAACCTCCTGGTTGTAATAGTTGATCACACTCGTAGCCCATGGGCTGCGCTTGAATAGTTGCTCTAAGTAAAAATCAAAGTCTTGTGCATAATCAATTTCGTGGCTGGTCCGGTTGCTGTGAGCTCTTGATCATGCATTAACAAGAAACGCGCCTGAGAACAAGACGAGATCAGCATGCATGCAAAAGTCAGAAGATTATAATGCGCTCACCACAATAGCAGCACCTGCGATCAGACCTTCTGTGACACACTGCATAGACCAACGCTGACCCCTGGCCTTCGGATGACCTTTGGTCTTCCCAGACAGTGAAGCCTTCCCGAATATTTCAACTCGGATGATCTGAGGGACGGAGTCAGCCCTAATGTACTGCTTGGACAGCAGCTGAATACATCACTCACCTTGGCCATGACTGGTGTTTTGAGGAAGGCATCTGGAACTAGAGCAGAAGGATCCATGAACAGAATGGGGGCTAGATGTGTATACTTTTTGCCACCAACATCCTTCTTTAAGAGAGCAAGGAGTTGCGCATTCTCCTTCTTTTTAGCAGCCTCGTCAGTGAAGACGGTCGGGTTGAGTTTTAATGAAGAGAAGATCAAACCAGCGCAGTCCTTGAGACTATGCAGTATGTTTGACCTCTTGGAATTAACCGCAGCACGAAACTAGAGTATCTCATACATAAGTGTTGATGCGCAGACAGAGGGAGAATTGGACATACCGCTGATCCAAACTGTGGGTAGGTCTCCATTGGTTTATGCAAAGCCTTGGGTATGCACTGATAAAGCTCAGCCATCGCACCATTGAGTTTCGCTTCAGGTGAAGACCAACACGTGTCACTGCGTGGATCAATGTCTGGCTGGGGTTTTGTTGGAAAGAGCCCGCTCATGACCCAAAAGTAGTTGAGCATGGCATACATCTTGCCCGCACGGGCGATGTCATTGTCGATGGTTGATGTCTTCTTAAGGACTCGGTTTCGGCTGCATGCAGGGACAGCAGCCTGGAGCATAGCGTGGTCTTTCTTGAGAGCGCGCAACTCAGACCAAACAGCAGTATATGCTTGTTGTGCCACTTCTAGTGCCTAGAGATTCAACTGCTACATCAACCGAACCAAGAGAATGGCAGCATGAGTGAACTCACCCTGCGGACTTTGTGCATGGGCGCATCAGGCTGAGGCATTGTCAAGACCATCCTCAGGGTGTCAAGATCGCTCCAGGCATCAAACTCGTTGTCTTGCTCATCATTTCCAGATTTGGACTCAGTATCCTCAATAGCATCGAGTTCTGCTGTGAAGTCGTCTGAGGAATATCCAGCCTGGGGCATGACAATTAAACTAAGACACAAGAAATTTAAGTCTGAACAGTGGAGATATGAGACACAACAATTTCACTTGCCTGGTTCCATGTTATAAAGACGTGACCCTGCACAGGGCCAGTTGCTCCACAGCATCTTACCGTCCTTGCTGTTGACATGTGGCGTGTTTAGTTCAGCCTTGGCAAAGTCGACATGTAATAAAAGCTGCAGGTACTTTAACTTCAGTACCAATTACTATCAAATGACTAATGAACACGACAATTTGGACTTACAGTGGGACAGATTCTCGTACATGTCTTGAGTCCAGTGATACGATTGGATTCAATCTTGGGTTTCTTTGTTACTCTCTCTTTGTCAAGTAGAAGCTCCTTGTCCTCTTTAGTGCCCAACGAGGGAAACTTGTGTTTGCTGCGTGTAGTCACGCTTGAGATTTTCTCGAGAAAGGAGCGTTTTAGCGAGCTCTAGACCCTGCGTCAACTTGTTCTGCAACTGCGAAAGCTTATCGGATGATGTCACTTGCGAAGCACGGGTCTTGAGGCCCTGTGACACAAATCAAGAGTGTCTTGTGGTGGTCCAGTAAATAGACTTGCATGGTGCAAGAACTATTGGAGATATGGGAGAGCGGAGCTGAGTATGGATTTGGTGTGCATGGTGTGGGCAGAGGAGATGGCTGTGTTGTTGGAGATATGGGAGAGTGGAGCTGAGTATGGATTTGGTGTGCATGGTGCAGGCAGAGGAGATGGCTGTGTCGTTGGAGATATGGGAGAGTGGAGCTGAGTGCAGTCAGACGAGATGATGTTAAGAAAAGAGAGATCTACATACATATCTGGACACTGTAGTTCTGATTCAGACTGATAGAGGTGAAGTAAGGAGACATTGGAGCTGGTCACTGGCGTGCTGGACGTGACTTCATGTGCACAAACATGTCACTATCGATGTGGTCGACCACGAGGAATTCATCTCGGTGATCAGGATCAGGGAAACAAACAGTGCCATGAATAAAAGACTGGACTGGAATGAAGATCGAACTTGCCCTTGGGACAGCTTTGACACAAGTAATTTGTAGATCATGGTCTGACCTGTGAGAAGCACCAATGGCAGTGAATGGCTGAACCAGTGCAAACTCAAAGGAACCAACATCCAGAAGCTGACAACTGAATATAAAAACAAGGCGAACAAAGACTGATACTTCCTGGGCGAGTTGTGTTACAAGAACATCTAGACGCTTGGGCCCCTACTATTTTTCTCCTAATCCTCCTCGTATCAGCCCTCGCATCATACCCTTACCCCGACCTTACCCTTGTCATCCTCGTTATCCTCGCATTCCCTTTCGCCCTCTACCTGTCGCTTCAGCAAAGCCAGTACATCTGGCCGGATCCTTTCGCTGACGAAGCATACCCATGCTCCGTTTCACCACCTGACTGATCCTGCGGACAGTCCCCTTGCCCTTACCGTCCGGACGGTAACCTATGATATGATGCACGACGCATCCCCTTTGCCCTGTTCCCTTTTATGATCTCTGACTCGGTGCGCAGTCGCACATGCGACTTATACTTAGATCCGCAGTTGCACAATCATGCCCCTGCGCGTTTCACTTCTTATTTCGATCTTTGACTCACTTTCTTATCTAGCACGTTCTACTCAGACCGAACGTGCCTTCCTGTTATAGTCATACCCTTTGCCGATTGCCTCTCCCGGTAGTACGAGTTATCACCCACTAATACGTCTCCTGTCCTCTATATAAACTCGCTACCATGTACCATATTCCTTAACTTGAATCTACTTGGTTCTTGACCTCCTACTCTCACCAGAGTGATCCTTCTGCCTCGCCAGCAGTCTATATTCTATCTTCTTATCTGCTCTTCGCGGATAAGCCTATAGTCTCGACCTTTGCTCATCGACTTCGTCGACGAACAAAGCCCCTGTTAACTAGTCGGACTTCTGTCCTTCTAATTAACGACGATCCTTACGATTAACCTTCGGGTGTCGTAAGCCTAGGCCGATATAGCTTATCGTCTCGCACCCGCGTGACATAAGCTACCCGATTTGGACATAGGCGTTAAATCGTACTTGCCGAAGACACACCAAGTACGACCCCTAACCTTGGGCTAGCCCAAGGACGTCCACAGACCGTTGACGACACAAGCTCTGTTTGAGCGTCGCCAACAGATACTATCCAAGTCGTAACAAGTTGTATAAGTGTACAGTCATAGTGCAGTTGCCCATGGAAGCCTGGAGTGCATTGAAGGTAGTTGGTAGTTTGCTTCCAGTCGACGGTAGACTCGTAGTGAACTTTGAGAAAGCGATGTTCACGAATCTGGTTCAGAAATACATAAATCAGTACAAGACACATACTAAAACAAGATCAACTCACCAAGAAGTTTGTCGGTATGGTGACCCATCTTTCCAGTTGATATCCATACGTCGGTAATGAGTTGTTGATAAAATCAGAAAACTTCTTACGAAAGCCTTGAAATGCACAATCCAATTGGCCGCTGTGGGTCTCGGTGTCTTGGATGGCTACAGGCTGTTGCATTGAACCAAGTTTGATGTGCCCCTCGAAAGCAACAGGATTCAGGTCTTCATCGTCATCATTGCCCTCTCCTGCAAATGTGCGCTGCTCGTCAAGCATGTCCACGTGCGCTCTCAACATTTTGGCTGCGAATTTGCGCGTGTCAACATGCAGTATCTAACAAGATCTTTACATGAGTGAACATCAGATGCTATAATGTTAGAAACATACCTGGTCAGCGACGTCCTTTCCATTTGACTGGCGCTCGTAGGCCTCTTTGAGGGGGCCATGAAGCTTCTCATTCATATGGGTGCTGTAGTTGCATACTGCACCCTTCATTCGGATGTCCCTAGTTGTGTTGTAGAAAGCTGATCTCTGCTGGGATCAGCAGAAATCATACTACCTAGACAACAATTATTTAGGTAGATCTTAGCACGAACCTAGTCTGCTATACTTGTAGAGCAAGTGCGTTCAATCCTATAGGGGTTGCTAATTGGTATTGGTAGTAAAAATGTGTCAGTAATGCAAATAACAAAATGTCTGATGGTGCGAAATGATGTCCAAAGGTAATCCGATGATGTCCGAAGGTACTTATCCAATGTCCGAAGCCAAAGTGCAATGTCTGAGATTTCGGACTTTCGGACTTCATGATAATAGGTCGGAAACTTTATGATGAGTGTCGGATTGCGAGCGGTATGTGCGAGTATAACAAGTGACGGAGTATGACGGTGAACGAATGGTAATATTTCGCAATGCAACTAAGAACTACGAGAATATTCTGGGTGATCCGCAGAGTCGGGAAACGGCTCCTAACTACTGGATCATGATTGCTACGGGTCACCACAGAGTATTTAAGTAAGTACTTAGAAATCCGGAAACTACAGGCGAAGATAGTAGCGATATATTTCGGGTCCGATGTCCTATGTAATAAGACATGAGGTGCTGTGGACATGTAATAATGCGGTCCGAATGTCAGAAAACATGCACAGAAATGACTACACACCTAGTGAGGCTAGTTCGGATGGATAGGACACGGGATGGACAAGTGCACGCGAAGTGCGATCGGCCAATGTGATGTCCGAAGGTCCGATGCACCGGATCCGATATGGAGTGGCTCGGACATGTGCGAAAGTGCGTCGGACATGTGCGCATATGTTTCAGGTGTTGACGTGAGTATGGAAATACGTGGTTTTGAGCCCAATGCCGTGACCATCGCTACAGCGTGCTTCCAGAGATGCGCCTTTGGAAAGTCCCAGTCAAGCTTGAGACCTACAATGGGAGAATTGAGAGCACATTCGATGTATTCCTAGAATGTGTGATCAACAATCTATTTAAAAAGTGAATGAACAAAACATTTACCTTGAGTGCGCTATCAAAAATGAGTAGTTCAGCATCAATTGCTGCCAGTGTGCTTGATGTATGCACTGTCGAGACCAATATAGCTATCCAATTGAAGATAGCTACTAATAACGTGAAGAAGTTTATACCCTTCTGGGCTGGTCCTCTGGTTCAAGACAGTTTACCTGCAGAATAGAAGGCTTGCTGCGCGTCAGTTAGTATTAGAAAGCCAAAAGCCTCATGATATGTACCTTGGATAGATCTTGCATCTTGTTACCATCACTGAAGGTAATGTGGATGATGGTGCTGAAATGATTAAGATTGCGCCATCGAGGGAAACTAGCAACCCTACTGAAGGTCATGAGTTGACGAGAATCGCAATGTGAATGACTTACTGTTTCTCGACCTTTGACTCTTCATCATGTCCAAGCGCTTTGAGGATTTTCTTCAACTCCTCGAGTAGGTGCCTCCACATACCAAGATGGAGGGCATGAAGGCAGTCAAAACTGATGGCTTGATGAGGGTCAGAGTGCGCAATGAGCCAGAAAACATTCTGTTGATGAGATATTAGTAACGAAAACATGGAGGCGAAACGAGAGAGTGAATATTGCCGATAACTTACCGCGAACAGCACGCAATCCTAATGCCTTGAGTAGTTCCTCACCTCGAGCTTTGCTGACCTTGTAAACATTGAGTGCGGCTATTGCTTCTTCCACTGTTCTAAATGCAAATGTCTTTGATAGCTCGCTAAGTTTTTCAAGCAGTACAAGACATACTGGACAGGGACATTTGCTATGGTGGCCACGAATGAGAGACATCATACATCTAAAAACAGTCTAATATCAGATTGTGGACATGTGTAAGAATATAGAACTTACTGTTCTTCATAATCAGCAGAAAGTATCAGAATAATGGGAAACAACCAGCGTGCGATCTTGTCATAGCAAGTATGTGAATAACCAGACTTTGAGTGTTGCGCGACCAGTTCCAACAGTTTTAAGAATGCCTCGTGCCATATGACACACTTGAGGTTTACGAAGCCTGGCTTGCCTTCTTCATCTGCATCTTCAGATACCTGCAACTATAATGAGTCACATCAGAAGATTCAATCAGAATGTTGACATATGATTGGCAACCACCTGACAACACGGCCACCGCTGATGCCCTCTCCGTTCCGTATGCCAACTGGCAAATTTGCACAATGGACCACAACAGGATATCCCTTTACTGTACCATGGGACGACAGTCTTGTCTTGTCCGCATACAGGATGAAGCAGAATGGAGTGGCCTTAATGTCACTTGGAAGGCGACTCTGATTTGTTGATGCTGAGTGAGAGTAGATAGTGATATTAACAAAGATTACATGCCTGGACGTCCCACCATCGATCACTGTTACAAGAACATCTTGATGCTTGGGCCCCTACTATTTTTCTCCTCATCCTCCTTGTATCAGCCCTCGCATCACACCCTTACCCCAACCTTACTCTCGTCATACTGGTCATCCTCGCATTCCCCTTCACCCTCTACCTGTCGCTGCAGCAAAGCCAGTACATCTGGCCAGATCCTTTTGCTGACAAAGCATATCCATGCTCCGTCCCACCATCTGACTGATCCTGTGGACAGTCCCTGCTACTCTTACCGTCCGGATGGTAACCTATGATACGACACATGCTGCGTCCCCTCTGCCCAGTTCCCTTTCTTGATCTATGACTCGGTGCGCAGTCGCGCATGTGTACTTATACTTAGCTCTGCAGTTGCACGGTTGTGCCCCTGCGCGTTTCACTTCTTATTTCGATCATTGACTCACTTTCTTATCTGCATGTTCATGTTCACTCGTGTCTCACCTTGAACGTGCTTTCCTTTTATAGCCTTACCCTTTACCTGCTTACCTCTCTTGGTAGTACAAGTTATCACCCACTAATATGCTTCCTGTCCTCTATATAAACTCGCTACCATGTACCATATTCCTTAACTTGAATCTACTTGGTTCTTGACCTCCTACTCTCACCAGAGTGATCCTTTCTGCCTAGCCAGCAGTCTATATTCTATCCTCTTATCTGCTCTTCACGGATAAGTCTTTAGTCTTGATCTTTACTCATCGACTTCGTCGATGAGCAAAGCCCCTGTTAACTAGTCAGGACTTCTGTCCTTCTAATTAACGACGATCTTACGATTAACCTTCGGGTGTCGTAAGCCTTGGCCGATATAGCTTATCGTCTAGCACCCGCTTGACATAAGCTACCCGATTTGGACATAGGCGTCAAATCTTACTTGCTGAAGCCTCGCCAAGTAAGACCCCTAACCTTGGGCTAGCCCAAGGACGTCCTCGACCGTTGACGACACACGCTCTGTTTGAGCGTCGCCAACAGATACCATCCAAGTTGTAACAATCACCTGTCCAAGGCTCATTGTAAAAGCATTCAAACTCCCTGCCAGTTGTGCTTGAAAACTCATTGTGCATCCCAGACAAAATGTGGAGCAAGCAGTGGATTAGCTAACAAATCAAGAGCCCAGTCCCACAGAGGCAGCGCGTGAGTCTCATACACTTGTTGTTCTTTTTTGTAAGGAACAGTGATGTCGTGTTTTACAAACTAATTCACAACATATATCATACAAAATGTGAGATTTATTAATGACATACTGGCGTCACCTGAGCAGCTGCGTGTTCCCAAGCTTTGCGCAGCTCATTATCATTTGAGAAAGTTACCCTGGCTCTCTCCTCTCGATATGCAACCAATGAGCGCAAGGAGTGCATTAATTTGTGATTTATTGAGTGCGGCATTGAGTGCAATCTCCGCAAATTCAAAGTCGCTGTGGGAACAGAAAGGACGCCAGGGCTCTTCATCTACAGGGAGCTCTTCCTCAGGATTATTTGCTTCAATGAGTGCGAGAGGGACCCATGCTGATGGCGATGTGATATTGCACGATGGATGTATTGTTTATCGATGTCATTGCATAAGAATATCTCACGCTTTTGATGACCTCAGCCACCTTGAAAGGCACTTTTAATGTACCTTTCAATGCACATGACCCAACTTGTAAGCCGGCGGCATTACAATGGCCTGTGACTTTTTTCTGACAACATCCAAGCATCACCAGTATTAGAACCCTTCACACAGTACACCATGCCTCTGATCTATTAATAATAATGTTGTAGTATGTCTCCTAATTTTAGGGCATCAGTCTCGCTGTATGTATCGATATACTCCTAATCTATGGGAACACAGCTCACCTTTAGCGCCATAGGCACAAAACCTTGTTTCAGACCAGAAAAGCCCTCCTTTCGCCCAATTACACTCAACAAACTGTCACCACAAAATAAGTACACACTGAGCATCACTCACTCAGAAAACAGAGATTCAATGTGTAAGTAGTGCTGCCGTGGTTTGGTCCAGAACCACAGTCCAAACCTGACCAACGGCCAGGTTCTTCCTTGGTTTGGTCCGTGGTCCATGAATTGCAGCGGACCGGACCTGAGTGAGGTTCACGGTCCACCATTTGCCCGAACATGTTCTATGTTGGTTTGAACCTTCCCCAAACCTGGTCCGAACCCCAAACCACGAGAAGTTCTGTCACATTGTCGAAGCATGTTTTGACACTGCCTTTGATGATTCGCCTTGGCCTCAAGGATTCTCGAGCTTCAATACTTACTTGTTTCTGTCAAATGCAGAGGCTCATTGACAAGGTAAGTCATGATATGCACTGTTCAAACTGAACAGTGTGAGTGTTGTGCTTGTAATGACCATGTCCTCGCACAGATCCTTATCATACCAACACCCTATGATGCTATTACGATCCTCCACCAGCTGTTTGTCCACCGGCTGTCTGATTTGCTTGCACATAAAGTGTGCAAGCCTCAGCAGGTAAGCAATATATTCAACATGGCTTATTCAGACTCATGCGCTGTCAATGCTAACGGTTCTCTCAAGGATGCCAAGGACATCGTCTTCTACCACGATCCCAATGATTCTGTCCCCATTGACACCACGTCCTCTGCCCCCCAGCCATCATCATCTACTAATCCTCCTCAGGATGCCTTCTCTATGCTACTGAATACTGGGCGCAAACCAACACCAGTTACAGCTGGTGCTCGATGATTCATTCGGACCTCTAAGCCATCTGCTCGCCTCCGGGATGCTGAGAACATTTATTCAACCTCGACCTCCACCAGCTCAACAAACCACAAACGTGCATTGTCTAGCACTACTGAACTTCAACTTCAACCGGCTCACAAAAAGGTTTTATCATGTCTGTTATCAGATGAGGATAGCCTTGATGACAATGATGCTGGTCATGACACTGACCCTTTGGAGGACCAGCCCGAAGCCGAACCTGAGGATGCCATCCAAGCAACTTTGCCGAAGACTGAATGTACCTGCTGACATTCGCACTGTCTTCACTCGCCATGAAACACACTGGGTATGCAACCCTTGCAAGTATGTAATTAGAACTGTGTGTATTGTGTTCTGCTAATGTTTGGTAGGGACGCTGGTGAACCTGAGAGTAAGCATGTCTTTCGAGGAGGTATCTCTACACTCCGCACACACATCAGTCAGTATGTTCTTTCAATGTCATCTCTTACTTTTGCTGATATCTATTAGTAAAAAAACCACTTTCAATTCTACAAGGCTCACTGCCAAGCAGCAGGGATTACTATGCACCCTCATGCCATTCCGACTAGCGAGGATCAGGCTCTGTAATTTTCAGCTAATGTTTTGCATCAAGTGTTGCTGAATCATTGACAGTTCCAGACAATCCACCCTTGATACGATCCTCGTCACCAAGGTGCCTGTATTTACCAAGGAAGGACTCCTGGAGTACATAATGGAACTTATTGTGACCGAAGACGAAGCGCTGCAGCTGGTCGACAAACCAGCCTTCCGAAACTTACTTCGCTATGTTTGGCCTGGCCTTACTGAGAGAGACATACCTCACCACACCAAGCTTACTGAGACCATCAAGGCATGCACATTAGCTATAGTCAATGTCATACGTGAACGTCTCACAAAGGTTGATAGTAAAGTTTCCATGATGTTCGACTCTTGGACTTTGATTATTGGCGACCCATTTTTCTCTGTCACTGGCCATTACATTTGGAACCCGGATGATAAACCCCTGCAATGGGAGTTACGTTGTGAGCAACTCAGTTTTGAACACATTGAGGGCGATCACAGTGGGCAAAATATAGCTCGTATGCTTATTAACTCAATTGACACATATGATGTCCAAGCTAAGGTAAGGTCTGGCCTCTACTATCTAATGGTAAAGCTAATGGTTTGCTTCATTTGCTTCGTGCAGGTTGGATGGATGACTTCCGACAATGCCAGCAACAACGATACGGCAATGAAGGAAGTTGCTCGCGAAATCGATCCAGAAGGTGTCCAATGGATACCTGCCACACACCGCATTAGATGCCAGGAACACATTCTGAACCTTGCGGCACGACACTTTGTAGATGCAGTTACGAAGAAGACCCATCAGGCACTTGATAAGGGAGATGATGCTGAACTCGACATCTTAAACAAGGAGCTTGCAACCTTGGAAGTTAACAGCAACCGTGACTGCGAAGATGAGTTCAACACTGGTGATTCGCTTGGCAAAGTGCTTGCACTTATAGAGCAGGTACGTTATTTTATTTTTATCCTTATCCTTATCCTATGCTCTTACTGATTGAGATTGTTAGATACGCAAATCGCCTCAAGCTCATGCCTTCTTCAAGAAGGCCTGCAAAGAGGAGAACATATTCAAGCTTGAGTTATTGCAGTGGATCCGAACTCATTGGGTGTCCCTATACAAATGTCTCGACCGCATGCTACTCTTACGTCAGGTACATTTTTTTTCTATTCAGTGTTCATGAATCTGATATTTATATTTTAAACAGGCCATCAACCATTTCACCAATCTCGCTGATGAAAGCAAAGAGGTGCCAAATCTTCGTAACAAGTCTTACGATGATTTCAAGCTCGACCAGAGTGACTGGAGACACCTCGGACTTGTTCATCAAGTCCTGAAGGAGCTGGCTACCGCCCAGCAAACTTTCTCCTCCGCAAAACACCCTACCGCATGGCAAACAATACCTACATTGGAGTGTTTGGCTGACCGGTGACAAGAGATGGCCAACGATATACAGTATGCGCCGATTGCCGATGCAATCAAGCAAGGACTCAAGAACGTCAACAAATACTACAAGAAAACAAGTGACTGGGATGTATATTTTATTTGTCTCGGTGAGCATTTATAAAAACTTCACTTTCCTCCCATCTTCCTCCCCCATCATACCTATTCACTGCCTCATATGAAAAACTTCACTTCCCTCCCATCTTTACCTATCTCCCACCTCATATGAAAAACTTCACTTCCCTCCCATCTTTCCCTCCTATTGTACCTACTACCTCCCTCTCTCTTCACCACCTCGTATGGAAAACTTCACTTCCCTCCCATCTTTCCCTCCTTGTGCCCGCCTCTCTACAGTCCTTGACCCCAACTATAAGCTTGTTCATGTTGAAGAACGGTGGGACAGTCAAGACGTTGCGGATGGGAGGGCTCACCTCAAGACTGTCGTAAGTATTTGTTCAGACTCATCATTGTCCTTTGGCTTACATTCTTCTACAGTTTGACAAGTACTATAAACCACCAACTCGGACGCCTGTCGATGAACCTGCTCCACCAACAAGACCCTCACTAGAAAACCGGTATGGCGATGCATGGATGTGTGAGGCCATTAAGGCACGTCAAGCTGCAGACCAACTTGCTCGCAATCCTCGTCAAGAACTCACGGTGTATCTGTCTTCACCACTAGAGGAGGCCAACAATGTTGTTGCCTGGTGGGGGCTTCATTCTTTACAATTCCCTACTGCTTGCACGTATTGCGCACGATTATTTGCCCATCCAGGGCAGCTCCGTCCCCTCCGAACAGGCTTTCTCAAGCAGAGGGATCACCTCCACCGTGCGACGCAATGCACTCGCATCATCCATGTTTGGCTCGTTACAGTTGTTAAAGGCGGTGTATAGGAATGGCCATGTTTCTGCGACAGTCGAGGCAGAAGCTGTGTAGTTGGATGTGTAGCTATGAGTACCTACCTATGTTTTTTTTTTACTCATTGTAAATAAATTTGGTTCGGTTCACATTCGAACCTGAAATTAACCGGACCTGACCATCCTGAATAGTGATGTTCCGGCCCGGCTTGGGCTCAAAGCCCCGGCTTAGGCTCGGCCTGGGGGGGGCTTAGGCTCACCAGATTTCAAGCCTGAGCCATGAGCCCAAGCCGGCCCAAAGCCGGGGCTTGGGCCCATGCAAGCTGCGGCCCACATGCTGAATTGCTTGAAATTGATGTCCAAGCTCCACCATGTTGTTCCCAACACCACGAACACCATGTGCAAACGCCCAGCACACGTCAGCAACTGCTGACGTGGCTCAGATGAATACAGACGATGGACGAGAGCAGGAGAAGGCAGTGAGAAAGAGAAGGTGGACAATTGGCACTTGAGATGACTAGTGCTGAATACTGATGGATTATGTCACGACCCAGATTAGTACATCTTGAAGGGGCTCAGTATTATTAGTTGGTAATGTATCACTTACCTGGTTTGTATCTTCAAGCATGGCATCCCAGTTATGTTCGTGTGCAAGAGCAATAGCACGGTGCCCATAGCAGACGAATTTTCCTTTCTTTCTTGTGTGAATATGATCTGTGGTATGGTCAAATCATGTGTGTCATAGTAAGAGTCAATAATGAGGACGTGCCAATTGCTGAACACACAATGGCGACCGCTTGTAGGGTGTGACCACTGACGTGACAAGGTGTCATACCAAAGCCGCAGCTTGGGCCGTTGGCTTAGGCTTTTCTGAATCCAAGCCCAGGCCTGGGCTGGGCCCAGCCTATTTGGGCCCGGCTTGGGCCAGCCCAGGGCTTCAAGCCGGGCCTTGCACATCACTAATCCTGAACCGTTCGCCAAGGTCCAGTTCGAGGTTCATTGAGTCTGGTAGAACCGGACCTGGGTCCGGTTCTTGATTCTCGCTCGACCCTCTGTGAACCGGACCGAACCGGACCACGGCAGCACTACGGTGTAAGAGACAGCGCCACAACAGCAGTGGATAACAACAACCTCTGATTAAGTAATGAGCGTCAGAGCGCATAGACGCGGACATGTTGGTGAAAAGTAAAGTGTAAATGCTTCGTTGGTACTTATCACCAGCAAATCATCATGGAGATCTCATTTAACGCTGGGCTTATATTTGCGATGCTGCTCTTGGATATTCCCCTACAATCATGGAAGCCTATCTATCTGAAGTTCCAAACGAAGTCATAGTATTTGATTTGATTTTATCGTCATTCATAATTCAAAGTTCAAACATATACTTGCTACAATGAAAGGAAACAAAACATGACCGTAACGGGGAAGACCATCACTCGAGACCCAGCTTCATTTAATCTCGAAGTGAAGAACAACGTTGGTAAACATACATTTCAAAAAGCCAGAAGAAGGGAATGATCGTTCTCAGATTGAGATAGCGGAAGAACAACCGGCAAGGGACCTTGAAAGGGTAGGATACTAAAAGAACCAGACGATGACGAGTAGTACCATGGTAACCACGAACTGAATGAGTGGAAAGATAAACTGCAGTGAGTTTAAGAGCTTCATGAACCACGCGGGCATGGATGCCGGTATTGCGCGTAGGCGTTCAACCTTGTGCCTGGGCAGGCAACGAGGGCCAAAAGGCGGGTGCCTCAGGGTGAGCGTGTGCTGGCGCATGAGGATCTTGCCCACAGATATGAGGATTACGACGCAGAAACTCAGTGAGGCTCCGATACAGAAGAGTCCGTGTGAGAGCGTATAACGCAGCGAAGGCGTGTGAGATTCGTGCGCAGGGACATCAACGTTAACAGCCTGAGGGGAATCCAGTGGTGACGCATTGAACCAGACTAAACCCGTGATCACTGCCTAGAGTTGATAGATAGAATCATGCGTCATCAGAGGATGGAATAATACTGCAGATGCATGTGAACTCACTGAGAACAGAGTCCAGTTAAGGACGATGATAAGCAGTTCGAGAGCGACTTCGTTGGGACCCAATATCTCTTCCTCTTCCGATTCTGGAATCAGTGCGTCGACCTTTTCAAGGTCTGAGAACTGCTGCTTTTCCATGTCGCAAGATTGATGAGAAGGATTGCACTTGAGAGCACTTTGAGTGGGAAAGACTTTAGACTCAACGATACAGTTGGAGTAAACAGAAAACAGGCTTGCCTGTCATTCATTTCCACTAGACGCACGGATAGATATTACTATTCAAGGAGGGTTGCAAAAAAAAAAACTCTGATACGTGAATGATGGGTACTGAGCAAGTCCATAGTATTATATGATTCCACTGCATGCTGAGCGCTGTAACACAGCATTACACAACTTGTATGCTGTGTAATAGCCCCCGATTTACCAAAACTTTTAATTTCGTTCATGCTCGCATTCAAGGCATGCCAATTGGCAGCAGGTACTCATCTAACTCATGCGTGCTGCATGGCTGATGACTGACTCATATACGACATAAGCTCCGCAATGTAATACTGGATGATGTCCATCTCAGACCTTCGAATTCATGGAACATGCAATCTCACTCCACCATCCTCACTCCCACATGCTACTTTCTTACCATATGGTGACAATGCTGACGAGAATTTCCATATGGCTAAGCACGTTTGTCTTACTAGTACGGACCTTATAAGCGTTGTCTTGTCATGTCATGTGAAGAGAATGACATCATTAAATACTGAATACAGGTGAGAAGACAACCACAGTAGTACGACGACAACTCCGGGCGGCACTCGTTCGTAGGAATTAACGCAAGACCTGTTCTGCGTACGATACAAAGGAAGTAGTGTCAGTAATGATTATATGTTGGAGGGCTGATAAAAGTTGAGAGGAAACTGGCCATACACTGGCATTATGTAGTGGCAGAAGTAGACCGGGGAGGTTCTGCCGTCTGGTTAATTGGCAATGCCAGCTCTTCCCCACAACAGCAACAACGAATGGCAAAATGTATACATTTTTTTTGGATCCTTGTTTTGTGCCCGTTGGGGCGGTGCCCTATGTTGGACATTACATGCGTGTAATCTACTGTATTCAAATCGTATGTTCTGTTTATTATATATTGTACTTTAGTAATGGTCCTGGCCTATGCGGGGACGGTGGAGCCTGCTGACGGCGTCCGAGGGTGATTGGCGAGGGTGGGGCCAACCTGTGAGCTTACTAGGTATTTCTTTTGGGGGTAGCGGGTGGGTTGATATCGCCGAAGGCGGTTTCGAAGCGCTTGGTCTTGGAAATGAATGTGAGGAGTTTCTTGATTGCTTTGCTGTTGTTGAGCAAACTGTTCAGGTCGCGGGCTCTGGTTTTCAACGATGCTCTCAATGCGTTGCGGTGGCGGGTGTGTATGCTAGGCATTCCAGGATGAAGTGATGGACTAATTCTTCTTTCTGTCTGCATGCTGGGCATATGGACATGGGGGATTTCGAGATTCGGTGCAGGTGCTTGTTGAGTGGGACGTGGCCCGATTTCAATTGGAATATCAGTGAGCTGTGTCTACGTAGCAGCGCGCCAATGAGATCGGCGAAGTGCTTAGATAGGGCTGAGGGGTTCATTTTGCTGAGAACGTATACGTTCGAAGGCACATCCGAATCTGCGCAACGATAAGTCCAGGAAACAATATAAAATCCAGCTGTCTTCCTACTGTCCGCTTCAGAATTACCTGATTCCACACACACGAGTCGCAAACAATGCGTTTCTCCTCTGCAACTGTCCTCGCAATCATTGCTGCTTTAGTACCATCAATCTCTGCCATGCCAGCTACTAGTGTTGCAGATAACCCTTTCAACCCTCAATGTTACAGAGCTTGCTGGTATCACACTGATTGCACTAAGCACGCAACTGAAGACTGCCCATGGGTGAGATGCGTGAGTATCAGCATTTTTCTGGACCTGATAACATGACTCACCTGCATTGCAGAGCGGTTTCTGGTACTGCATCCATGTGAGTCGTATTATTGCCTTCACGATGTCATTATGGCCGTTGACACTGACGCGCGAGTTACTGGTGATTTTTTAGTCATGATCGACGCACATAAGGAAAAAAAATCGGTCCATGCTTACAGTTCTTTGCATATCGGAAATGGCGCGAGATTTCCGGGAAATATAGTCAGATCTGGGTCGAATTGTTATGTACGAAAAAGTCGTTTCATATGAAGTTTAGTGGACCCCAAAGTGTGCTAAGATGTGCCTCCTGGGCCCTGGCGGATAATACGAGCCTAACCAGTCGCTTGAAGATATCTAGCTCTCTTGCTGCCCAGATGAGCCACGATATAAAAATAGCAACAGCCACGGATTCACTGACAATCAATGCCAGCATGGTCATTGTTGTAGACTTGAACACGTTGTACAGCGGTGCGACTCGGATTGAGAAGTAAGTTGTCCTAGTAAGAGGAACGGTAATCGTCATTAGCCCTAGTCGGAAAGTATCCATCTCACCCACCACCACATGAGCATCGCATAGTAGGGGAGACTGTTGATCGTTGCAAGGGCTTTATCTCCCAAAAACGTATCAGTCATATTGCGCAGGAAGTCTCCCTGTGCAGACTGCTTAGCACAAGAGAGATGATTGCCAAGGCGACGATCTATTGAAAGCTTGTCCGCTGATTCACAACCATGTCTTTGGTTTTGACGGGCCAGCAGGACTGAGATGACCAAGGAGCCAGTTAGAGTCCGCTGGTGGCTGACTTTTGTAATATTATCTTCCGACTCCTGCTGAGAGAACTCATCACCGAAAACCAGTTAACCCGGTATGACAAATGCCGTGTAAAGTCAAGTTGATATTTTAGAATTGGCCAGGCCTTTTAAAAATAATACCTAGAAATTTCCGGAATTGGTTCAAAATTGGTTGGATCAAAGCTCACAGCGACCAGATATTTGCCATTTCAAATTTCTGGACCTTGAACTTGAACTTTCGCAGTTTAACAATCACAACTTTCGATATACACCGACTGCAAAACTCTTTAGTCACATTCTATGGATTCGAGTATCTGAGATTTCCTCCTATTCCAAGACTCCAATGATTGCTCGAGCGGCAGTGAGAAGCAAAACGTTCATCAAGCTAGTAGTAACCCTGATATCGTGCCATAAGCCATCATCGGCACCGATGTTCATTGAAGTAGAAACACAACTCACCATAGTTCACTGTCGCGACATGACACTTATTCAAGTTCGACATTTGGCACACACAGAACGGAGCCGCCATATCTCCGGCAATGCTGGTTAGAGCAGCAGGATTGCAAGGGGTTGCTGCAAGTTCCAGGGCAATGGCCCTTTCCGGTAGGAGACTCATCACGGGTCATGAACTTGAATGTGGGAGAGGCGGATACTACTGATGCCATCAAAGCGGCAGCAACTGCGAGGACAGAGAAGATACGCATTGTTTGTGAGACTGGAGATGTGATATGGGTTCAGAACGATCTGAATGAGACAGTCGAAAGAAAGACGGTTTTTTATACTTTGTGCTGGATATTATTTTTCGTGGACCGGGTGACGCGGCAGGAAGAACTCGTCCATATGCAATCCATTTTCAAACATGCAACTAGACTAGTATGACCCATTCAGGTTCCTTGAATTCGGACATCTCTTTCTTTCAGTGTAGCGGTTCACGCGCTCGTGTTTCAAAATATCATCCCGCATGAATCTTTCTTACGCTGTTTCATTTCTTGGACTGTATGTAAACAGATGAATTTTTAGGAAGACTAGTTCTACCGGTCTGAAGGAAGAATGTACTTAGTACTAGTATTATGGGTAGAACTAATTGAAGCAGTTCTGCCATTGGCAGAACTCTGAACCATGCTCTGCCAGTGACAAAAAGCACTCACGCACATAATTATACAGCCTGACTCCGATGAGATTTTTTTTTTAAAAAAAAAAGTCACATGCACATACCTGTACCACCGTTGAACACACAACACCCCAAGACCGGAGGGAAAAGACTATCACAGGCCGCATAGTTGGTGTACTAGTATGAATGACTCGGAGAGGCGAAGGAATGGATGCGCACTGTGTTGTTATAGCAGGTATGACTACACATGACATGATCCGTGCATCGAAGAGTATGCACTGCGGAAAGAACCGAATATGATATGGAGTTGCTCCTGAGTCCTATTGCGCGTGAATGATAGTCGTCGTCCTTTGTTCCCCGCTCTCGACAAGACGCCGTAACCCAGAACTTAAAGAGCCAACCTGTGCACAAACGTGCCACCAACAAGAGCAACGTGCGAGGGATGTGCGAGTTTCGGATCTGCAATATCCATTCCACCCTGTACGAAATCAATATCGGCTTTGCCCGACAGCATGGGGAGACTCAACATATATCAGATCTACCACTATACAAACTGTTTGTCAAGTAAGATAGATCCTGGACCTTTAAGATTGCAGCTGGCGTCACTAAAGACTATTGCGACTTACAAGTGGTACACATTTGAAAAAACTGCTTGACAACGCCGGCATTAATATCTTCATGAACCTACTTTCGACGAGGGAATCGAGAAGACGGCCTCCAGACTTGGACGATGTAGGGAGCCTGTGTTCATCCTAATGCTGCCACATTCTCCCAATTCTGCCCTGCCTTCTGAGTCGAGAGAATCATCACCAAATTTCGCCATCGAGACATATCAACATGCCAGATATGAGTTCATCTTCGGCTGTTACGGAAATGGGTGAGCGTTGCGTCAATTATCATTGGATGGATAATCTCAAGGCTGGCTCAGGCTTCTGAATATGGCTAAGAATAATCAAATGAGAAAATGGAACACGTATGTCAGTAGTAGAGTTCCTTGTTGCGAGTGGACCTACCTCTCAGGCTCAGAGGATGCAGTCACATTTCTTCCAAATTACAGGATTCTGAAACTGTGCGGAATCGCAAAACTTGCGCATCGGAAATGTCCGGACAAGGACCCCGTAAGCGTGTGAGTGAGAGACTTGAATTAACTTAGGCCAGTTTGGCAATAGGTGTGCTCAATTCTTACGATGTCAAGTTCAAGGTGTGTGCACCTCAACCTCACATAATTCGGAGCTTATTAGATTGCCATAATGGGGTGGGAATGGCATCCTAGTTAGCATATGATCTTCGCTATCTCACTCACTGCCAGTAATACTACAAATAAATGGTTTATTCCCTAAACACTTGCTAACATAACAAGGCTATTAACAAGGCTATTACTGGAGGCTGCCGATGGTAATGTCAGCTATGTCAGCAATGTGATCCCCACACTTTTGGCACCTCCCATGATGTGCACTCATCACCAATAGTCTGCGCTCGCTGTTCACCATGATGAGCAAGGTAAGTCCCCCAGTTCCGGACCGTTTTTTTCAATTTTTTATTTATTTAGATGCTATTTATATTTACCATCACATTCCTAATATTCATAAAGCCCTGTGCTCTCGCAGGCACTATGTTTCAACTGTAAGTCTTTTACTTGAATGTACATGTGACTTTGTTGACCATGTGTGGTTACATAACTTCACTCCTGAACATCACGCTCACTGTCCGTGCACCACCACTCACTAGCTTCAACAATGGCTGTTTTCGCTGTATTGGGTGACTGAGAACCTGGCATAGTGACTATTTAGTGAGTAGATTGCTTGATCTTGCCAGAAATTGAGGCTGATACAATCATTACAAGCCCATTCACCAGGACAACATGACCAGCATGGTCACTGGTTGTTGCATGCGAAACTACCAAACAGGCTGAACATGTCATGACCCTGCAGCCTTTTATCAAATTGCTCAGCCAACAAGTACCACCAATCAGCATGATGGACTCTCTCTTACAGTCTCAGGCCCTCAAGGCAATATTTTCGCATCACATGCCATTTTACCCTGTTGTGTGCGGTAGGAATGTTGGAATATACCTTACCTGGTGAGTACTACGCATTGTCTCTACTGATGATTATCTAACTGCAGTATAGGGAAGGGGCATTTCAGCAAGTGAGCGGACAACAAGTGCGGAAGTTCAAGAAAACTAGGATGTTTGTTGAGGCTGTTGAGTTCAAGTTCATGCTCACCAGAGGAAATGAACGCACACCCACCCAACCAACATTGCTACCATTGCACGCTCCAACGTCCCCCACAGATCCTTCATGTTCCTTGAGGACAATGGCAAGACTGTCTGTCACACAGCCCACCAATCCCGAGCCTTGCCAGATTTATTGTTTCATCCGATCCCTTGCTGGAGTTGTTGGAGAAGAATATGGCCCACCTGATCCCAGCATTCATGACAGTGAAGAATACCCACCCAGTGGCCTTCTTGGCATGGCCGCAGAAAAGTACCTTGATGCTCATAGCTATAAGGGCAGTGCCGTCTTTCACATCCTACTTGCATTTAAGGAGGCATACTGTGCGTCGGATTTTATCAAGTATGTCTGCCCAAGGGGCATGTCTCAGGCTGAGGCCATTTACATATATGAACTCATCAGCGGCTCTGATTTTGGGTATGAGGATTACGAAGCTGTGTACTAATTTTCACTTATTGTTTGCTTCATTTTTTACATATATACTACTGCTGATTTCTCATTTGTATCAAACACTATTCCCCGTTCAACATGGCTTGTCTGTCTCTGCACAGCACTCAACACTATATTAAGACTACAAAAGTCAGTCAGTGCACACCATGGCGCTCACAAATGAAGAGAAAGCAAATAGCAAAGCAATTGGCAGCTGAAAAAAAAGCTCTTGTTATGACTTGGATGGTATCTGTTGGCGACGCTCAAACAGAGCATGTGTCGTCAACGGTCGAGGATGTCCTCGGGCTAGCCCAAGGTTAGGGGTCTTACTTGGCAAGGTTTCAGCAAGTAAGATTTGACACCTATGTCCAAATCGGGTAGCTTATGTCAAGCGGGTGCTAGACGATAAGCTATATCGGCCAAGGCTTACGACACCCTAAGGTTAATTGTAAGATTGTCGTTAATTAGAAGGACAGAAGTCCGACTAGTTAACAGGGGCTTTGCTCGTCGACGAAGTCGATGAGTAAAGATCAAGACTAAAGACTTATCTGCGAAGAGCAGATAAGAAGATAGAATATGGACTGCTGGTGAGGCAGAAAGGATCACTCTGGTGAGAGTAGGAGGTCAAGAACCAAGTAGATTCAAGTTAGGGAATACAGTACATGGTAGCGAGTTTATATAGAGGACAGGAGATGTATTAGTGAGTGATAACTCGTACTACCAAGAGAGGCAATCGGTAAAGGGTATAACCATAAAAGGAAGGCACATTCGCAGTTGAGACACGGGCGAGGTAGAACGTGCTGAATAAGAAAATGAGTCAAAGATCGAAATAAGAAGTGAAACGCGCAGGGGCACGATCGTGCAGCTGCGGAGCTAAGTATAAGTCGCATGTGCGACTGCGCACTGAGTCAGAGATCAAGAAAGGGAAAAGGGCAAAGGGGATGCGTCGTGCATCATATCACAGGTTACCGTCCAGACGGTAAGGGCAAGGGGACTGTCCACAGGATCAGTCAGGTGATGGGACGGAGCATGGGTATGCTTCGTCAGCGAAAGGATCTGGCCAGATGTACTGGCTCTGCTGAAGCGACAGGTAGAGAGCGAAAGGGAATGCGAGGATGACGAGGATGACAAGGGTGAGGTTGGGGTAAGGGTATGATGCGAGGGCTGATACCAGAAGGATGAGGAGAAAAATGTTAGGGGCCCAAGCGTCTAGATGTTCTTGTAACAGCTCTTGCTGAGAAGCGCCTCAAGAGGAAGACAGATTATCACACCGCACTTGCTGAAGCACAAGATGTACTATGAAGCCATTATCCAGACATCACATATGACCAAATGCCTAGAGGGTGTGTAATCCGTGGAACACATACCTCTGAGCTGAAGTGAAAAAGTACAATGAAGGTACATTCTACAAGGATGATACTACATTTTTTGCTGACCTGTCTGTACTCTGAAGCACTACCTGAAAATGAGCCTCGCCATAAGGCTACCAAACTAGTGGGGGAAATTTCTGTCAATTGGAAAGCCATGAATCATGATGACAAGAAAGCTGCTACTGAGGAGGCGATGATGTTGCTTCAGAAGCACCGTATTAACAAATGCACAGGTGTTAATAATGTGCCTATCAACACATTCCACGACACAGTGTGTTGCTCTCAAATCTATCTCTAACGAAGTAAGTGACAAATGACCATCTTTCCTTACATGCTAAAGTCTATGTCTGGTATCTCACAGCACTGTCAGATCATACAGGATGCTATAGCCTCTTGATAGCAGTGTGTGGTGACACTGATCATTACTCGCATCCTTTTGTGTACATGTCGGACGACCATATTGGAGACTATTTTCAGCTTGCCCTGCAACAGGCGCCCACTGACGTGGCCACTCACCTTGAAGCATATTGTTTATTTGGAGTCACTGGTGAGTATATATCAGAAATGGCATGAGATTTCCGGGAAATATAGGAGATGGTATCAGATCTGGGTCAAATTGTTATGTACGAAAAAGTCATTTCATATGAAGTTTAGTGGACCCCAAAGTGATGTCGGAACTTTTATCACGGCATTTTGATTGATTAAAATGCCTTAATGGTCTGGCCTGATTCTGATCCAATTTTGATCAAACAGTCAGCATTTTGATGACCATTATAAGTGCATCACGATGAACATTCCCATTTCGGTCACAATTTCGATTTTAATCATAAAATGGCATTATGACCCTAATTCCAATGGTGGTCACAATTTGAGTCAAAATGCGTATTGCAACCATTTTGTGGCATTGTTATGTTCATGTTCGGCATCGCAGTGAGCATTTTAAACTGTGTTGTAAAGGTCAATTTGAGATTGTTTCAGCTAATAAATTGTATTGTTGGGTATATATTCTACTCTGAATCTGCAGTAGCAATAATGGTTCGGTGACTCGTATTACAAGACTCATGTTACAAGAACATCTAGACGCTTGGGCCCCTACTATTTTTCTCCTAATCCTCCTAGTATCGGCCCTCGCGTCATACCCTTACCCCGACCTTACCCTTGTCATCCTTGTCATCCTCGCATTCCCTTTCGCTCTCTACTTGTCGCTTCAGCAGAGCCAGTACATCTGGCCGGACCCTTTTGCTGACGAAGCATACCCATGCTCCGTTTCACCACCTGACTGATCCTGTGGACAGTCCCCTTGCCCTTACCGTCTGGACGGTAACCTATGATATGATGCACGATGCATCCCCTTTGCCCTGTTTCCTTTCTTGATCTCTGACTCGGTGTGCAGTTGCACATGCGACTTATACTTAGATCCGCAGCTGCACGATCGTGCCCCTGCGCGTTTCACTTCTTATTTCGATCTTTGACTCACTTTCTTATCTAGCACGTTCTACCTCGACCGAACGTGCCTTCCTGTTATGGTTTTACCCTTTACCGATTGCCTCTTCCGGTAGTACGAGTTATCACCCACTAATACGCCTCCTGTCCTCTATATAAACTCGCTACCATGTACTATATTCCCTAACTTGAATCTACTTGGTTCTTGACCTCCTACTCTCACCAGAGTGATCCTTCTGCCTCGCCAGCAGTCTATATTCTATCTTCTTATCTGCTCATCGCAGATAGGCCTATAGTCGACCTTTACTCATCGACTTCGTCGACGAGCAAAGCCCCTGTTAACTAGTCGGACTTCTGTCCTTCTAATTAACGACGATCCTTACGATTAACCTTCGGGTGTCGTAAGCCTAGGCCGATATAGCTTATCGTCTCGCACCCGCGTGACATAAGCTACCCGATTTGGACATAGGCGTTAAATCGTACTTGCCGAAGACCCGCCAAGTACGACCCCTAACCTTGGGCTAGCCCAAGGACGTCCACGGACCGTTGACGACACAAGCTCTGTTTGAGCGTCGCCAACAGATACCATCCAAGTCGTAACAACTCACACTTTCAAACCTTGCCTCGACTGCGTGCTTCTGCAAGACTCAATTCAATCACAAACTTCATATCATTGTCCATTTCATCTAAATCAAGCGGGCCCCAAAGCTCTTCCTCAGACTGAACATCCATGCATCCAAAAGAAAGTGAGGCATTAGATGTGCGCAAGATAGGTGTGTCATTATGCAGGGATGGAGATCCATGCGATGAAGGCGGTGATTGTAAGGGTGTGCTCCATGTGATGAAGGTGGCAATCATAAGGGTGTGCTCCATGCAGAACAATTGTGCACTAGGCTGCTGGTCGATGAGGAAATGCTGGAGCTGATTGAGGGGAAATATTTGAAATTGGATGGTGGGCTTTGAGCTGCTTCAGGCAAAAGCCCTGTACCCGATGTTGAAGAAGGCAGGGAGGTAGGTATCCTGATTGGACTGATAGTAACATCAGCTTCCATAGGTTCTGGGACAGAGGCATGACACACCTGCACTTTCTCATTTGTCACAGGGTGGGTGGTGCATGGAAAGGTGCGGGAACGATGGTCTGAATCATCAAGAGAACTGGTGAATGATTAGTTGTAAAACATTGATAGCAGTCAGGCAGTCTAAGGCTGAACGGTGAGTGTGATTTGGATTGCTGGGGGGGACGGAACGTACCAAGCCTAGAGAGTCGATAGGAGCAAAGGACTCAATGTAAAATTAATAGTCGCTCCACATGCTAGAATTGCTGTACCTTAAATGTTAGGTGGACCATTGAAGGCCTCCTGGTCCAGGGGTCTCGCCATATCAGGGAAGTATTATTAGAGAGTGCAAGGGTGATTCAGAGACAACATGAAACAATTTAGAGAATAAAGGAGATGTTGAGGCCGTGATGATTCAGACTTGCTGTGATTAATATGGTCAGAGGTTGACATGAAAATTCAGATTCCGATGATGTGGCAACTTATTTTAATTGATTAATATTTATTATTATAACATTATATTAATTATTATACAGCGAGCAGGTGCGGGTGGGACAATATGAATGAAAGACTTGGGTGAGGGTGAACACGTGTCACGAGTACCTTTAACGAACCATTATTCTTTCTTGAATCTTCCTAAGTGTCAATACACAGCGCCTAAGTCAAACCCTAACCCTACCCTGAAAGTGTCTATCATTCCCGAAATACCTTTAGCGCCCACAACACGTGTCTTCGATGTGACTGATGAAGAAGATGAGTTCTTTGATTGTGATTAGATTAGATTAGATACGATAAGATAAGATATGGTCACATGATGCTTCTTTAATATTCTACGATGTTCTATGGTACAATTCCCTTTCCTATTTTATGATTGGCTAGTAGTTGTAGCTCAGTTTCAATCTCAGTTTCAATAGTTGTATATAGGTAGTACGTCTTGGTCGATAGTTCTTTAGTTCAAACCTCTTGTATCTACATTGTAGCAATCCAAGATGTACTTGCTCCTCATCCTTTTGTCCAATAACCTTTGTTTGAGTCCTAGTCTCTGCCCTAGCATTTATTCGTTATTGGGTTGTGACAACGCAGGAGGGAGGATAACTGAGAATAATGAAGTGAGAGTGATTCAGATCCTGAACAGCAGCATGATTGTT